ACCATCGGTGTCAAGAAAGGAATTGGAGGATGTGGTCGTGGTAGAGGAGCTTGCGGTGCTTTGAACGTTGATATTGGATGGGGGTTTCATTGTTGATAAATAAAAGGTCTTTGTTTGAAAAAAAGGGCAAATAAGGGGATGAATAAATAAAAATGTGTGTAAACAAGTAAAAAGGTAACAAATAAGGAAAGAGATAAATGAAACGGAAAAAGAAAGCTAATTTTTTTTTTTTTTTTAAAAAAATATGCGCGAAAAATAAAAGTGTGTGGTGAAGGTAAAGAATTTGGTTGAGGAAAAGCAAAAAGTTTGTAATATGATCACAACAAAAGGATGAATATGTACAATCAAAAAGTGTCAAGAAGAATAATAATGGAGTAGTAACTAGGTCGCGTTAGAGGTTAAAAGAACCTTTGCTACCATTTGTCGTAGAGCATCTACTAGTGATCTCTGGAAACTAGTAGGTAATGATGAAAAATGAAGAATTGGGCAAGAGCCTCGTGGTTTTGGGATACGATAGTGATCCTAAGTAATGCTTTGAATGATTTTGAGGATGCTGCAAAAGGAAGAGAGATCTTTAATAACTGCTAATTTTCTGAGAATTCATAATGAGAATAATGAAGATAAACTCACCTGCAAAAGGGCATCGATAATAAGAAGAGAGATGCCGTTTTTGCAGTGAAGGAAAAAGCTACTTAAATACTATTTAAAAATGGTAGAAAATAGGATGATAGGAAATAAATAAATTGAAAGGAAATACATATTTAGGTAAATGAATAGGTGTCATTTACGACACTGCGGACGTTTCCGCCATTGTAGTATAATGGTTAGTATATCTCGTTGTGGCCGAGACGATCCTGGTTCGATTCCAGGCAATGGCATAATTTTGGTACGCGTTGGGTAGTTTAACGTGCAAGGATTGATGAGGACGACGCTTTTTTTTTATGGAAAAAGGACTAATCTTAGGTTCGGAATAAGGATTAATCTATGGATTAATCTATTTGGCAGCCTAGTTGCTAAATATTATTTGGCAGCCCATTGCCAAATATAATCAACTTTCAAGACTCTCTTTGGCAGCCCAGTTGCCAAATAACATTCATTATTTACTTGGCAGCCTACCCAGCGTTATTTGGCCTCTAACTATTTTTTTTTTTTTTTTTTTTTTTTTTCATTCCTAGGAACCGTATATGTGTATAACGCTCATACTTTAAATTAATAAAGCTCCCATCTTCTACGTCATGGTTATGTGTAGTGACATTGTCTTGTCTCATTGAAAACTAATGACTTTTTTTTTCAAGTAGGTCGCTCATACAGTTTTGGAGGTGCCATTTGGAGATCAATGCCTATGAGAGGTTTTCGCTCGGAGCAAACGCGTCTCACCTGCTACCTAGACGTCTTCAATAAATCATTCCTTAACCGTGTACATTGAAGGCTGTTTTGTGAAGATGTCATCGCCGCTGCCCTTAGTACCTCCGGTGGCGTTAGCTGTGCAAGGCAATGTATCCACAGAACGCTGCCTGTTTTATCACTGATGTTATGACCCTGTTATCAAAAAAAAAAAAAAAAAAAAAAAAGTAATGTATTTGGCAGCCCAGCTGCCACCCAAGAGTGCGAAGTTAAGTGGCAGCCCCCAGAAGTAGGCTGCCAAATAGAGGCAAAAATTACTATAATTGGTATGGGCTGCCAAATAGATTAGTCCTTAATCTATTGAACACTCTTTTTGGCAGCCCAGCTGTCAAGAAACACCCTCACGATTTGCTTGGCAACTTGCTTAGTGTTATTTGGCCTATTTCTTGCTTTATCTGTAAAAAACTCTCGTATCTCGTTTACTGAGGACAATCCTGTGTTGATGAGAAGCGCAGGAGCTTCTGTTGAACTTGTTGACATCCAACAAAAAAAGGCTCACCGCTGTAGATCAATGTACCTTTTTGGCCGTGACATGCAGCTATAATCCAGCGACAGTAATGGGTAGAGACCATCTACGTATTTATGTGATCCTAATGCTTCTTCTCTATTGACGTTTTTATTGAGAGGAAGTCCACCAATTAAAGGCGGGTTTTAATTGAAAAGCTAAAATAATAACTCCCCTGCAAACAACTTCATTATTTGGCAGCCCAGTTGCTACCCCAAGTGTGTGAAGTTCAGTGGCTGCCCCAAAAAATAGGCTGCCAAATAATATTTGGCACCTGGGTTACCAATTAGATCCATGGAAAAAATTATTTGTACTGAATCTTTATTTTGGTTTTAGATACCACTACCAGGAAGCCTTCCACGACATAAGCTCGAATCTAGAGCCGATATCCAAGCATCAAATACTGAAGGGAATATCTATGTTATCAGGGTCTTACGTAGTCCAGAGTAGATGTTGATATCCTTTATACAACTCTGGACTAAATAAAGAAGTGGACGAAGCAGCAAAACATGGGCATTATGGCGAGCTATGGGATATCAACATAACAGAGCATAATGACATGTACTGCCATGCAAAGTTCAACGGTGTACCGGCGGAAGATGACTTAAGGCAGATCCTTAAGTTACAGTCAACAACTCGTACACATCACACGTGGATCGCTCAGAACAGGACGCAGGAGCATGTTAAGGATTGGACAAAAATTGATTGGCGAGCTACTATGAACATTGTTCATGGTAGCAACCTACCAAAAGGACTCTTCACCAGCCCAGCGGACTGCCAAAAGCGAGCGCACAGGATCAAGAAACTTCATGGAATGCTGCCTACACAATCATATATGGGACACTGGAGACCGGACCTTTATGACGACGTCAACTGCAGAGTGTGTGGGACAGAGGAAGAAGACACATCGCACATCTAGAGATATCTGCTGGACTGTTTAAGACATGTATCACAGTTTGGCACTGAAGGAACTGATAAAAATGGAAAACGATCTTCAGAGGTACGGCGTGCTTTGCAGATAGGATATCATATGGTGAAAATATCCCGATGGGGCCAGGATTGATAACCAAAAATTAGCAATAGGGGAACCCATATATAGACCTTATGGGTTCGAGTTGTCAAAAAAAAAAAAAAAAAAAAAAAAGTATAAATGACGCGTTTAATTAGATGTCGTGGTTTCAACAGAGTTGAAGTCTATGCAAATTGTGTTCTATTGGCTTATCCATATCTGTCGAAATGAAAAAAGTACAATGCCGCGGACTTATGCCCAAATCAATCGCTTAGGAAAGTCGATTTCGAGTCAGCAACAGGAGCAGTTATGTTCATGGTATGATGTTTCATCATGGCCATAGAGAAATTCGACCGTACAAAAATCTGGAACAAATGGTGTGAAATCATTCAAATGGTGGGGTCGCTGCTTTGTGCAAATGCGCTAGAAGACGCAACTGTGTTGGAAAGCACAGACGTAATAGCGATTGTTTCCTTGTCCTTCCCCTGAGATAATGACAGAAACTGAATATGAGAGAAATGCATTCAAGATAGTGGATGACCGAGTCCGGGACAACCATCTTGGGAATTGTAAACTAGACGTGATGGAACGACTTGGTGGAATAAAGTTTTTGATGGCCATGGATAGCGGATAATATCTCGCGTTATCCAATAGGCCACGTCGGAAAGATGGACTTTGAGTACTAACCACGGTGGTCAGGCTTTAAGAAGCCATGGATACTACGGTTCTCGCCGAATGTGCAGCAATAACTGTTTATTGACTACAGTGTCTGAAGTATTTTGTTTATAAAGTTGTAGATAATAAACTCCATGGCCTGAGGATCCTTGTTATTAAAAAAAAAAAAAAAAAAAAAAAAAAAAAAACATTTATGGGATGAAAAGTGTTGCATAGTCTCTACCATTGGCGACTGTTCGATGCTTGTTGGTTTTCCAAATCTGCTCTGATTTCACCGTAATTTAGCTACAATCCAAATGGGCTACTTTTAAACAACACAATAAAACTTGACTGAAAGTCTGCTAATCCTCAAACCATGAGGCAAATAATGCCTCTGAACGCTTCAATAGGATTATGCCGTGCTTTTGGGGTGTAGAAAAGACAACATTGTCTCTTTTGAGCAATGAAGGATATAAGATTTGTTCCTTGGGGCAAACGTTGAAGCCACGCTTGTTGCTAGTAAAAACACAAATGGTTCCCGTTTTCCTCATACTTTCAGTGCTTCCACAATCCAAGGGCTGTGAAGTAGCCATTAAATGTTACATATTTGTCTAAGCCTTGCTAAAGTTCAGATGTATGCTAAGAATATTGTTTAAGAAACGTAGAGTAGTCAATGACATGTGGTAGTGTTCAGGTGTTTATACAGTTTATATGGAGTCCGAACAGTCCATTATTCCCTTCTCTGCATGGTATGCTCGGTGCTATTAAAAGGAGATGTGTCAATAATATAAAATGTAGCTTACTTGAGGGTATTTATTTTAGACTATGTTCGGTCCTCTCCTGTTCGCTGTCCAATTGCCTCATTCCCTGTTTAATATCGACAACATCTAATATTAGGACGTCGTGCTAGACTACCTTGAGTGTTTAATGAAGAGATCCTAAGCTGCCTCCCTCCCATTTTCCCCTTTCCAACTTCTTTCTGCTTCTTGGTCCCTGTGGCTGTTTCGTCCAATATCCCTTCCAACTGGTTCTCAGTTCTCTTTATCTTGACGACAATCCCTCTTCCTTCCTTTACTCACATCTTCATCTTCGTGTGAAGACGCCTTTCTCGTGACCCTTCCATTTTATTCACCGCGGTCCATGTCTTGACACTCTTGACTCTTCACTTCACTCGTCAGTCTTCATTCTTTACTCCTCATTTCCCGCCATTTAGAATTTAGCATTTAGCATTTAGCATTTAGCATTTGATATTCACAATTCACCAGGTGTGTACTCTATTTTCAAAATATAATAGTCCGAGATTTAATTTGGTCGTACCATGTTTGGAAACCCAAATACTTACACTTTTTGTTTAGACGTCTTTTGCCCCGAAAAAAGTGGCGGGTTCACGGGTTTACCTTATTTCTTTTTAGTGATTGCAGCCATCTATTTCCTTACTTCCTTTCATTCACACACACTCGTCGTTTTATACTGAAGCATATTTCCCGGCCGAAAACTTCTTTGTTCAATACAAATTTCTCTCCTGAACACTTTCCTCTTGTTTCTTCCTAATTTCTCTACTGCCTTTTCAACCCTACCTGAACCTTCGCTTCTTTTTCTCCCACAATATCTAGTCTACCAGCATTATCTTCAAAGGTAAATAGTAGTCTTATTTGGTCACCAACAATACTATTTGTTCATGTTTGATTAGCTTATCTGTCTAGTCTAGTGGGGATCCGATCCAAACTCTCTTCCTGTACTAAATCATTCAGGAACACTAATTATTATTTTAATTTCACCTCCTATTTTTCTCCATGCCATCCTTATTTTTCTGTCTATTGACTACCGATAACCATTTGTATGTGCTCTTCGTCCATATCACTTGTTAATTAGATTATACACATTCAATATGAGATATAGCCGATACCGTACCTCAGCAACTACTACACTGATAATTCTCGCACTATCACTCTTATCCACCATCACAAGGGCCCTGCCTACTGTACAGATTCAAGAGCGCAATGTACTCCAACTCGCAGCACCTCCGCCCACCCATGCTCCAACCCAACCGGCCGCACCTGTGAACCCAAAACCTTCTGTGCCCTCCCCTAATCCTCTTCCTACTAAAGACCCAGAACCCACTCAAACCCAACAGCCAGACCCAGAACCTACTGAAGAGCTGCCAGCTCAACCTCCTTCTTCGCCTTCTGTCTCCGAGCCATCTTCACCACATCCTTCAGTGCCACCTGCACCCAAACCTTCCAATCCCAATTCTCCACCACAACATTCTGCAAATCCTCCACTAGCGAAGCCTTCTGCTACAAACGCTATCACTGAATCGGCTGTAAGCTCTGTTGATCCTGTTGTTGTCTTGGGCACAGCTCCTAATGCAGTACCAACAACCTCAGCTTCACCAGATGATGGGTCTGGTGTGCCCACGAAGGTATCTCAAAGAGTTCTTATTGGTATTGGCACAGCTCTTGGGACAGTGGTTATTGCACTCGGAGGGCTCGCATTCTACCGCAATCGGAAAAAGAAGAAACTAGCAACAGCGCTCCTTGAACAAACCGCGCAGTTTAATCACAACGATCCATATGCTAGATTCTCAGAAAATACGAAGTCTGTCAAGGAAGGAGTACCTATGACTCCAACCAAACCCTTGGGAACATACACTGTAGCAGTAGCTTATATTCCTGCGCTGGCAGATGAGATTGAGCTTGGTGAAGGTGACTCAATAACGATTCTTCAGGAGTATGATGATGGATGGTGCCTCGGCATCAATAATTCGAGAAACGGTATTAAGGGGGTTTTCCCAGGACGTCTCTTAGAAGATTATTATAATACGCAATATACTGGGCACGACGGACTAAGCCCTTATCCGCAAGATCATGGCTTCAGGGCTATAACTAGCAAACGCATTAGCTCAATGCCTACGGCTGGATGGAATAATCCAGTGGTGTACAGTGGCGGCTATAGTGGCTGTCTCCCCAATCCTCATTCCCATGCACACTATAGCAATGGTCAAGGTTACTATAATAATAATTATAGTGGACACTAGCCCACAGAGAATGATCAATATTTTAGTATGGTTGTTCCTGTATCTTATAGCATGTCATAGTCAATAGCATTACACATAATAATAATGATTCTCGCATTTCCTTCATGTTTTAAGTTACCAAATGATGCGTGTTGTACAAAACTATGATCAGGGTCCAGGAGAACAATGAATTGTACTTGTCTGTAATTTAGTGATGTGTATGAAACACCTCCTTTGACTTTATATTTGTTGTTCATTTGCAGCTTTCTATTTTCTGCAGTGGAGATGGAGGTTGGAGGAAGGGGCGAAGTAAAGAATATGTATCTATATTATATAATATATACACATATATATTCAGTTTGTCCTTATTATCATCAGGCTCCGTCAATAGAGTATGGGCATTCTTTCAACGCATGCTATAGAGAGTCATCGGCTAATGCGAATATCCTTTTGTCATGCTCTGCTTTTTATTTGGGCTTGGTTGTTCCAAGCTTGAGCATTACATTCATGTGTAGGGAAACCCATTTTTAGAGCTGGTTCTAATAGGAGAAGATTTTTGTATTACATTTGGACGCCTCTCGCCTGTGGTCCTTTTCAAATTGTTTGTGTTCAATTGGTCACTTGGATGTAATATGAGAGACAAGACAGAAGCAGTAACGGAGCGCAGCATCCTAAGAATGTGTGGGATGGCAAACATGAGATGACATTGCACATGGCAGTAGAATGGGCAGTGTATTGCTTTTCTCTTTTCTTTTTTGCTTGCCCAGTCAGTCATCTTTTTTTTTTTTTTTTTTTTTTTTAAAAAAGATTAATGTCCATCAGTCTCCTCCCTGTCATTAAATCTCTTTCTACTCAGTCCAAGGCTAATCTCATACTCTAATTACTAATATCCTTCGGCGCTCGTTACTCGCACTCGCTTGTAAATACCAGTGCTTATGTCTCTACAAGGAGCCCCATTGCCACGACAGCACTCACATAGTCATATCCACATTTCACACTCACTGTCGTTGTCTTTACTTTTTTTTCTTGGTGCATTTTGATGCGTATTGTCAAACCATATCCAATATTTCTCAACTCCGGAGCTTCTGATTCGCTCTTTCATTTTGACGCCTATTTCACATTTATCCTTTCTTTATTCGAGACCAATACAAAACACATACTCAATCTTTCTTCCTTCAGTTGCGGCTTTTTGTCCTTTTCTTGCCCTTAGCACGGACACCGAAGTAAAACGTTGTGCTGTCGACCACCTGGGATCCGCAGTGTGTGTAAGTGTGTGCAAGTTTGTGTGAAGTAAAGAAAAATAAAAAAAGTTCTACGACCACAACGTAGCGGCACCATCCTAGCTACCTGCAGCGAATGATCTAACAGCAGCAGCCTCTGCATCAACAAGTGCATTCATACTATTAGACAAGCAATATTGATTTTGGTAGTCAACAGTCGAGGAATATTAGTATCTGACAGCTACGTACAAGCATTTCATTCTCATGCGCATTTATCCTTCCATGCCTGATCCTGTTGCCTTTACAGCACGACCAATAATAGAGCAAATGAGCAAGACTACAAGTGGATTACCTGCTCCATCCATGTCAGTGCACCGCCACTCTACCTGCCAACCACCGCTGTTGCCCTTGAAAGAGAGTCCTATGGTACCTAAACTGAATCCTCTACCTAAGTTGGACTTGAGCTTATCTGGCTTTCCTGGAAAAACTCGCAAGCGACATAAGGTGGCTACTTCGTGCAATCGCTGTCGTCAGAACAAGGTACAAAAAAATTCACAAACGGAATGATTTCTATCCAGTGAAGAAAAACTGTTTTTTCAAAATTCTTAAGCAACGAACATGTTTTCTTGTATCTTTTATCAGCGTAAGTGTGACAGTGGTATACCATGCTCAAACTGCAAGAGAAACAAGGCGGACTGTCTTTATACGGATGCTCAACAATCACGCTCAACTTGGGGTGATTCACCATTAAGTAAAGAAAAAATCATTGGCGTATCAACAGCAGATCTTGACCCAGATTCACCACCATCAACACCAGCTGCTGAATCAGCCGGAAAATCATCGCCGCCACCGATGGAATCCACAAAACCATCAAAGTCCTCTCCTTCAACCAGGAAGCCAGCGGCACGTAAAAATTCGACACTAGATTCAACAACGCCAATCCCATCCACTTCCTTTAGTCAGAGTGGGTCACCTTTGCCTAGAGCCTCATTATTCAATCCAGGACAAGAGGAGAAAGACTCATTGGACAGAAGGAAAAAGATAATTGAGATTCAATCTAGACAGATAGCAAAGACAATTCGTATTACAAATCCGGGACCACAGTTTGATCTCTCAGAGCTAATGCCAAACAGAGTCAGTTCAGCAGGCATAACCAATGATGCGCATAAACCATTTACTCACGGTCATAGCGGCAGTTCTACTGACTCATTGTTCTCTAACGCAAATTCACCCGATGTGACCGCCAGTTCAGCAACTTACCCCCTGCATTTCCAGCCCACATCAAATTCAGCATGGCAATATGAGTCCAGGATGAAGCAATTGCCCTCTTCAGCGATGGTATCACACAGGATACCGGGAACTGGCTTTCAGATCCAGCAAGGAGCTCAGACGAGTTTGGATACAGAAATTATTGTAACTAGCTCACCATCCTCCTTTTCGCGATTAACGCCCACGTTCTGCAATAATTCAAAGAGATACCAGCTCCCGGTATCTGAAGCTCCTAATGAAAATCAAATCCCACTCACGCTATCAAGCCAGCCTGGAAATTTGGCTACGCCTGCGCCCCAGGATCTCTCCATTTCATACCCAATTGTTGAAACATCCGACCTCAGAAGTCTCTCTTCCGTTTCTCCATGGTTTTCAGCCGACAACCCAAACATACGTGATTTTACTCAGGAAACCCAGACCCCAGCCATCCAAAGCCAGCGAATCATATCTGAGGATTTAAACAGCGCGGTTCGAGATGGTGGCTTGACTAAGCAGCAATCAATATACATTCAGCAGCACCACCCACCTCGTCACATCTTCTCACCAATACACGAAGCCCAACAACAAACCAGCGCTACTACTTGGAATCCGAACGCGAGTTTATCGACCTATCCGCAGAAGCAACATTCTCAATTGCCCTTAACAGACGTAGCGCAAAACATTGGTCTTAATGATGCCGTTGCATCGGCCGCGCCAGTTTCTTTTGGTGTATCAAGCAACTTAACGCCCTCCACCTCAATGAATATACCCTCGGCTTGTCAGAAGAAAGGCCAGAAAAGTAGTAGCAATACGTGCTTACCATCGATGCGACTTGACCAACAGAGTTTACAACAAATCTCGCAACTCGAGGTATTACACCAGGGTATAGCCACAGTAGACACCGACTCCATACGAATGCGAAAGATTGCTAAAGATATGCTGGACTGTAGGCGGTACGACTATAGTATCCTTCTCCCCCGACATATTTCGCAGGACTATGATGAGTTATGGGCAGCACCACAGCCAGTAAAATCCAATAGTCTTGATGGGATCCCTCGTCAGCTCTTGATGATCCCTAAGGATGCGAACTTTTTGGTAGACGTATTTTTTGAGGTTGGTATGAAAAAAGGTTGTCTCTTTGGTAATGAAAGGTTATTTGATTGCGCTTGTTTAGATGCTAGGCATTAACCTTTCACCGACAGCACGCATACTTTTACTATCCAATTGTCAACCGTGCCATGGTTGAGATGGAGCTTATGGCGCCAGAGACGCCTCAGGCGTTATTTCTTTTAAATATCGTCTTTATGGCAGCATGCAAGCATCTGGCGAGGCAAACCGATATTAAGCGCGCCATCCAGTTTCGAGAGCGCGCACGTGGTATGTTGGATGAGATGCTATTTCACAGTTAAGTCGCGTTTTGCTGTTGTCCGGTGGTATTCATTTTTTTTCTTCTCTCTGTCTATAACCATAGAAATACAACATTACATTGATGAGAGGGCACGAATCACACGATTGTTTGCTCATTTGTTAGGGGCGCAGGTCATCTACGGAGTCTTTGTCGTAACTATAGGGTTTGCTCAACTCTGTGGAACACATCAACCTCTACCGTTGATAGCTGATAGTGATGCCAATGAGCGTGAGTCCATAATTGACCTGGCTACTGAGGACCAATCTCTTATGATGGATAAGGGCCTCATTCCCGAGGCAGCCTATCAGCAGCGACTTTGGGCGTTTTGGGGATATTATACGCGTGACTCTATGTCGAGACTTTACTTTGGATGGCCGCATGGAATCGATAATTTGGCTGTGGCATCAGAGTTGCCCAAGATCAAGGGCTTTGTTGGGCTTGGCGGCACTAGAATCCTCAAGGGCCAAAATTCGCTTTCAGGAAAACGACGAGGATCGGCTCTGAGGAAGGGGCAAGCTCACCGTGAGAAGAAGCACATTAAAGCTGAGACTGTTGCACCTCAATCTGACCGAGATATATATCATGCGATACCCTCTACATCGGATGAAGACTATGATAATGATGATAATGATGATAATGATGACGATGATAGGATTGGTGAAGGCGGAGATGAAAGTGAATTTGATCAGGATGAGCTTTTAGCTGGTAGTACCACCATAGGGAATCGCCGAGGTATTTCTGAATCTGTGGGAAAAAATAGGTGGTCCAAGCATCAAGAGAGAATAGGAAAACCACAGGACATGGTAGCCAATTCAAAATCAGCTACGAGCAGCTTGTCGGGATCCTCCCATACTCAGGAAAGGAAGACACTGACCTTTGGGCTCTCTAGGTATTTACTTGAGAGGCAAAGTCGAGGTGAGGATATATCTCATCCTGTGGAAGATTCCAAAATAAGTTCAGGAGTTCATTCTGCGGAAGTAAAACGTCATTTGGAGCGAATGAAGATACTTCTGGATGCGGAGAATGATATTACAGATGGAGGATCATATGCTAGAATATTGTTTCTAGAGGAGATCAAGTTGTGGATGATTGGCCGCCGGGTCGGGCTTTATTTACAGAAACGCAACACCTCGCTGTCTGTCAGCTCAGTAGCCACAACGACTATGGGGATTTCTTCACCGTACGATAAACAAAGCTCTGTATCAGAAGCGAGCGACCTATTCCTATCGCCATTCTCTGCGACAATAGAGGCCAGCCGTTGCTCAGAACGCGCATGGCTGGAGGACAAGGAGCTGCAAGGCCTGCAAGCTGATTTAATTGCTTGGGAACAAGCTTTACCGCCAATCTTTAAGTTCCGCTCGAACGCTGACGAGCCGGACATTAATCACAAAATCAATGGCAGACTTGGTAATGCAAGGTTACAAAATAAAATCAATGCCACGGCGTCTTGCTAATCTAACGATTCATGGTATTAATTAGGCTTTTTTTTTTTTTTTTTTTTTTTTTTTTTTGAAATAGGTATCCTCACTATGTACTATTATACGATCACAATTATGCTTCAGTCTTCATATCTTCCAATTCCTCAGTATCTCTTATCATCCTCACGATCGTCTGTTATCAAGTCACCAGAAAGTATTAATCGGGAGTTTGACGGATTGTTTAGCAGAGCGACTTCCACGGCAGCATCGGACGACAGCGGAATGCGGATCAAAATTGAAGCAGAGGAACACTTTTATACAGGACGATCGCTTCAGCCAAGCTACAATGGGTACTTCAATACTGCACACCAGATCTGCACCCAACTATCTAATGTTCTCTACCATCATGTAGAGGTTCTACTGGATTCTTATCCCAATTGGTGCTCTATCCAATGTAAGCTGAATCACAGTCTTACAGCAGCACTTCGCGTTTCATGTTTGAATGCTCGACTGAGCAGCAACTCCAAAGCAATTCGAGATGAGGCCAAAGCAGGCTTCAAGATGGGATCTGATCTATTCAAGCGACAAGCCGTTCTTCCAGAGCCACTTACGGTCCGAGACTGGCCAGCTGAGGAGGATGTCCAAGTGATGCTGGATCTTGAGGAAGAATTTAGAGAGATGATGACAAATCAAGACGAAGAGCTGGCAATGGCAGAGGCGCGCAGTAGAAGCCAGACAAGAGAGACCAGTGAAGGATTTGCAATGTATGAAGATCCAGGAGACCATCTGTTGTACTCACCAGACCCTCAAGATGCATCGAGGGCAAGTCCCATGCACTCGGTTGGCGCGATTACACAGCCACAATATGATTACTTGCGTGCTGAGCATGTCTTTGGACTGAGTGGCGAAGGCTTTCAATTTGACTACACCATTAATGTGTAAACCAAAGATAACAAGCCTTGAGGTTGGCTTCTGAGTCGTATCCTTTTTTTTTTCTTGCTTTAGTTTCCCATGCCCATTCTTTCTTGTGCTTTATAATTATAGTAAAAATCAAAAATAAAATCTTGATAACGCTCGGCCGTTGCGTCTTTTTTTTTTTTTTTTTTTTCTTCATAAATCAAAAAAGCATTGGACAAAAATATCAATGCCAATGAGTTTGTTGATACAATCAGATATTTATCATTAAGTAGGTTTGCTGATAGTTGTCCGTTGATAAGAAAATTATGTCTCAATCCAGGTTTTATTGCGTGAAAAAATACAGAATGCACACATGGGGCAATGATACTTTCGATAGCTTAGAAAGTAAGAGCCTGGCCTAGAATATCAGGATGCAAAATGCTGGATGTAAGAAAATGTTCCAAAATAATAATAATAGTAATAATAATAATAATAATAATAATAATAATAATAGTGATAATACTCATAGAGCTTACCCTTCTGCTTCTTATCACCACCAAGCTCAAAGTGCTTGCAGCGTTTCAAGGCAATCTGGTGCTTGTACTTGCAGACCTGGCACTCCAAACGGAGGACAACCTTCTTGGTAGTCTTGGCCTTCTTGTGGAAGACGGGTTTGGTCTGACCACCATAACCGGACTGCTTTCTATCGTAACGACGCTTTCCTGTTGAGAAAAAAAAAGCCGAGAAAAAAAAAAAAAAAAAAAAAGAGTCGTAATTTGTTTTTATCGATCCCCGATATTCCAAAGTTCCATTTCAATGTCCAAAACCCATGAATCCCATCAAGATTAACGGCATGAAAACCAAAAGAGAAAGAGAAAGAGGAGAGGAGGGAGTCGTCAGTTCTAATCTCGGGCCTTAATTGATCATGTTAACATTTTAACCGGTTGCTGAACAACCAAATATTAACTACAAATTATGGGAAAAAAAAAGTTCCATTACCCTGAGCGAAGAGCGAAGCTTTGCCGGTCTTGTACTGCGAGACCTTGTGGGCGGTGTGCTTCTTGCAGGTCTTGCCCTTGCAGTAGGTGTTTCTGGTCTTGGGAACGTTAACCTAGCCAAGTTCCACCCCCCATAAGTGTAAGTTTTTTTTTTTTCTTAGCGAACGAAGCACTGGAGGAAGAGACATTCCAATGATATCTCGTTTTTTTTTTTTTTTTTTTTTTTTTTTTTTTTTTAAAAAAAAAAATCCTGATCGCAAGAAAGTAAACTGCGGATTTTGCAGGGAGCTCAAATCATTATCAACACTTTGCAACAAAGAAAAAAAAAAAACTCTCCTCGAGTTTTATTTTCTTTTCGTTACAAACGTGTGAATAACCACAGCAGCCTCCCTACATGCCTCAGTCTTCCAAGTTTGCTCATGTGTTCCTGTTTTCCGACATGTTTTTTTTTTTTTTTTTTTTTTTTGCTTTCTTTGTATATTTGGGCATAATTCCTGGATTGTTGGTTAAAGAGCTTCATGTTCCTCAACTCGATTATGCATGGTTGAAAGGTAAGAAAAAAGAGGCGATTCAAACCACTACAGCGATTCTGTAGGGGCCGTTTTTGTTTTTGATATTGATCTGCTTCCTTTCATCATCAAGACTATTGATCCAGAATCCAATCATTAGAAGATTGTCGGAATGAGGGTGGGGAAGAGGTAGGGCAATCCTGCAGTGGTATATCCTCCAAGATATGGATTCCTTGTGAACTTTCTGTTTGATTACATATCAATAACGTGGCATCTCTGAGCACTGTGATAATATAGTCGGTGCGATGATAGCGCTGATTGTTGATAGATTGATGGATGCTTAGTAGGTAGACAGAAGTTGGGATACGATGCTCTTCCTCATTTTTTCCCCTTTAGTGACAAGTGTCCTGTCCTTTAAATTTAGTAGTACCATCTTAGAAAATGATAAAGAGGATGATCCAGTCTCAGCTCTAAGCACTCTTTTTGTGTTGTGTGGTCGGACAGAAATTTGGACGCTACCCTTAAGTAAATCATGCTAAAAATTTATATCGTTCTTTAATAGTGTTGATCAAGTCAAAATTATTTGTACCACTTTTTTTTTTTTTTTTTAATAAAAAAAAAAAGGAAAAAAAAAGTATGGCAGATTCCTTATGGTCGCGTTGTATAAAAACATACTCTTGTTTGAAGGAAGAACCGTTCATCAAGTTTTGTAGCCTTAAGGGAATGAAGACGCGTCGTTGTCTGTGAGTAAACGTGTCAAAAAAATAAAGATATTGGGCGATAAATAAAATGATCACGGAGAGCCAATCATCGACTTCCGCGTCTATAGGAGTTGTGTCTCTTGATCTAAATGGATAAATGAATCAACGAAATATAAACCCTTTTCAACGCACACCACAACCAACTCTCTCCACAACGTTCCCTCTCCTTTCTCTCTTTCTCTTTCTTCCTCTTCCTCTCCTCTCCCTCCACCCCTTTCCCGTACTTTGTCTCTTTTTCTCGCTTTCTCTGTCTGTTCCTCATTCCCATTGTCAAAACTCATGAAGTACAGTCTGTCATCCATTGCTCTTGGGGCGTTATTGCTCTCACAGTCCGCCTTTGGAGGTCTTTATTCTGCAAAGGATCATGTTGTCGATGTCACCGCTCAGACCTTCCAAGCTGAAGTCATGGACACCAACGTAACGTTGATACAAACGAATAGACGTGTATTCTCCAACAACATACCTATATAATTTTAACACTTGTTTATCTTTGATTTATTATATCGCATGTAGCAATTGGTGATGGTCGAATTTTATGCCCCTTGGTGTGGACATTGCAAAAAGTATGTAGGGAAATGTCATTTTCCTCAACCCACAGACGCAATGAGAGTTTCAGACTGATTAAGAAATGATCCTGATCGTCTTGCTTTTGTCTTTCGTATTTAGTTTGGCTCCACAATATAAGGCTGCAGCTCAAAACCTTCATGGGATTGCTAAATTGGCAGCAGTCGATTGCGATAATGAAAAAAACAGACCTGTTTGTGCCCAATATGATATCAAAGGTACCTAAAAGACACTGTACACAACACCACACTCAGAGCATCAGACAATTTGATGAACAGGTTCTAACTGATTTTTATTATTTATTTTCAAAAAGGTTTCCCCACGATTAAGGTTTTTAAAGCTAATAGGTTTGCAAAAAAGGGTGTGAAGTATCCTCAGGATTACATGGGTGAACGATCTGCTAAGGCTATTGTGGATCATCTAGTAAAGATGCTCCCCGATGACATTAAACTTGTCTCCAGCAACCCTTCCAGCGAAAAGATTACCAATATTGACGAGTTTGCAGCCAAGGAAGTACGACAACCAAAAAAAAAAAAAAAAAAAAAGAATTGGATATCATTTTTGATCTGATTGCAGACATTTGTACGAAATGAGATAAAAAAAAAAAAAAAAAAAAGAAAAAACCCCCGGAATCTAACTTCTTTTTCCTTCTATATCTCTGGTGTAAAAAAAAACTTTTATTTATTTATTTTTTATAGAATGAGGCTCGCGCATTGTTGTTTACCAAGAAGTTAACATCTAGCAATATGTACAAAGGCTTGGCAACAGAGATGTTGGACAGAATGATCGTTGCAGAGATGCGTGCGCCCAACGACGAGGTGCTGAAAAAATATAAGATTGACAGTCTTCCTGCTTTGGTGGTTTTCCCCAAAGGTCATCAGGAGCCAGTGGCTTATACAGGGGAATTGAAGCGTGATCCGATCTTTGAGTTCCTGAACCAGTATGCAGAGCCAGCCAAGAAGAGTAACTCATCAAAGAATAACTCGCAATCCTCAAAGTCCGAGCCATCGGCCCCTGCTCCATCACCACCTGTAGTAGAATTTGACCCCAATATCAATCAGATCCAGGACCAGGCTCAACTCAAGGAGGAGTGTTTGAGCAAGCCACGTGGTTCATGTCTGATTGCTTTCCTGATTGTCGAACCTGAGTTCCCTGAGTCTGTTCAGATGCATGAGGAAAATCTAGAGCTGTTGCGCACAGTCAAAAAAACGGCCCATGACACAGGCAAACCTTTACATGTTATGTGGATGGATGCATTGGACAAGCGAGTAGTTGATTTCAAGGACAAGTTCCAAGTCTCGAGCGATATCCCTGGCTTACTGTTGTTGAACCCTCGTAAGAAGGCATTCGCACCATTCGTGGGACAGTTTGATGTTCATGGTATTCAGGGATGGATATCTGATACGAGCAAAGGACGTGCCAGGGCTTTCCCTTACACATTCGACGTTGAGCTCCCAGAGCCCAAGACCAAGGAGCCAAAGACTGAGAAGGGGGGGTCCGCAGAGGAAAAGGCAGAGCCCGTGGTCAATGTCAAAGATGAACTCTGAAAGCCAACTTTTGACCACCATTGAAAAATAAAATTGTATTATAATTTATAATCTATAATTTATTTTTATTCTTTGTATCATTAAGAATCTATGAGGAAAAAGGGCTTCAACGTGACATCCTCTAAATTTTTCATTGTGGTGGGCACTGTTGACGTGTCACCAATCCCTAATGATGTACTCTGACGGCGCTTCCACTCGTATTATCGTTCAAATGACTTTTATAGTTTTATCTCTGAACCCTTTATATTCAGTTCAGAGGTTCAGAGTTGTAGATTGCTTCCGATGCTATCGGTTCAGATGCCTTGAATATATTCGTATCAGTTTCAAAGGATCCCTCCTTAACCAAGTCTTGGTCCATGACGTTGACTACTGTCTCTTCTTGTGGATAGGCTTGCGCCGTGTGCTTTACGCAACTCTCTGCAATCCCATTTTCTTCCTCGCCTTCTTTCTCCTCCCTGGATAGCCCACCCGACTTTATCTCGTCTGCGTATTCTTTGTCTATTCCCTTCTCATATGTGTCCTTATCCCGTTCTTTTTCAGGTACGTTAATGCTTCCCTCTACAGGCTTTTCCATAATGCACTGAATCCTGACCCCTGCTTTTTCCGGGCCCGCCTCAGCAACATGAGCTGTGCTATCATCAGTAGATACATCTTTTACCACTGCTGATAGTGGATCGGTAACTTCTGACTCAAGTCCATACTCTTGTTGTTTCCGTTGAGCCCTTTCGAATTCCAGCTGCTTCTGATGAAGAAGGTCGTTTAGACACTGAATCGCTTCAGGTTCTTCTTCAGATGGTTTATGAATAGTGTTTGTTGCTACTGTTGCTTTTATTGGTTTATCTTCATTCGAAGACATGAGAGGCTCATGTCGCTGCTGCTGCTGCTGATCAGATATTTTCTTCCCTTTTTCATTTAACCCTTTCTTTTCAGCCTTTGCTAATTTTTTTGCCTTTTTGTCATTCTTTTTCTCTTTTGACTTTCCATCTTCCCCCTTCTCTGTAGTGTTGGCATTAATGTCGCAGTTGGTCTTGCTATTATTGTTACTGGAGTCTTTCGATTTCCCCTTTGTGTTTGCATCCGTTGGATCTCTGCGCTTCTTTGAGCTACTGATGATATTACTTTCAGCTTTTTTGGCTTGGCGAACTGATTTGATACTATCAAAGTGAACCATGCTTGGTTGGAGCGGCACACCTTTGAAATATTTCGAGAGCTTGTGGATCCAGGTGATAATCTCATTTTTAACCACCGTGGCATCGATATCCCAATGAGCTATTTATTATTTTTATTTTGGTAAGACCATATGGAGCATGTATCATTAATAGAAAAAAAAAAAAAAAAAAAAAAAAAAAAAGTCAGTTATTACTTGAAGACCTGACGGATATATAAAAGTTTTTTTTTTTTTTTTTTTCTTTTTTTTTCTTCACATGTTGAAGTAACATACGGTCGTGCCTATTGCCTTTCAATGACTTAAACTTGATGTAGTATGGATGAAGCTCTGAGAGTCGAGTATATAAGGCTACTGTGGCAGTATACGAACATATAGGATCGTCTGTTCCATGCAAGAGTAACATCGGTAATGGTGCTGGAAATTTTTTCCAGCGCTTCATCAAAGCTTTGTCGCCTTGATAAACCATATCACCCACTTGATTTTTAAAGAAATAAAGAAGGATTCGATCAATACATATTATCAATGAGGCTAGTGCACTTGATGGGTTTAATCACCATGTCTCCCTCATCCTTACAGCACTGTAAAGAGATTGAGTCTCTAATAAGCCCATCGCCTTGATATCGTTCCTGTTCTGAATGGTCCCTTGTCAGTTCCTGAGGCGAGATCTCAAATCGAACGCTGATGTTGGGGTACCATTTCCCTAGTCGGTTGTAGACATTCGGAAACTTGGCGCCTACACCTTTAAGTACGGGCTTCAAGTAAGGCGAGGATACGATGATGCCCGCTAGAGATGTGATCCGTTGTCCGAGTCCACAGACATAGTTGAGGACAAGAGCACCACCCATGCCGTGGCCGTATAAGAAAAGCGGTTTTGTTGGATGGCAGGACGAGGCTCTGTCAATTGCATTATCAATCTCTTTGAGTAATATGCCGTATCTATGAAACAAAAAAAAAGAAGTTACTTTTTCTATATATAAGAATACAAAGAAGAAGAAGAAGAAGAAAAAGAAAAAAAAAAAAAAAAAAACGCACTTCAAAAGCAGAGATAATAAATACTTTACCCGCCAGTTATGCCGAGCGCATTAGCTCTTGCGCCCGTCTCTCCAAGGCCAGGCAAGTCAAATGCCTGGACTTCAATACCTTTACCCGCAAAGTAACTAAAAAGGGGCTGGTATCTTTCGCAGTGCTCAACGACGTCATGAATGAATCTATTTAACCATAGTGTAGAGTTAGACAAATTAAAAAGTGATCTACACGATCCATTTGAGCAGATATCGATGGTGCCGGTTGGAATTATGACAACGACAATAGTAACGGCAATAACAACTAGATAAATAAATAAATTAAGTCCTGCTTACATTGCGACTGAGTGTGTAGGGACGACGAGGGGCTGCCATGTTTTTGTGAAGATGTGGATGGAATTGTTTGTACTTTTGACCCAATCATTTTTGACCCTGAACACTGGCTCTTGTTCTGTCTTATCTTTTACTTTTTGATTAATACCGCCTCCAGAGTCATTATTGCTATTATGAAGTGTGCTGTTGATGCCGTTAGTATTTAAGGGGACTCCTCTTGGTTGGATGAATGGCATTTTTTTTTTATAGAAAAAAAAAAAAGAAAAAAAAAAGGAAGATGAAAAAAGGAAGGTATGAGAAAGAGAGAGAGAGAGAGAAAGAAAGAGCAACGCGTTTATGATTAAATGGTGGCAAGTGGAAAGAAGGATAAGAAATAAAGATTTTATTAAAAAGGATGGTTCAAGAAAGTAATGCTCATCATGGATGTCTTCCCTGTGCGTTTCTTGTGTCTAGCATTATAGCCAGTTACAAGTTACAGTTAAAATAAAGGGTTAAAAAATAAAAATTAAAGAAAAAAGTTGATGGATGCCAACGTATGAAATGTTACAACAAAGGAAAAAAAAAAAAAAAAAAAAAAAAAAAAAATTGAAGATCAGGTTGATCAAGGATGAGGAAGAGTCAGTGCATTATGTCATGGATTTATGGAACAAGACCAGCTCGTTTTCTGGGGATATAAAAGGATGAGATAAGGAGGATTTCTTCACAGCAATTTTTTATTTTTATTTTTTTATGCCCGAGCCGTTTTCCGTTCATCAGTAAATGCCTCCTTTGCCTATCCTACTCTTTTATTTGAAGCGCGTGAATCTATAGGAAAGCCATGGCTATTTACATATTATTACCAAGTGAAAGAAAATAGCAATAGTAATAGTAATACTATGGTTCTAAGCTAGTGCTATGACTGAAGATGACAAGGAAAGTGAGGCGCGTGATGATGGTTCAGATTGGAATGTCAAGTGGATCCAGTCTGCAGGAGCCAGACACGTTCTTCTTTCTCTTTTACCTTCCACTCTTTTTTAATACATTTATCTCCTCTTTATACACTTGGTCTTTTCATATTCAACAATTAACTGCCTTTCAATACACCTTTTTCTCCAACTCCCCGCTTTTTTATTATAAGAAGAAATAAGAAGAAAGTGACAGTTTTTTCCACTATATCTCTTCCCAAGCAACTGTACAAATAAGAAGCAGCCAGACTTTTTTTTTTTTTTTTTTTATTTATTTATTTATTTATAAAAAAGAGGTATCATCAGTATCATCATGGGCTTCGCACAAGACATGAAAAAAAAGACAGAGTCTATCAGGACCGGTGGCTTCAAATCAGGGTTCAGCGCCCCTAATTCTCCAGTGGGTGGTATGGTTACTGTTAGTGGGTCTTCAGATGAGTACGGATATTCAAATCGCCCCATATACAGCGAGGATTGCAATAATACCCTAAATAGTATTAATAGTCCAGTTCTCTCAATGCGATCCTCAAAGACAGGAAGGCCATATTACCAAGAGCATAGAAAAAATAAACTCAGCAAAAGCGAAAATGGAACTCAAGCTCATGCTCATACTCTATCACCGTTATCGGCGCATGTCCCGACAACGGGTGCCACAGTTTCTATGACATATCATGGCATAGCAGGAGGCGGATCATTCATAAATCTAATCCATGATGATTATCGTCCATTGATGGATGAACTTAAGGAGACATATCGCAGAAAGATCAAGCCGTTGGAGACGACCTATAACTTTGAAGGCTTTCATTCTGCACCTCTATCCGACAGTGATATCGAGGCAAAGCCTATAGTTCTTCTCATTGGCCAATATAGTACAGTATGTTTATTCTTTTTTTTTTTTTTTTTTTTTTTTTTTTTTCTATTCTCAGAGTCATTTCCAGAACAGGAAAAAAGATAGGGTTTCTTATTCGCATTTTAACCAAAATAAACTCATAGGGCAAGACCACGTTCATCAAGCATCTTACGGAGTGCGACTATCCTGGGTCTCACATCGGAGTTGAGCCAACGGTATTTTTTTTTTTTTTTTTTTTTTTTTTCTGTTCCTGAATATTTCTGTGCAACATTCAGACGCGAAACTCTAATTTCTCGTGTTACATAAACTCCGATGCAAATTCCGCGCATTGACTCATCTCCTGACCGTTTTTTTTTATTTTATTTTTTTATATTGCTGGAAATAGACGGATCGGTTTGTAGCAGTGATGAATGGTGTCGAGTCGCGTGTTATTCCTGGAAATGCAGCTGCAATGACTTCAGACATGCCCTTTCGTGGCCTTAACAAATTTGGTCAAGCATTTTTAACGCGGTTTCAGGTGTCTCAGTGTCCTGCGCCTTTATTGGAGAACATGACGCTGATCGACACCCCAGGTATTCTCGCGGGCAATAAGCAGCGAATTGAACGTGGATATGATTTTACAAAGATTATAGAATGGTTCGCAGAACGTGCAGACCTGATCCTATTGTTCTTTGATTCTCACAAACTCGATATCTCGGATGAATTCAAAGCCTCAATTCATTCACTCAAGGGTCAAGAAGAGAAAGTACGCGTGATCTTGAATAAGTGCGATATGGTGAGCCAGCAGCAACTGATGCGTGTTTACGGTGCTTTAATGTGGTCCCTCGGGAAAGTCATCCACACGCCCGAGGTCATGCGTGTCTACTTGGGCTCATTCTGGATTCATCGACCACCCAATGTATTCGAGGATTGCCGTGGCCTGTTGGATGCGGAGCAGGCAGATCTGATTCGGGATTTACGTGAGCTACCTAGGAATGCTGCTATACGTAAGGTGAACGAAATTGTGAAGAGGGCACGACAGGCTAAGGTGCATGCATACATTATTGGACATCTCAAAAAAGAAATGCCAGCAGTCTTTGGCAAGACCTCACGACAACAAGAACTTATCCGTGATCTCGACAAAGAGTTCCTCAAGGTTCAACAGAGCTATGGTATCCCAGATGGAGATTTCCCCAATGTTGAGAAACTTCGTCAGTCTTTAAGGGCCTACAAGTTTGAAAGCTTTTCAAAACTTAAGGAGCCGATTCTAGCGGCTGTAGAGGAGGCACTTTCGGTTGATTTGCCCAAATTGATGCGTCGGTTCCCTCAGGGCAACCCATTGTTGGAGCAAGCTCAGCGGAATCCCTTTTTAATCCCAGAACCAAATGTGAATATGGGTATTAGTGGCGGTAGTAGTAGCATCAACGGTAGTGAGATCCCTCCGAGTTACTGGCATTTTTCTTCAATCGACAAAGCAAGTTCTACGCCTGTCTTCAAGTCACTTCATCCGGTAGAAGGCCGAGTTAATGGCTCAACTACGAAACCTTATTTGTTGAGTACAGGTCTTTCGACCGAGATTCTGGCCAAAGTATGGGCATTGGCAGATTGGGATGCAAATGGCTATTTGGACGAAAACGAGTTTGCAGTGGTGATGCATCTGATTCGGGCAGTGGAACATGGAGGTGAAGGAGTTTTACCCACTACATTGCCTCGCACCATGATTCCATACGCGTAATAAAATAGGATGTATGAATCTGAGAAAAAAAAAAAAAAAAAAAAAAAAAAAAGGAGGGGGGAATGCTAATTTATTTTTAAAAGTACATCAGAAGAAAGCAGTATTTCACTAAGTATTATTTGAGACAAAGAAAGTAAGGAAATGGTATACTGCCAGTGGCGGATCTATGAGTTGACACCAAAGTCTGCAAGATGGTTTCTATATTATATATATAAGGTCAGAAAAGGATTTTAAAACGGGAAAAAGTATTAAAAAAAAAAAAAAAGTATGTTCAATTGTGCCGGAACAGCTTCATTCCCAGCCAGTTGAACAAGACAGCAAGTACAGTTACTGGAATAGTCACAGGAAGTAGCATGCAATAGTGGCTATCTTGTTTGATCCAGTCAAGAGTCTAAACAAAGATATATATAAATCAAAGAGTTAGGCACAATAGAGCGGACTTCATGTTACATCGCAAAAATACTCTTCAACGCATCAATGTTAGCATAATTTTTTTTTTTTTTTTTTTTTTTTTGACTTTACCGCCTTTTTACCTTATTGCCAGTCATGGGCATGTAATTAGATGCCACAAGAGCGTACATACTGGTTGTAAAGCCAATCATTGTCGAAAAGAACAGCAGATAGCCCCACAAGTAGGTTGTATCTGGTTCTTGATCTGAAATTAATGTTGTAAATCGACGAGTATGATGTGGCGTGTTAAGGGCTTTTGACCGCAAGGTTGAAGATGATCCGAGGCGCTTTGATGAGCTGGATGCAGTAGAGAGTCTCCTGCGACGCATTAAACCATCTGGATTCCTTGATGATAAGGAGGGTCGACGATGAGTTTGATGCTGCTGTTGCTGGTATTGGTAGTGTTGTGCTTGATTTTGGTACTGTGGGTTTGGATGCGAGTGTTGTATACTTGAGTAGGATAGAGTATTTGATCGGTGATGGGGCAGGGAGTTCGGTTGGTAATCATCATAGGACGCATGGTTGGTATGAATGTCGAGGTATGAAGACAAGGACGACGACGGTGGATGTGGTAAGCTAGGAAAAGTATCGCGTCGCTGTTCAAGATAATTTGCGGATAGAGTATTTGTCGAGGCTAGGCTCGCATTGTTTCCATGACTGCTGCTTTTAATGGAGAGAGGAAATCCAAATGATAGTGAAGATGGGTCCTGTCGTGCCTGTCTTTTGAGCGGTGATGATGTGGAATTGTCAAAAGAATGAGATGCTCCAGCAGACGTTCCAGATGCAGCATTAATCCTTGCGTTCGCAGCCAAAGTTGTACCACTATATCCATTGACGAGGGATGGAGTCATGTCGCCTGTTCTTTCCTTTCTTGAGTCCGGCATGGGAATGCAATTCGACAAGGAGAAGGAGCATGATAAGACCATCCACTCCATCAAGTGCATGCCAACAATGAGAGCCAAGAAAAGGAATGGTCCCAAAAAGGCAATGCCTCTTAACAAGCCACATCAAGTAAACAAGATCAAAAGGCCGACACACATCTTGACTCTCATTTCCTTCTCTTTCATAATACCTGAACAAACAGACGAAAAGGCTCAGAAGGAAAAGAGCGAGAATTTAGCTGTGCTATATGCATGCGTTTAAGCCCGGTCGACTAGCGCAGGGCAGACATGCAGGTCCTCATTCCTGGGACAGCCAGCTTGCGACGCTGATGCTACGCCTGTTCTGTAACCAACACCTTCCTGTTCATAGACCTTCGTTCACCTACACAAGAATACCCCCCCATTCCAATGGTTTCCTTTCCAACCGTGCATACCACTCTATTGATGGGATGTCTATAAACCAGAACACGTTGCTGGATGCTTCATCACATGTATCTCAGACGTCTCAGGCACCATCCAAGCAACAACCGACCATCACTGCTTTTCTTGCACCTCCTGGCACTGAAAGGCATTATAACCCACAGGAGACAATTGCAGATAGTTTCAAGCCGATAGGGAAGCGCAGCGATAATCATAACCAACCGGACTCATCTGTGCAGAACAGTGCAAAATCGGATCCAATCTCACCGTTTCGGTTAATCACGGAGGCTATCGAAACTAGAAATGCTCATCAGGTCTGGCACACATACAGCCGTCTTACCAGCAGGAGATTCGACGATGGGAGGGCGCCTTTCACAGCTTCGACATACTTCAAGATACTGCATTCTTTTCAGGCAACCAGGACAAAACAATCGGCTAAAAGAGCTATGATCGTCTATGAAGACATGAAGAAGTATCACCAACCTAAAATTGCAACTCTAAACAGAATGCTCGATATCTTGGTACGGCACGAAGATGTCAACTGGGCTATCCAGTTTTTCCAAGAGGACGTGGAGCGGTTCGGTCGCACTCTGAATATTTACAGTTACAATATCATGATTCGAGCACTGGCGGCAGACGGGCAGATCTTGGCAGCAAAAAAGATTTATGATGATCTACGGACTGGTGGGCTTGGTAGTCAGCCTGATATTTCGACTTACTCCACACTTATGAGCCACTACAGCAAAAATGGTATGCAGGAGGAAATGGATAAGGTCCTTGATGAGATGCTCCAAGATGGAGTTAAGCCCAACATGCATATTTTCAACCTGATTGTCAAACGGTTTGTCAAGAAGAGCGATTATGTGGGCGCTCGGAGGGTCCTGACACTTTTGAAAGAGAATGGCTTGAAGCCGGATGTCATCACCTATTCGACTTTGATCGATGGCTACGCGAGGAATGGGGATGAAGAGGCGATTGCGCAGATCCAGAAGGAGATGGCGGAGAACAGGGTCTATGCCAATGCTCAGACTGTCACCAATACTATCAAGGTTTTTGCTCGTGGATTCCTTGACTCGGATGTTAACGATATTCTTGAGGATCTCTTGAAATCGATGCCTCCGCAGGAGATGAATGATATTACATTTGGGGTCCTGATGAACGTTTATGGAAAGCGTAAAGATCTGGATGCAGCTATGGGAGTCTACAATCACCTCATAGCGAAGGGCCGTGCTGTCAATGATGTGATTTTATGTTCACTTCTAGATGGCCACGTACGTGCTGGCGAGGTTTCAACAGCGAATAGGATCTTCCATGAGCATTTCACAGCCCGTAACATCCGACCGACGACCGCATGGAGTTATAGTATTATGATTGTAGGCTGCTGCAAGCAGGGTAATCTGCAGGACGCTTTGCACTATTATCATGGGATGAACAGCTCCCATATTGCGCCAAATGCCATCGTTTGCAGTCGGTTGATCCAACTCTATCTCCAGCACCACCAAGTAGATAATGCTCGACAGATGGTACGGCTTATGCGGAATACAAAGTTGACTATCTCGTTGCACACATATACGATGTTGATAAATTATCTTTCCAATACCAAGGACTTCCGGGGAGCTCTCCGCTATTACCAAGAAATGCTCGACTCTGGAGTCCAACCGGATGTTTACTGCTATACGGTTTTGATCAACAACCACATTCGAGCTAAAAATTATGCGGCATGTGACAATACTTTTGAGCAAATGACAAAGTCGGGGATTCAACCAACGACAGAGGCTTTCACTTCGATTATCCATGCCCATTCATTGCAGGGCAACGTTGAGCGGGTGAAGGGCTATTGGATAGCTATGACTAACATGGGACTTTTACCGGACCTCAAGTCCTTCACTTTGTTAATACAGACCTATAGTCAGCAGATGAATGTTGAGATGGTGGAGTTTATCTTCAAGGACGTTTGCCAAAAGGGGTTCAAGCTCGACAGCATATTGCTGACAACACTGATTGGTCTCTACCGTAAGCTGCCGCGGTTGAATGTGAAGAAGGTTGATGAAATCACGGCTATGATGGAGGAGTTTGAGCTAGAACCTTTGCCAGAGTTCTTCCGACAGCTTTTGGATGCATATGGTGAGCATGGTATGCCTGATCGTGTGATCAGGACGTGGCGTCAACTACAGAGCCTGGACAAGCCATTGAACTGGGGATTGAGCACAAGTAACTTTCTGCATTTGATTGAAGCATGTCGAGACCGAGGGTACATTGACACACTCCATTCTGTATGGCATAGTGCCACGATGGGAACCAGAGCATCTCTAAGGGCTAGATCAGCCCAAGGGGTCCAAGGAGATGTAGGTGACGCGTCCTTGGTAGGGCCAAAGAATTCAGAGTTTCCACAGGTCAATTCCTATGTAGGGTTTGGGCACTATGTAAGGCCAGATCCCGAGGTGTTTACAGCGTACTTGAACGCGCTCTTGACTCACAATCGGTTTAATGAGATTGAAGCGCTGTTGGATGAGGAGTGCCAGAAAATTGGAATAAATCCACGGACGGAGGATTTTGAGCTCCTCTTTGGTGGATTGGCACAATATGACTTTTTGAAGAAAGAGCTTGTAAACATCCGGGAGATTGTGGTTCGGAGATGGCCCAAGACTGAATCTATTGTGGACAATATTGTTTTGAATACGAGAAGGATATGATCTGTGGTTTTTTTTTTTTTTATTAGACATGAACCGGCCAGTCAGCAAGCGATTCAAGACAGATAGAGCCCTTTCTTAAAGATATAAAAAAACTTTTTCATCGCCTGTTCCTGTATAGTATATGTCACTTGTGTTACAATCAAGCTGCTGGAATTCGTCATGCATATGTTTATTTATTTATTTTTTTAGAGTAAGGAATAAATTTATCTTGTTGTGTGCCACTCTTTCTTCTTCTTCCTTCGCCTCCTCCCCCCCCCCTTTTTTTTTCTTTTTTTTTTTTTTTTTTTTTTTTGCTATTACTGTTGTTGCCATAGTGTTTGCCGTCGTTATTGCTGTTGTACTTGTTGCTTAATGTTGATGCTAATTCTTAAGCGTTTTTTTTTTTTTTTTTTCTCTTGTGCCTGGGTGTGATTGTGCCTAGATAGATCGTGTGGCTGCTTTTCAGAGTCTAAATTTCCACACGTTTGTCGCTGTGAGATGAGTAAGGGTCCAAAAGGACACATCTTGAGATGTTGGGAAAAAAAAAAAAAAAAAAAAAGGCCCTGTTTACAGTTCTGAAGGATATTTATTTAATATGTGATACATTATTATATATACACATTTATATTGTCATTGTCATTGTCACTGTCAATGTCATTGTCAGTACCATTGGCCATTGAAACAGTATTTGTTTGTTGTACATCCACATCTCGTTCAGCCATGGAAATCTGTTTAATCAACGACATCAATTATAACGACAAAAAAGACAAAAAGTAAAGTGATTGTAATAAAAAAAATTTCTTATCCTCTCTTCCTCCTCTTCTCTTTTCTCTCTTTCTTCTCTCTTCTCCGCTCTTTTCTCTTTCTCTTTTTTCATTCGTCTCTGTTCTTTCCTTCTCCTCCCTCTTGTTTACCTCTCTCTCTTCTCTCTCTCTCTCTCTTTTTTTTTTTTTTTTTTTCTTTTTTTTTTTTCTCCTCCGCTCCATATTTTGTCTATTCCACACCGCTGGAAACAGACCCATTACATCTTTTTACACACCAAACGCTCTTCTTTTGCTCACAAAGAAAAAAAAAAAATCACAACAATAACAAAAAGTAAACAAAGTAATCCATCGTATATATATATATTCAGATATTCGACTTTTATCAAAACTGCACACCTGCACATCTTTGCTCCATTTACGTCTCGAAAACACTCTTTCGGAACACTTTGACACAGCCCCGATCTGCTTTAGTATCACACAAACCGTTCGTCAACCTCATCCCCCTTGTTTCCTTTTTTTTTTTTTTTTTTTTTTTTTGTCATCTATTTCTACTTTTTCTTTTTCTTTTCCTCTTCTCCTTCTTCTTCTTTTCTCACTCAAATCGCTCAAATCATATCCATCTCACTTTTTCTTTTTTTATCCTTTACCAGATCATCGCCTCTTTTTTTTCTTTTTTCTTTTTTTTTTTCCTTGCTCATCAACCCCCACCCCATCCCCCCCCCCCTTTTTTTTTTTTTTTTTTTTTTTTTTTGCTTTTTGTTATTTTATTTATTCTTTCACAACAATCACAACAATGTCACGACTTCAGGAACGCGTCTTTGATTTAGTCATCAGTCATCAACAGTTGACGACATTTGATCCCGCGTCATCTCACATCTACCCTGATGGCGGTGATCATAGCCATGCATCCGATAGTTTTAGCATGTCCTCGGACATTCGATCCAGTGTTTACAAGATTGATGGATTTGGCCATGCAGACGGCTATGACGCGCAAGGCTCTCTCGAAGGCCATGAGGACGGACTGTGCGAGAAATGCATGTCGTACAAGCCCGAAGAATTATGTGCAAATTGTGCTTACTGCCGTGCTTGTTGCGGATGCAAGAAAAAGTAATCTGCATTGTTATAATAAGCAAGGCAAGGCAAGGCGAGGCAAAGCAAGGCAAGGCAAAGTAAAGCAAAGCCAAAGTCAAAGCCAAGCCAAAGTCAAAGCCAAAGCCAAAGCCAAAACCAAGCCAAAACCAAACCAAGTCAAGCCAAGTCCAGTCAAGCAAGCAACATTGGATCCACATGTGAAGAATTTTTTTTTTTTTTTTTTTTTTCTACAAAAAAAAAAATTTTTTTTTCTTCAGTACGCCATGGGGGACAAGCTTCTTTTTGCCACCGTTTTTTTTTTTTTTTTTTTTCTGTTTCTCTTTCTCACTAATAATATATCTTTCTGTACAATGTACTCTTTATTGTTACTATTGTTATTCCTTTTTTACTTTTTCTTTTCCTTTTTCTTTTAATTTTTTTTTTCTCCTAATTCTTTCTTTCTTTTCATGTCCTTTGCATTGTCAAATAACAACAATATCATCATTATTATCAGTAAGAAATAACAACCTTAAAAAAAGCCGAGCATGAAATTTCATCCACAGATTTTGAAAGCAAGGCAAAAAAAAAAAACGCCGTCATCATCTTTATTATTATTTTTTTTTTTCTTTTCTTTTCTTTTTACCTATTGGTGGTGTCAGCCTCGGTATGATTACCGTTTGTGAATACAAGAATACAAGCGATGTTGTACCTTCTTCCTATTACCATTTTATTTTTTTTTCTTATTCCGCTTCAAAGCCTCCGCATCCTCTTTCTTTTTTATATATATATATTTTTTTAGTTTTTATTCTTTTTTTTTTTTATTGGCTCTATTACAAATAATCATTTTTAAAGTGTCCACGTTTTTTTTTTTTTTTTTTTTTTTTTTTTTCTTTTCTTTTCCCATTTTGTTCACACATCCACTCATTGTAGTTTTACCATCATTCTGAATAAAGATCGATTTATATATATACAGTTCCAATAAACCCAATATATAGTCATCATAAACAAACCCACTTTTTTATTTTTTTTTTCTTTTATTAATTGATTAATCTCATTAATTACAATATTACAATACACTTTTAGTATCTACTTTATTTATTTATTTATTAGTGTCATTATTACTCAATCTTGGAACATTAAGCAATATTGCACACACAAAAAAAAAAAAAAAAAAAAAAACAGATCGAAACAGATCGGGAAAAAAAAAAAAAAAGAAAGAAAGAAAAGAGAAAAAGTGGAGAGCAGACAAAACATGTTCAATGGAAAGAAAAAGTAAGAAGAAGAGAAAGTGTGCGAACAAGATGTGTAGCGAAAAGCATTAGGAAAAAATAAAATAAACACATGCACACATGCACAAGTGCCTCATAATGTGTATCTTATTCATTTGATCCGCAATAAGGTGACAATATTTAAAGTAACTGAATCTTCTTCAACTTGAAAGAAAGAAAAAAATTCTTCCCGCACCTCAGAAAAAAAAAAAAAAAAAAAAAAAAACCAGCTGAGACAGAATAGATCAGAAAGAGACAGGGAAAGAGGAGAGGGAGGGGAAGGATAGTTGACTGGACCTTGTTTCTTTCCGTCCATTTTGAAAAAGAAAAAAAAAAAAAAAAAAAAAAAAAAGATTAATGAGCGCGTCGTGTTTATGTTTGTATATGTGTCACAACAGAACACAAGATATTACAAAAATCAACATTAGCACATTATTACGAAGCACCACTTCTCACGCCTCTTCCAGTTCACATACATCTATTATACATGCACATGAAGTCAATCCATCTTTCCGTCCTTTTTTTTTTTTTTTTTTTTTTTTTTTTTTTCTTCCTTGAGATGATGATCTCTTCCTTTGCTACATCTAGCCCCCTCCCCCCCCCCCTTTTTTTTTATCTTTATTTTATCTTTTTTTTTTTTTTTTTTTTTTTTTTTTCTATAGATGTACAGGACTGTATACAGTATACATATAACTTCGTAGAAAACACCATCTCCTTTTGGTCATTTATCCTAATGCAACCATGAAACCCAATTATTTGGGTTATTGTTGCCTTGTTGACGTATTCTTCCTTCCTATTTATTTTTTTATTTTTTCCCCCTTCTTGTCATATCAACAGAAGTTTATTAGTATATACATGTTATATGCTGTAGCTAGATCATGTTCAATTGAACCTTATACATAAAGTAATACAACAGAAATCTCTATCCTATGCGTGTTCCTGATAGAAAGTTTAAGGGGGCTAGTATGCTTTGTTGTTGAATGTGTGTGTGTCTATGTGTATGTGCGTAATGTTTAAACATAATACATCTATATACATCTATATATATAAATAAATAAATATAATGCGTGAAATCTGTTCAGGTTCATCAAAAAGTCTAAATGGCGGCAATTTCTTGTTTCTCATAGTCACGCTCCCTTGATGCTTCATACCCCGGTTCTGATTCCAGTCGCTGTTGCTCCATCGCTGCCTCTCGTTCTGCCCTCCTCTCTTTCTCACGCTCCATCATCATCTTATCCAAATACAAGGCCATCTCTCGATCTTCCGATTCATACCGTCGTGCGTCCAACTTCCGTTTCATCACCTCGAACACTAAAAACCCTACACTGGCCGCTGGAACCGCCCGGATGGCCGTTGTTGCGAAATTCGAATAGAGAAACCGACGCCATCCGCCCACCCGACTCGCCTGACCTTTACACTCCTCCCACGTCCTCTGATAAAGCTCTGATGAGATCGACGTCCCTGAACGCATCGACGATGAGTTCAAGTGCTGAGAATGTGGACTCTGTGGATTCCGGTTCTTCTCCGCTTGAAGTTCCGTCTCCTTTGCGAAAAATATATTCTTGATCTGCTCCATAGGATAGTCCACAACTTGATAAGCAACTGCTGCTGCCGCGCCTGCAAGCAGAACAAATGCTGGCTCAAGCAAAAAATAAGGTCTCCTGGATGCATCTACAGCACTAGAGGCGATAGCAGTGGTAGCATTGGTAGCATTGGCAGCATTGGTAGTGGTAGTGCTACTGGTAGTTGGCAATGATATTGTTGAACTGAAATCCCTCGCATTCACGTTACTATTATCGCCATTGCTCGTGAGTGCGTCGTAGTCTGCATTCGCCTTTGCTTTGAGAGCATCCAGATCCTCACGTATTCCATAAAGTTCATCAATGAAATAGTAGTATCCCTGCTGTTTCACCCACTCGAACACTCCAAAAAACAATCCACATGCCAAAGAATCCTAAAACAAGTGTTAAAAAAAAAAATACAGAGCTTTAGTTATGCCTAGCATTAAAAATAAAAAAAATAAAAAAAAAAACCTTTTTCTTCTTCTTAAACGAACCTTAATGAGTGTAAGAGCATATCCCCTGTATACAGTCTTGAGTCCCATCTCCTTTAATGTCGTAATCGCAAATGATGCCATGTTCTTATGCTTGCCTCCATAAGCAAGGTCCTGTACCTGAAATTTGACTTTGAGTGAATCTATGGGCGCTGCAATTAGAGATTGTGCTGCACCTGCCAAGGCCCCTGCCATGAACACAGCTGGGAAAGGTGGTGGTGGGAATGTTCGCGATTTTTGAAAAGTAAATGCTGGATGGAAGATAGGAAGGGTGAAAATATAAGTGGTATAGAGAACCGATCCAATGAAGGAGTTCAACAGTAACGGTGGCAACACTTGACGGTACACAAATCCTGCCCCTTGTGTTTGAATCGCATGTGTCAACATTCCAATGGAAGTCGCCCGAAAGAACTGTGATCCCTTGGAGTTACTAAGAACCTTTTGGGCATGAACAAGACGATCTTGTGGTGGTGGAATCAGTCCCATGGTTGCTGCACGAGCCATCACAAGGTAGTCAACGCGCATGGGTCTGAAGAGCTTTTTTTTTTTTTTTTTTTTTTTAAAAAAAAAAAAAAGGTAGACTCGATTAGTTGCAATGACATTTTCTACTCCCTAGAAACTAAGCTCGAGGAGGAAGGAAAAAAAAAAAAAAAAAAAAACAATCATGTACCTTAATAGGAACCCTGTACCAAAACTGTAGTCCCTGTAGAAGCATTGAGCGTGCCACTGCAGTAGGCACACCAACGGAAGCAGACTCTCGAACATTGTCCTTGCTTTCGCCCCCCTCTACTACAGCATAAGCAACAACCGTTGGCTGTGGGCGAATTACAGGAGTATGGGTGATCTGATCAGCAAGGTCGCTGTCATATTTGGTGAGAAGAGGAATCCATGAAGAATTACTCCCTGTAGAATAAGACACTGATCCGAGAGCAGAAATGCCCAATGGGATTGTGTTGGAAAAGGATTCAGAAGGAATGGTGGACAATGTGGGCATGCTCAAGAGGGTCAAGAGGTCGACATGAATCAATTTTTTATCTTGATTCGCAAGCAAAAGAAGAGAATGAATGGAATGAATGGAGAGAGAGAGATGTTCCAACTTTTGCTCAAGGGATACAAAGGCAGGTATTAATGTGAAAAAGTAGACAATTGAGAAATGAGAAATGAGAAATGAGCAATGAAAAAATGAGAAATGGGTGATCAATGAATAATGTCAGGGACGAAGCCATGACAAAAATGGTAATTTCTTTCCCCAAGATTAACATATTTGCGTGCATGAAGGGACCGTGTCGGTATCGCATACTCACAATTCACAATATACATTACACAAGACAAGATCAATTGTGAGAATAAGAAAACATCTACACTTTATTTTCTCCCGAGTTCGCGTGGGATAGAGAGGCTATGGAAAAACCCTAGGATGGCAATGGTAGCCATAAGGAAGAACACAAAAAAGTAATTAAAGGGAAAATCCAGCTTGTTGGAAAGAGACCAGGCCCAGAGAACACCGCCAAGAGCAGGGCCAAACGCACGCATCAAAGAAGCTGAAGTTTGACCGATACCATTGACGGTCCCAAGCAGATAAGCTGGTGAGGAGTTGGTGACCTATTAGTGAAAATAAAAACAAGAATAATCCCGATGCCGGGGGTCATTCAATTATATATTATATACGTTGTTTAAAGTACACAGAGGTATCAGACATGGGCTTGTTTTTCTTCACAAGTAATCGTATTAACTTACCATGACCATCACGGATGTGTACGAAAATACAGAGCATGTATATTTGATCGTTAGGGCAACTAGAATCAAGTAGCGTACTCGTGGGGTTTGCCCTGCTGTCGGTCCATCGTTCTCATCCACAGCAAAGGCGCGAATCAATGGGAACACAATGTAAGCACAACCATAGATCAACTGCCCAAATTGGAAGATGGACACTGCAGAAAACCGTCGCTCGAATTGCGGATAGATGATGAACTGCAAAACCAATTGAGCGAGACCCATGCTGGCTAAGCTACCCGAGAGTTGAATTGCGCTCCAACCGAGTCCGTGCGACCTTAAGGGTGTCACTGCGAAAAGCGTATACACTTCTTCAAATACGATTGAATGCAAGGCCAACATGGCATAAGCAATAATGGTTGTGATAGAGACCGGAGGGAGCCCAGTCCCGGACTGTATAACGACAACCTGCATCGGTTGCTGGGTATCTTTGTCCTGAGGATCGGAAGTAAGCACGTACATCTGAGAGGGTGCCGCCGACAAACGACTTACTCTACCCGATCCGAGAGCCTCCATACCCCTGCTGATATTCTGGTATGGGTTTCCGTCTTGGTCACAACATCTTATAGGGGCAACATTCATAGGCTCATCACTAGCCCGTGGTGACCTAGAGGCAGAAGAATCAGCTAATGAAAATAGGCTGCCTAAGGACATTGGGCGAGACCCATAGAATTGGTGCTTCCCAGCACTGCTTGGTAATTCAAAATAGCTGTTGCTGACACCCAGGGCACCGGATACAGATCCACCTCTCTGATGCCACAGCACGTCTGGCCTAACGAAGCCGGATCGCCTTGAGAGCGTTGATCGAGCAGACACAGATAAAGTATTGGGGATATACAACGGTATATGATGGCCTCCATCATCTTGGGCTAATGTCATCATGGATCCATATCGTATTGACCTACCCATACCTTGGTTCATAAACTTTACCTGGTTGAATTGAGAATCGTTCGGATGGGCCATGAGGGGTTGTCGTTCAAGGTCGACATTCATCGGTGGACCTGATCTTAAGGTGAAGGCAGGTATTCCAGTGGATTTGGCCGAGTGAAGGGTCTCAGCTTCATCATTGTAAGCATCTGGTCGCTCTGAGTCATTGTGGAAGTTGACAGGACAGCTTGCATTATTCTGCATCAGGTCATGTGTATGTGTCTTTGCTCGTCTATTTGTCTCTTCAAGGAAAAAATATCCAATTATAAACCCGATGAGACTACCAATGGCCGCGACAAAACAAGGGAGGAAGTATGGGTACTCGATGAAGAACTGCAATTCACCAAATATCTCGGGAAAGTTCTTTGCAGGATCAGCGAGGTATCCACCAAGGACAGGCCCTATATCAGAATATAATAACAGTAATAATAATAATAAATAACTCTTCAGTCGTTACGCGCAGATGTACAAGCAGAAGATGAGTTATTCCACGGCGCAGCTTCCGATCAGCTTTAAATACATACCAACAATCTATGGTACAAATCAGAAAGCAAAGGTGTTTGCAATGTTTGGTTAAGAGTCTCAATTGATCAATGTCTTTATGAAACCTCACAAACCAGAGTAACTACTGACACTCATTACCATTCCAATACCCCAGGCAAACCCAAAGACACCGAAAGCCTGTGATTGATTTGATTTATCTGCAATCTCACCTAGCATTGATTTGGCAACACCCACGTTCCCTATCATATATCCGTAAATTGAGAGGATTTTTCAAGTTGAGCTGCATTACATAGTATGAATGATGGGCAATATTGTTATTAGAAACTGCATAGTCTCTTAGACTTGAGCCTTTGTGCCCTTACCGTTTAAAAGTCCACACATCGAGCGACTGATGATTGCCCAGGGCAAGCTTTTACTGAGTCCAAATGAAGTACAAGCAATGGCCGTACCACAAAGCCCAATGAGTAGAATCGGTCGGCGGCCATAGCGGTCCGACATGAAGCCCCAGAAGATTGAGGTGCAGAACTGGGCAAAGAAAAAAGATGACGCTATATGCGGAAGTTTGACCCAAAGAGATTGAGGGTTTAGGACTTTTTTATTGCTCGTTTTCTCAGTTCTCTTCAGCGTATTAAGCATATCTTACCAATCAACCCACAGAAAAACCCAATCTCATCCTCGCTCTCCGTTATGTGGAAATCACTAAAACATAATAGTTAAGAGCACGCGACCCAGTAGATGAAAAGGAGGATATTTATACAACCGATGTTAGTTCGGAAGACTTGCATTATGGCAAACCGATTAAGATGGTAGGAAACTGCACAAGCACAAGCACAAGCACAAGCATTTGGCGAAGGCAGGATTCTCACCGGACCTATATTGCAAAGGAAACACAAAAAAGAATGAGTTGCATTGCACCAATCTGCGCCTTAGATAGTCATTTGGTCTTACTCCTCAATAAAAAAAAAAAAAAGGGGGGGGGGTGAGGGATACGAATGTAACGGCATGGGTCTAGTTCATTTTGATCATACATATTTGGGAGTGTGGAAAAAAAAAAAAAAAAAAAAAAAAAAAAAAAGATGCTCAGTAGCAAATATCACTTCCATTTCAAGGTAGCTTTTCGCTTTTTTTTTTTTTTTTTTTTTTTTTGTGCACGTACCATGAAATAAACGAAGGGGAAAAGGATCGTGGATGTCAGGGGTTCAGAAAAAATGACAATGCTTAAAACAAAGAGAGGGACTTTAGGCAACGGTGTGGGCGTTTGTGGGCTTAGCGACATGTCATCTTGATCATCCTCTCCAATATGGCAATCTTCAAGATCAGCATAGTTAAAAGAATTATTGCTACTGTTAAGTCCTGTTTCCGGATTCAGACCATAGTTTGTAGCCTCATTTAAATTACAGTCATCATTATCTTCCAAGTGCCCAATATGCTCATGTTCATTGGAAATGGATGTTCTGTAATTGTCACATGGGCCTTCTGGTGCGTGCAGCGAAGATTCTCTTGAAAACTGTGGATGTATGGGTTGCTCACTAGGCCTAACGAAGGACGATCCAGTCTGGGTCTCATGCAAGTTGCCTAAGGTAGGGAGAGGCTGATCGTTGTTTATCGTCGCGGACTCAGTGCCGACCACAAACGAGAGCTCATTAGAGTCAAGATAGCCAGGAACACTATTTGATGTATGGTATCGACGGTGCGAGGTACGGGATAAAGGGATCATGTTTTCATTTGAATTTTGAAAGCTATCGCAGTTTGATTGAAGATGAATCTGTGCGATTGTAGGCATAGATGTTGGGTGCATATGGGGCCATGCATACACGCTCGCACTTTTAGGCCGCTGTTGCTGCTGCCTGGGTGTGCTATAGGGCCTACCGAGGAACTGGCTACGCGGCTGCTGTTGTGATGTTGATTGGGAAAGAGAATAAAATTCTTGCAGAGTAGGGTCCATTGTGAAGATGATGGAAGATGGAGTGAGAAGAAGGCTGGATATGAAGAGCAAAGTCAAAGGGCAGAGAGTGGAATATAGAAGAGCGTTGCTTTATGAGTTGGTCTCTTGAGGGGTGACAATGATGACTCAACCTAACTATACCGCGATTTATAGAAGTAAAGAGGTAAGATAAAAGTATGAAAAGACCAATCATTGAATGGTGGGCACGCTTTTTTTTATTTATTTTTTTTTTATTTTTATTTTTATTTTTTCTTAATCGCGTCGCGTCTCAAGAACTGTTACATATGACGAGCATAACTTGGTTTATTCCATGACCATGTGTTTGCTTTTTTAATTTTGTTGGGGAACGATTGCTTTTATTGGAAGCATTGCCAGAAAGTATAAAGATATGTTATTGAATTCTCTTAGGATGAACAGCTGGTTCTGGCATATTGGTGGCGTTTATGCTTAGCCACAAAGGACTGTTTATTTAAACAAGATGAGGCCTTTGGGTCTGGTTTTAGTTTCGGGGACAAGGCGCCATTGAGCATTCCATGGAAATAGTTTATTATTTTGCTTTGAGCAAGACAAGGCAAATTAAAAGTGGACTCGATCGCTAAAAAAAAAAAAAAAAAAAAAAAGACATGAGTCAAGGGCGATGAGCAAGCATGGCCTTAGAGCCTTTTTTTTTTTTTTTTTTTTTTGTTTATTTAATTTGATGAAAGTGATCCACGCTTTCTCATTCTTCATCTTGTCTTCTCATTCTGAATACTCACAGAGATCAAAACTCATTCGATTGGAATCACATTACATCCTTCATTACACTACATTCTTTTCTGCAATGATTATTAACATTCTCCCCTTTCGACTTCACCTGGCCTCGCTGGAGAAGAAAGACATTCCGCGATGCACACACCAGCTCATGAAGTTGATCCTCTTCCCCACTGGGTAAATCGAGCGTTCCCTTTTGCTTAACGTTTTAACATAGGAAACAGCCACAGGACTGAATTCATTTTCACAACTATACTTCCCCACTCTCTTCTTGTAATCAGGCTCATTGACTCATTTTTTTTTTCCCTACTGTGAATAATATATAGCTCGCGATATTTTTTCTCATACACAGAGACAGACAAGGAGGTGTCTCTAATCCTCGATAAATCCCATCTCGATGGATTCCCTAAGGGTGCATTGAACACCTACAACGTTGTATGGAGAGCTGTGCAGATTGAACCAGGCGAGTCTGGTCTAGGTACCACTTCCTCCTCTGGGCTATCTCTGTTTTTTTGTTACCTTTTTTTTTTTTTTATATATAATATTTTATTTTTTTATTTATCTTTTTTAACTCTCTCGAAGCGTCTTTTTTTTTCACTATTATCATTATTATTATTATTAATATTGTCAATAACTAGGCGCCGAAGATGTTATTTCTCAAGTGTCTAGACCACTTGCTGAAAGCAACATCTCAATCATGTAAGTTCTTTTTTTTTCTATTTTTTTCTTTAATGGGATGGCCAGTGCCAAAAAAAAAAAAAAAAAAAAAAAAAAAAATGGAGGGAAAATTGAACAGAGGAGCGTGCCATGCAGCATGATAGTGTGTGTTCCTTGTGCAACAAAATAAATGAGCAAACAACAAAAACTTTAATTTTAAGAGTCAGAATGCAGTAGCATGCACGATGCGATAATGCAGCAATGCTTCTTGCTACACCAAGAAACTAAAAGCTATAAACCAAAAAATCAAAAGACTAAAAACCATACTTTGCCATGCCATGCCATGCCATGCCATGCTATGCAAGTTATGGCTATGCCATGCATATTTTATTGTTATGATTATTCTTAAAAAAAAAAAAAAAAAAAAAAAAAAATTATTATTCTTAATGTATATAATTCGGAGTGTGAAGCAGAATGTCGTAACACTACATCTAAAATACCCCACTTATTGCTTACTCAATTCTTTACATGCATTTGCATTTCCCCAAAACATGCGAAAACCAAAACTAAAACCGTTACAAACACCATATATATATATACTACATACTACATACTACATAGGCAAATTTCGACATACGATGCAGACTTTACATTGATACCAGAATATGACTTAGAGCGAGCATTGGAGTGTCTTTCCAACGTATTCACAATTAGTAACAACCCTCTCGAAGATCTAGGATTACAGCCGAGTGACCTCGAATCATGGCGGACGTCCTATCCATTGAACCCAGGCGGCGATGTCAAGTCAATACAAGATACTCTTTTATTAGAAACAGACGTCAGTGACAAGCTCAATATCTCTTCATTGTCATCGAATCAGTCTGTAAATCACACAACTCTCAATCATGGTCTAAAGTCCATCAAGGCAAGACACCCATTTAATGCCAATTACTCCTGTCGACTACATATCACTAGCATGGAACAAAGCCTTATGGGCATGCTAGCTATTCGGCTGCTTGAATCTATCTTTTTTGACAGCAGGTGTGTGATTTTTTTTTTATTTTTATTTTTATTTTTATTTTTTATTTTTTATTTTTTATTTTAAAAAAACCATTTTCATTATTAATATATATATATATATTAGGATGGAGCGTTTTTTCTCCTTTACACAAACAGATACAACCATGAGCATCATTATGGACGACGCCACCATGAGCCTATTCCCAGAACATACACTGAACACACATGCAGGTGACTGGCGACTGATTGCTATTGGGGATGGTCCTCTAGGGTTTGATGAATGTGGGGTCGTAAGCGAATATTCAAGGCCATTGAGTGAGAACGGGATTGGTCTCTTCTATATGAGCACCTTTCGCTCAGATTATATCATGGTGAATGACCATGATTTTGAACGAGCAGTCTCACATTTACATAAAATCGCCAAAGAAATATCCCCTCCCGTCATGGATTCACAGCAAGATGAAGAGGAAGGGGAAGAAAACAATCAAGCAATGATGACGCACTTTTCCTCAGACTCAGATTCGGTCTCGGTCTCAGATTCAGACTCAAGCTCAGATGCAGATTCAGCGTCAGAGGTCGATCCTGATGAACATGATATGAATGCAAAGCATGGATATGACCACGATGATGATCTCGAGATTGTGTTTGTGGACGAAAGTATACCAACTTGAAAAAAAAAAAAAAAAATATATATATATGTATTTTTGTATTTTCCTTTTTAGCATTAAAACAATATTTTCATACAAAAAAAAAAAAAGGTCTTGACATAAAGCTAAATATCTCATAATCAAGATTCCACGTTACTGTTGCTGCTATTAATACATACTTTAATCTCTACATGTTAATTAAAGTTGAAATACTTTTTTTTTTTTTTTTTTTTTCGTCTTTTGTACATGAATAAGGCAGTGAAGATTACTTAGTTTCTGCCTCGTGAATAACTCTGGAACATAATCGGCCTAGTCTCGTACCGCGCCACAACACGGTTCTCTGTCGGGTGAATCAACTCAAACTTGAACACAAAGCCCGGGTCACGCAGATCTGATTGCTGCTGCCGCTGGGCTTTCCGCTCTGCATGTCTTGCACGTTCACGCTGGACTAAATGGTGGAGGCTTGAGCAGTTCACCTTCGCCTTGACTTCACATACTCCTTCCCGCAAACCTACTACCCCTGGATTATTCATCGAAGAAGCTGCCTGGGATGTATCAACGGTGCTGGGGTTATATGATGATGAGGCTCCACCGGGGACGTTAAATTGCAAAATGGGATATACTGATGGATCGGCCATTGATCGCCTTGAGGGCGACAACTTCTTGTGTTCATGCAAGAACTTTGAACAAGCTTGACAAGAGCCCGCTAGAGCAATGCCATCGCCCTGGCCAACCTCATGTGTCTGCTCAGTAAGCGTAGACGCCTCGATCCTGGTATTGCCGAGCTCGATTGTTGTTTTCAGGATGTACGTCATATCTGTCAAGATAACAGCTGGACGACCGCTGACGCGTTTAACCATCTCATGCGGGAACTTGATACCAATATATTCAGAAGGAAGGGACACCTGGTCCTCACCTGGCAAGGTGGAAAGACGGATCTCAATAGCGAACGAATCTCCTGTTCTGAAGAGTTCCAGCGGTGTGAATGAGCTAGGGACCGGGAGCGTTGTAGTAGATGCACGGTTCGCAGGAGTCAGCTTCTTAAACAAAACTTCCATCTGGACACCATCACTGGGTAACGTAGTCTGATGCAGCCTATTCAAGCGCTCTTGAACCTCAGAGCAGATACCAGTGTGATAGCCTGACTCAGGGTTCACGTTCATGTACAGTTCAGCTCCTTGCCCGCTTGCTGGGGCTAACTCACTTCCCTTGATGACCTGAGTATTAATAGTGACGCTTCCATCAGTCTCGACCGTTCTCATTGGTGGCAAGGCTTGTTGGTCTAATGGAGGTATTTCACGATTGATACGCACATTTTGGATCGTATTTTCTAATGTCGTTATCAAGTCTCTTTCAGGGTTTTGTGAAGACGGGAAGTGACGCTCATCAGCTGCAACTCTAAGCTCGGAAGTATTTACTGCCACAGGGCGCAGGGATGATGAATAGACAAACTCTTGACTTTGACTACCATCCAAATTAATAGAGTTAGTCCATTCCTCGCTCTCTTCTTCGTCTTCTCCTTCCTCCATTATGTCCATAGCAAAGATGGACTGCGCTCCCGAGTGACGAGGGCAACTAACAGATAGGAAGCGCAACATCATCGGTGTTGGCTCAACCTCACGGGGTAAGCTTTCATAAAACTCTTCGGGGGTTCGTGCGCCCGATGTCGTTGCTCCAGCTAAAGATGGAGATAAAAAAGTAAAAAAAAAAAAAAAAAAAAACCCTAATGTTAGAACTACTAAAAAAAAAAAGAATATTTACACAAGATTTCCATCAGTCGAGGTTGCGCTGTAAGCTCACCAACGATGAGGCTTCTGGCAATGAGTTCGTTTCCTTTGAATACGGCATACATGAGCGGAGTCATGCCATAATCATCCTGGCTCTCAATATCGCAGCCTTCCTCGATGAGGCGGATGGCCAAGCGGTGGAGTCCCATGAGAATCGCGAGATGCAATAGATTACTTCCGTCTTCTAACTGAATGGAGATATCCATATCTTTTGGAATGTGATTCAATATCTCCAAAATACTGTCTTCTACCTCGCTTAGCGAGAGTAATGGCTCTGAAGAGTCCATCATCAAGGCACCATTGGACCGAGGTGCGTTTGATAATCCAGGAATACTCCTCATAATCTCATCGACATTGCCCTTCTGACCAGTAGCTTGTGTATGTAGATACTCCAGCGCACGGTGTGCCAGTCGGAGTTGTAATTGAAGTATTAATAGCTCAGTCTCACCGTCATCTGTGTAGGTGAACTGTCCTAGGTCCCCATAGCTGTTATTCATGCTATCTACGATGGTAATTGGCACAGTTCCTGGCATTGAGCTTTCGGGGACTTTACAGATAATCAAGCCAGAGGTCTCAACAATGATATCTTGAGCAGGAAATACACCAAAGTAAGGAACCATGCCCTCGCGGAAGAATAGCCCTCTGAGCACCACATCTGTCCTTTTACGGATGGGTCCATTATCTGGCCGAACTTCCAAGATTCGAGGGTGCTGAGATATGGGATGCTGTTCCATTTCAGACGCGGACTGAGAGGTAAGTGATTGGTTATTGATATTGGCACGAGGCTCTCCGTTAGTGGGGTCCGTGTAAGCACTCACTAACGGAAGCTGGGATAGATGCTCAGGTAGATAATTGATAGTGGATGGGAATCCATTGTTACTACCTATAGGTCCATTGAGGTTGAGATTGTCAACGTTCTCCGCGTCGATTAGCGCCCCTTGTGGTGGCCATGCAATATTGGGTGCACTTTTGTGTCGCTTGATGGTTTTTATCTTTGGGGTTGGACCTGCTTTAGTAACCTTGGAGGGTCGTTGATGTGGGTAAGCGGTGCGTTTGGCCTTGTGATGCCCCGAGCACATAATGGGATGAGTGAAGAAAGTGGAGAGGATTTCCCCATCTTCATCTGTTGCATCGGATGGCGCTGGTGAGGCCGAGGAGCTGGTAGCTATTGTGGTAGACATGGAGCTTGTGCGCTTTAGCCTGAAATCAAAGATATACCGGTCCTTATTACCACGTTCACCATGGTCAGTTGAGGAACAGATGACTTTGGCCAACATAGTGATAGATCCAGTAGTTGTATCCACATGCGCATATGCCGCTGGATCAGTAACAGAAGGTGAGAGTTGATCCAGGAGGACAAGAATTGGTGATGAAGGCCCATACTATGTGAAAGATTGCAAACGAACCATTTGGAATCAAAAGTTAATATGATAATAAACTTAAATTTTGCAAAGACATGCATTTATTTTTAAAGTTTAATAAAGTATAATTGAAATTTCGCGACTTGTATTTTAAGGATTACCTTATGACAGCACTTAGCACAAGCTCCTTTCCTGACTGAACCGCTCTTGGCTAAACGGATACCGATTTCAAGCGTCAATGGTTCGGCTTCAAATCTAGGCTCGCCTGCTGCGTTAATGGCCTCTCGGCGACCAACACGCAGAGATGGGTATCTTAGGCTTTGATTAGGTCCTTTTCGAGAGAGATGTAGCTTGATCAAGAACTGTTGACCAGTGCGTACTTCTTCAACAATAGGTGTGGAGATGACTGTGCCTGTAGCAGAGAGTTCTTCGAGCTGGTCTTTCTTTTGGAGGATACGCGCCTCTAAAGAATAATTGGACATTGGATCGTTCTGTGAAGAGAGTGGAGAACCCCAATAAATATTAACAACAAAAAATAAAATAAAAATAATTAAACAAAATAAAAATAATTAAATAAAATAAGAATAAAATAAGAATTAAATAAAAATAAAATAAATATAAAATAAAATAATAAAAAATAAAGAATGCTGATCACTTTTAGTCATACAACTCAGTAAAGACAAAAACAAATAATTGCTGAGGAAGCAAAAAAAAAAAGAAAAAAGAAAAAAGAAAAAAAAAAGAAAAAAAAGGATAAAGATATATTTAAAAAGATAACATAGAGTGATATGGGAAAATAGTAGATGAAGAAAAAGATACATCTGTTGCCGATCAGGAGAAAGACCTGCCACCATAGAATCGTAGAATACAGACACGTCAGGCAAATAAAATGACATGTTTGTTCCCAGGCCAATAATTGAACAGGCACCCAACGAATACTAAATATAAAATAAAATATTCAATAGGGACAGGAACATTGAAATTGGGTATTCATTTCAAATAAAGTGACAACAAAAACGCCCAGTCGCAAAATCGCAAAATAAAAAAAAAAAAACCGATTGTCTGTCTTTGTCTGATCTTTTTACATGCCAGCTACGCAATTGGGACAGCTGAAAGCAACAGGAGAATTAAAGTTATCAGGACAAAGTGTGCTTGGGCTGGAGTGCTTGGTAATAAGCCCAAAAGCGCATATCCACTCGCTCAAGTCGCGCTTTGGCGGCATCAATTGCATAATTGCAATAAATATAATCCATTCGATCCAATGCCATATTCTTCTCCAATAACATGAAAATAACATTCACAACGTTCAATAGCCCAAAATTATATAGAATAAATAAATAAATAAATAAATAAAGAATCAAAAAGAAAAATGAACATAAATAACAACATACCTCATCTACCATTCCTGTAGTGCTCATGGCATAGATATCGCTTCCTACGCTTGAATAAGAGAATCGGCGGATTATTTCGCTCGCTATAAATATCAAATGGGATAAGAAGTATGAAAGCAATGGGAGATAAGGATTTAAAGTGAAAGTGGCCCGAGCAGCGCATGAATAGTACCGAGAAAGAAAGGAAAGCAGCAGTGCACCAGGAGGAATTGAGCAATTGGGTGATTATAGCGAAAAGAAGTGAGCGGACAAAAAAAAAAAAAAAAAAAAAAAAAAAATGCGAGAGTGCGAGTTTAAGGGATTGGTTAATTTTCGCAATTTTAATAATCATTAGAAAGGATTACGATGGAAGCCTCACTTTTTTTGAACTGTGTCGCAGGCTGTCGCAGAATTCTGTCGCACATTTCCCATGGTATTTCGCATCACACCATTCTTGCTTGTTGCTTATCGCAAAAAAAAATAAGAGCTTACCTGATTCGCCTAAGTGGACACTTGCACCAGGCACATCTAACAGTCGATGATTATTAAGAGTGTTCTCCGTTTTAATCCATGACACTCCACTTGGACTGCTACTAGTGCTGCTGCCAATACTGGCGGCAACATCCGAAGCAGCTGTGGAAACTGGTATGTCTTGTCCATCTAGTGATGGAAGCCCCGATGATGATATAGAACCACGTTGTAGTGACGAAGCTTGTGGCTGTGACGCTTCTGATCGCACCGAAGCTCCGGAATATGATGCCTGTGCTGCTGGTTGCTGTGCTGGTAAATAATTTGATGAGAGACGAGAGACATTTAATGACGGCTGCAGCTGTAGCTGTTGTCGCTCCTCTAAGAGATGGATATGATCTGCTGCTTGGTCAGGGTTAGAAAGAGGGCTGTGTCGACTGGAATGCAAGTGACCGTCCTGTACTGGCTTTTGTAGTTGTTGTTGCGAATTGAAGGAGGATGATTGAATTGGATGAGGCGCAGAAGTATACGAATTAAGGGAATGAAGAGAGAGAGGAGGCATGGCCAGGACGCCCATTGATGATATAGATTCTGTAAGAGCGTTTATATTAACGGAAGAATTGGCAAGTACAGATGCTGGCGAGTTTGAAGAGGAGAAAGAAACTGTGGAGAATGATCCTGGATGGTATTCCTGTTGTAGTTGCTGCTGCTGTTCTTGGTGAGATAAAGGATGAAGATATTGCAGAGGATGAAGAGGGTGAAGAGGATGAGAAGAGGATGATGAAACAGTTGTAGATAAAGGTGTACTAGCCGAGAATGAGGAATATGGCTGCTGCTGCTGTTGATATGAATTAGAGAGAAGACCCTGTTGAGATGATTGAAGTAGAGGAGAAAAAGGAGAGGAAGAAGTAGGTCCAGAGAATGAATAATGGCGAGGAGGTGCAAACTGTTTCCGCTGATCGATTGAGTGAAATCGCTGCTCTTGCTGGTGTTTTCGCTGGTGCAACTGAAGACGTTGGGCTTGGATCAGAGCCTGGCAATGTTGGCGCTGGAGCGCAAGTCGCTGTTGTTGAAAAGGATCTTCTGGTGGCTGCTGATATGATTGCTGCTCTAGCTGTGGCTGATGAAGCGGTGATGATGAATGAATGTTGTCTTGTACAAAACTTGACTGTGCTTGGGCCCGATCCATATCAGGGCCTAGGGTTTGAATCGTATCAGTACCAATGTCATCGAACGCGCTTAGGAAGGAGGTACCAGGTAGGCTTGTGACTGCCAGACTCTGATTACTATTAAAGTCGCTTAGTATCCTAGCCTTGTTGCTGAAGCTATTCCCGTTCAATGGTGGAGACGTGGAGGAAGCCCTACCGAGCAGTTCTGACTTGGATATAGGAGTATGAGGACTCATTGATGTTTCTCTTATTTCGTGATGAATGATTCTGTTTTTGTTTAGATGGTGAACTCAAGATGCGATTTATACTGATTCGCTGAATTCTGAAAGGGCAGAAGGAGACAGAGATAAAGACAAGAAGTAAAAGAAGAAGAAAATAAATAAATTCAAGGTTTCTATCGCATTGCTTCATGAATGAAATCTTGACAGGACGGGATATGCTTGGTATCGTACGTATATATGAGCTTGCTTGACCCGGAAAAAGTTGTCGCAACTCAGCTTTTTAAATACTTTCTGCTTTTTATTACTGTTATTGTTATTGATATATATCACTACTATTAATGTTATTATTATCTACGGAAGTGACGAATGCACAAATGGCTGATAACTATAGTCGATCTTGTTCTTTCTTTGTTTGTCAATTGTTTCAATAAATCATATTTCTGAAATAGTATTGAAAAATTGTAAGGTTATCGCGAAATGGCCCCCCACCTGTTTATTTTCTTCTGAGCGGGACAGAAAGAATGGAAGAAACTAAGGGTTGGATGGAAGAGGATCGGGATAGGAAGGATTGTGCATACGATACAACTATACCCATTCACCCCTATTGAGCATCAAGCCAACACACTATCTACTAAATACGTGATAGGAATGAACGAAGAGCACTGCTATTTTGAACATTTCATTTGCTCCGATGGTTAACACTTTATAAAAATACAGATAGTTCCACAAGGTCTCGCCTCATTCCCCCCGCACACTCTGTTTCCCAGATAAAACCAGCTTATTTACTTTATTGCAACTCCTTCTTTTTCCCGCCACGATCCTCATGCGAAGCATAAAAAATGCATTCATTCATGTGGTTTTTTCTTTTCTTTTCTTTTTCTTTTTCTTTTTGGAAAGCAAACAGGATCATCACAATTGTAAAATACATATTTAATAACATTTAATAAATATTCTATTTCGATTGGATAGAATACTACATAAGATCGCGATCAGCTTAGCTTTGCAATCAACTCTTCCGAAAACAAAATCAGGTCTTCGTTCTCTTTGTTTTTGATCTCTAGCGCTTGTTCTAACGTTCGCATCTGCATCTCTTGCCGATTGAGTTGAGCCTTAAGCATTGCAATCTCATTTTCATATACGATCCTGGCTTGCTCCATCTCCTTGCTCGCCTGTAGTAACTTGGCATCCGCATGCTCTTTCAGGCTCTCATACCGGCTGTCGCTTGTCTCAAAGTCCTGCTTGAGTGTTTCGATAGCTTTGCGTAGAATACCCTCATTCTAATAACCAGTTTTTATAAATGCATGAGTATCAAATAAAGTCATCATCATGAATTATACTATCATACTTTCTTCATATTTTCGTATTATTTCCTTTTGTCTTACCTCGACATGCTTGGCATTAAGGCCCTTTAGTTCATCGTACCGTGTTTTTAAGAGTATGAAGGCTTCCTCAGTTTCCTCATTAGTTTCAGTCAACTTCTTGTTTTCCTCCTTAATGGTTTGAATTTCCGCTGCCGTACTCACTTGAAAGCAGGGACAAATTCAGGGGAAAGGAAGAAAAAACAGCGGCAAAATAGATTGATTTAGAGTTTGCTGATCTGCATATGTTTATTCTCAAATTCCAGTCGCAGTTTCTTACCTGCAATATCAGCAAGGCTAGACTCAAATTCATCTAGTACGTTCTTGAGCTGTTGTTTTTCGTGTTTCTCTTTCTCTAGTGCTAGTTTGAGCTCCTCAATCTCATGTTGGTATATTGCCGCCTCTTGCTCAGCCTAGAAGTACATAGCACCATCGAATGAATGAAGCCAAATTAGGTATGTCACCTGAGGGTTTTCAAGCAATAGTCAATGACAATAGCATAAGAAAAGAGTTTCTTACAGAACGCTCATATTCTTCTCTGATCTCGTTAGTGATTTCAATGCGCAGGTCCATTCTGACATTCTTTTTCATATCCTAGATTGTAGAGATGTGATTTGAGTTACAAAAAAGAACAAAAAAGCGATGGGTAAGCTCAATCCCTGCATTCTGTATAATAAAAAAAAAAACTATACATAGAGAAGAAGCGAGTTACCTCCATTTCCCTAATGCTGTATCTTGGTGCGTCCAAATTAGTCGAGTCACGGATCCTGGACGACAGCATAACCCCGCTTGCTCGACGGACAAGCCCTGACCCTTTTTTATCAGAAGCACTGCCATTTGTGGAGCTACCTGCAGCAACATTCCCAATCTCTTCAATTCCTACGTCCCCATCCAGTTCATCCTCGTAGTTTTCCATAACTTTGACCTCGTCTACTCCTTTGAAGGTCACAGAGTGTCCAGTTGAAGACCCAGTCCCGGATTCTACTGACTCACTTGGGGAAGCCTCAGTGGCCGAGTTTGAGGCAGATGACGCCGTTATGGCCTTTTCCTTCTCTACAGAGACCGACAAAAGTTGACTTGCCTCAGTCTTGTGCTTGGTACGCTCTCTAGCCTTAGTAAGGAGATCTTCCAGCAGCGTTGATCGCTTTTCCAGTAGTGTTGTTCGTTTACTTGCATTAGGAGAAGTAGCGACAGGTGAAGTAGAAGCAGCTTCGGGTGAAGATTGCACTGGTGAATACGAGGAAGTGAGAACATGGGCAATACCAGGACCCGAAGTTAAAAGTGATGTTCCCTGAGGTGTAAGCGTGAGCTCAGGCTTTGATGCAGGTGTTGAAGTTAGAACACCGCCAAGCAACGAAGATGGTTGATGGATTCCTACGGCACTAGGCGAACTTAATTCTAGTCGTGATATTTCTCCGCTACTTGACATCCACTCTGCAAACGACTGTGCATGACTCTCATGAAGTTCAAGTGACTCATGAAAGTTCATCTCCTCATTCGCAAGAACCTCAACTGTAGACTGATTGAAATGAATATCATCTGTATCATCACCATCATTATCTAAATCAGGGTAGTGAGCGTTCTTGATGTCGCTTTCCTCTGAGCCACCGTTATCCCTGGAAGGATCGTCGTGGACATTTTGAACCACGATGTTCACCTCGACATGCTCAATTTCATTATAATCCCGTTCCTTGATGTCATCATGTCCCTCATGGTCTGTATTTGACGCTCCTGCAGCTGCTGTCGAATTTAAGATTGATGACATTGTCTGAGAGGGAGCGACGCTATCGGGATTAATTTCATCATGATTCTTTGTCAAGTCCCTCTCGAGTGCTGCCACAAGAGGAAGCTTATTATCATAAAGATTCATGTTCTGAGACGTCGAAGCAGAAGGTTGTGGATCTTTGCTAGATTCTGAAGTGTACTGTGCATCAATCACTCCATCAAATTCGTTGTTGTTTCTTAAAATCTGATCCAGTGATAGCGGTGCACCCGCATTGTCCTGTACGCTAACTATCATACTGTCACCATGCTGCCGTGGTGATGTCCGAGCAACAGCCCTGGCTAACGGGCTTGAAGGTGTACGTGTTCCTGTTCGTGAGGTCCTGGATTTAGAATTAAGCTCCCTATCCGATAATGCATCATCTGTTGATTCTAATAAGGATTCATCTCCAATTCCGCCGCTACTATTCTCTGCCTGTCTCTGTCGCCTGGTTTTAAAAGCTGGCGATTGTACTCGAGATGTGTTCCTGATCGATCCGAATGGCGAGGTTTGCTGCATCAGATTACTAAGATATGCATCTCTATCAGGATCAATAGCACTCATACTGGGGCTAAAAGGATCTTCAATCTCGCCTTCAAGAATCCGTATTTGCTCCGGGTCAGAGACCACAAATGATACATGCCCAGAGCGATTGAGATCATCGTCGTACATGTCCTCCGTGTCAATCATATTGTTGAACGAAACTAGGCTATCTGATGAGAGCTGACGGGAGTGGTACCGGCCATTAGAGACACGGGAGCCAGGCCGCGATGTAGGGCGGGACGTTGGGCGAGATGTGGGTCGAGATGTAGGTCGAGAAGAGGAAGGAGTCGAGTAAACTGCAAGATCGTTTCCAACGTTGAGAGAATTGGAACTCACGTTAATGGGACTGCTGGCACGTGAAGGCGAACTGGCTGTTGCCTCAAGACGAGGTCCGTTCCCCACAGGAGATGTAACGCGATTAAGAGGCGCGTGACGCGGGGGTCTTGATTGTCTTCCACTGCCGATGGATGATGCTGGTGAGGCGGCGCCATCAAGACTATTCAATGTCGCTTTCTTGTCTTCAAGAAAGTAATCGTCTTTATCAACTCCTATTATTGCTGCGTCGCCTGAGAATGTATCATTGGTGTTGTGAAGACGACTATGGTCAATTTCATGAATATCTGTTTCATCTGCAGCAGGAGTTTCTATAATGACTGGCTCCAGATCAGTTCTCTTTGGCGCAGAGAATTTGTTAAGCGTATTTTTCAGCGTCGAGACTCGTTTGCGTGCTGCGGTGGATGTTAATGGTTTCCTTGGTACGGGCTGTGGACGCTCTGGAGACGAGATCGGAAACTCATCCTCACCAGTCATTGACGCTGGGTAGGGTGAATTGTTTATAGATGATGTGCTTGAAGTGTTGAAGGAAGCTTGAAAAGACGATGGACTAGATGAGGCGAATGGATTTGAGTTGAACGAGGTTTTTGAAGGAGGAGGCGGAATGGCAAACTATTGATGGGATGGCACAGTGTTGATTAGCTCCCAGACATTGACAAGAGCAATATGCTGTAGGTCTTTTTGTGAAGGAAAAGAGGATGGTGAACGAGATATACCTCGGCATTCTCAGCCGCAGCCAGGATGGCATCGAGATCATAAGTGCCTCTCTTCAATGGAGGGAGTTCCTAGAGAGGCAATGGCCAAAGCGGATTAGCAACACATTTGTCAAACCATGGTAAGGAGAGCCTGATTGCATGTGTTTCCATGTGTTTGACAGACAATTTGTGTCCTACAGGTGAGTCTTCAGGATCCATAGCTAGAGACAATGAGTAGGTTTTGCCAAGAATAATGGGTCAAGGAGGTAAGAAATTCAGGAAGGGGAAAAGGGACAGAAAGAGAAGAGCGGAAGGAGACTGAGTTGAGCTGAACAGGGCCGAGCAACAACAAAATAAAAATTGGTGAAGACATGAATAGTTGTGAACGTCACTTTTGCTGGCAAGTCCATGTGGTTAAACTGCACTATGCTTGTTTTAGCGTTTACAGGGCATTGGCAGGATGGAAGAAAATATGCTTTTGGCAAAGTGAGACAATGCGTGTCAAAAAAAAAAAAAAAAAAAAAAAAAAAAATTGCATTCCTATCGCTATCACGCGCTTTGGTTATGAGAAAGGATCAAGGAAAGAAAGGGGTAGATCAGAAACGAGTGAAAGAGCAAGGAGAGTCAGAAGTGTTTCTCGTTGAAATGGATCCTAGAAACACAGATTCTAAAGCTTTAATTCGCAAGAGCCCAAGGCCTTTACCTAGTCATTTTCAAGCTAGTCTTCATTCCACGTTCTTCCTTTTTATTTTACATGATAAATTATTGCATGAATGCACCTACATATTTGCACAATGGCAGGTGCAATCGTGTATATTGTAATTATTCTTTTCTCTATAAGATTCCACGAGTACTGTGAGTACAAGTTCTATGATGGTGACCTAGTTTCCTGACCAACACGCTTGTCGAATCTCGAACCTTGACAACCTGAAGAACTTGGCTCATCTTGCCCTCCAACCATCGCCGAAACAGACTGCGACTAGCACGTCGTGGATCCAAAAAATTGATGCTGCATTCAAAACGCACCGCATGCAGATATCGGGGACCCTTAGATGCACTCTTCATACTACTGTTGTTGTTGCTGTCACCGTTGATGCTACTGTCTCTCCTTGAAGATTGTGGACCACCATATCGCTGTGTTATATGCTGAGGTAAAGCGGGAAGAGCAGCAATGGCTGTGGATGTAGCTATGGTGGTAGTAGTGACAGTGGAACGGGCAATGTAGTCGTCACTTCTGTAATCAGGTTTATCGTCAACGGTATAATGTAATGTCCATGGGTAATCGTGACCGAATGAATGTTGTGCCCCACTGAGTAACCGTGGACCTGTCCGTTTGACATCAAGTGGGCAAACTCTGTCCAGATAGTCGAGCGATGCAAGTCTGTTATCAAGGAAACGAAGTGTAGGACCTAAACGCCTAGCAACTGCTTTACTAGATATTGTTGTAATTCTCGACTGGTCATCATTACTGTCGCCAATAACCGTTCCTGTTGTCCGATCTAGTAATACTGGCCTTCGTTTGTCGTCCTTGCGCCTCACCTTATAAATACCATCATTTGAGCAATATGCCTGCCAGGACTGAAAGCGGGTCCCTCTTGATTTCACTGATATCTCCTCCAATTGTGGTCGTTGTATGGTCATGCCTATTCGGAATGCAATGACAGCAGAAGATGCAGGTGCCTGAGGTCTGAAAACCACTTTGTCATGAGCCAGATCAAAATGGTCAAAGATAAAACTGATACCGGTCCTGCAGACATACTCCTGATAGAAATACAAGCAAACAGAGTTAGAGGCGATAGCTTGAATAAGGAATGGTGCTACAATCGATCTTAGGGTGGTTGAGGTATTATAAAAGTTGAAGAGATCGAGTGTAGAAAGATATTGGATGATACAGGTCCAGATCTCAGGTGGAAATTGTTGATGGGATCCAAGACTGAGCTTATTTGTTGATGCTGGTTCTGAAAACCCTGAACTGGACTTAATTCTCAAGTAGGATTTGGAAGATCGGAGCATAGTGGAGACAGGCAATAGCACTGTAGAATTCCCCTTGCGTCCGTGTTCCATCGCGCGATAAAGTGAGGAAGAGAAGGGAAAAAAGAAAAAAGAAAAAAGGAAAAAGGGAAAAAAAAAAAAAAAAAAAGGACAATTCGGAACAAAGAAGGGGGGAATGGGTGGACACTAATTGGCCAATTGGTGACACGGAGAGTTCAAAGCGTGTGCATTTGCAACAGCAATATTGGATTATCTAGAAGGATCTTTATTGATGCCTCTCCAAGAGCATTGTCACTTAGCCTGTTAACAACCAAACCACCCTGAGTTGTTAGACTATGGCTGTATTTGGACCAAAAATGATCATTAGGACATTTCTGTTCCTACATGTTTGGAAATACATGTGCATGCACGGTTTTGTAAGCTCAATGTTCGTTGCTATTTCCCGTTGTTGTTTACTGAATATTGTTCCGTTTCCTCCTTGTCTGAACAGGTGGATGAAGATAAAAGTAGCTCATCAAAAGTCTTGTAGACAATCCATGGTGAAGACTACCCACGCATCAATATTGAGAACCCTGTTTTCACCCATGTAATAGTGGGCGTACTCTGTTCCTGAAACCAGAGCTTATTAATGAAAATAGCTGGACAATTACACATGCCTGGAGGCATTCTTAAAGCCCAATGTTTCCCTAAATTTTTTGTTTGTTGTGACAGCAGAAGGGGTATGAAAATGATTTGTTTGGTGGGCCTTCCAACCCCTGGCAACAGTCCCAACCACAACGGCTGTCCTATCATTTGCTTTTATTTTTATTTTTCTTAGTCAAAATATGACGGAAAGAAACAGGGGAGAATGCAAATTGGGTTTACTTCTTTCTGGCATAAATAAAAAAAGGCCGACGGTTGATTATTGCAGCTGGGAAGGCCTTTAGGGCCAACGTTGCAAAGGATTTCTGATCTGCAATATCGGGGTGTTGCTTACTTACTTACTTACACAACTACGAACTGCATGCATGAATCAATTATGTGTATAGCAAGACATGGAGGAAAAAGAGAAAAGAGTGGATATCCCAATAGCTCAATAGTCCGCTGCCTGTCCTGTTCTCAAACCAACTCTTTTTTTAGCTCGACTTCATCTTTTTTTACCCACACAAATACACATTTATACTCTTTCCTTGACTCTTCCTGTTCCTTTCCTCCTTTCTTCTTTATTTTTCAAACAACCTAGGCAAGCCAGCAACTTAAAAGGCAAGCAAGTAATCTAACAAGCATCCAAGTAAAAGTATTCCAGTGTTGAGCACTTCATCTCTCTCTTCAGGAAACAAACGAACGAACAAACAAAGGTCATCTTCATTCTCATGTCTACCCCAAACATCACGGCCGCAGCACGCGTCGGCGCAATCGCATTGATTGGCGTCCTGGTATATTGGTACTGGGCAACTCCACCAAAGTCAGCCAAAACAGAGAAAATAGCCAAAGACGCTATTACTACAATCACCGCGGCTAAAAGCACTTCAACTACAGACACTGATGCCGATATACGATCAAATGACGACAAAAAAAAGTTTCCTCAGGAACCAATTTCCTCACAGGACAATGATGAAAAGACTGCTTCTGCCGTCACTGCCGTTATTGAGGCTAGCACCACTACTGATGCTGATGATAAGGAATCCTCTATACAAGAGGATGAGCAAGAGACAATCACCGTTGTCGATAGATCGAGTAAGTATCAGAAAACAAGGGTTAATAAAAAAAAAACCTCCTTCAATGAAAATCATGTTAATTATGCCTCTGTTTGGGTTTGGCGAAGCAAATCTTTTTCTTGTCATCGCAAGGCATGGAATGAATTGACAAAAAAAAAAAAAAAAAAAAAAAAAAAAAAGATCCGATGACGATCGTGGTTTCTTTAGGGGAAGGATCAGCCCGCCATAAGTGGATGAATTGTCATTCAATTCGTGAGCTAACGGAAGATTTATCAAACGGAATGGAAAAAAAAAAAAAAAAAAAAAAAAAAAAGGCAAAGTCACACAGGCATGCCAAGGGGACGAAGGAATGCCTCGAGGAAGTGGGTCAAACAATGATTAACATGGGCTGTTTTTTGGTCTCAATTATTGCCTAGTCACTGAAGTTGTAAGCGATGTCAAAGTTAGTGAATTTGCTGTCACTGCCGAAGATCTGGTAAGTGGGATCGTGCACTTGTTTTTCATTGTTTAATGCCTTTTCTTTTTTCCCGAGGGTTGGATTTTTTAAACTTATCCGACTAATGACGCATAAGGTTGCGCTTGCCTCCTTCCCGCTTCCCCCATCCTGCCATTTAAAAAGAAAGTGCCGCTTCTGCATGTTGATACTTAATAGTATTCCGACTGTTTCCTTTTTCTAATCATATCCTATAGGACCACAATCAAACAAAGATTATTACAGAACCAGAGCAAGCACCAGAGCCTATTGATACTGTAGCTGTTGCTGCAATTGTTGTACCAGAGCCCGAAGTCGAAGCCACACCAACAGAGCATGAAGAGATCATTACTGATAGAGCTGAGACTGAAATGCAGCCCGAAGAGGATGAATGCGCTGTCGCTAGAACCATCGTCCTTGAAGAGTCTGTCGATTCTACATCTGTGTTTGTCACTGTAGAGGACAAGGAGGAGACCACCATCATCACTTCCACTACTGCAGACGTTACTGTTGATGAACTTTCTGCTGTTGATATTATTTCAACGGTCACAGAGTCTACAGTGGAAGTCCAGACCGATGAACAGTCTTCGTATGAGGAGATCCAGGATGTAGGAACTAACCAAGATGAAGTGACCGTTATTCCAGAAACTGTGGTAGAGACTGAGGAAGAACGAGAGATAGAGGAAGTAGAAGAGGAAGAAGAGGAAGAAGAGCAAGAAGAGGAGCTTCCGTCAGAATTTGATAGAGAGGAGATCTTGGAGCTGGTGTTTGAACGACAGATCCCTGTCAGGAGACAGATGATTCGCACATCCACAATGACAGAAGATTCTGAGGAAGTCGACCAAGCAGATACACCCACAACCTTGGTTGGAGAGGAACTAGAGCTCACAAAGGATACCTTGCAGACCCTTCAGGAGGTGTCGCGTGTTGCAAGTATGTGATACTATAAAGCAGTGGTTTGGTTATTAACAAGATGGTCCAAATAATATGATGTTTTAACTTTTTTATCAACACCTTTAGAACACTCTGAGTTGAATGCTCGTGCTCAAGAGTTTAAGCCCAGTTGGCTCAACTCCTCACAGCAAGCGCCCGTTAGCCGCACTGCTCCATCACCAAGTAAGAAATTTATTCAGCACAATCCAATCACAATGTATTTCTGCTTATTCTTGCAAAATTGACATTAATCATAATTCATATTTTAATGGTGTCAAACAGCACCAACAAAGCAGCAGGCTGCCAAGATCATGAGTCGATGTAATTACTGGCCCAACTGCACTAACAAGGCATGCAAGTACACACATCCATCCCAGCCTTGCCGGTACGTCATAAATATTTCTGCATTTTATCCATGGAAAGAGGAAGGAACTGATTATGTCCACTCCACTCTAACTTAATATTTTAACATGAATGATAAACAAACAATAGTGATGCAGACAACTGCAGATTCGGTGACCGATGCGTGTTTATTCATCCCAAAGATCTTACACCTCGCAGCAAGAAGAGCAAGAATCAACAGACTGGTCATGGGGGACGTCCCTCACTTACAACCATGAGCTCAGCATCGTCTATTGAGTCTTGGGCAAAGGCATAGAAAGAAACAACTTTACTATAGTAGTAGTTGATTGATGTTTTCTTTTTTGTTCATGTAGATTTACGTTTTACTTTTTTAGGAATAAAGTGATCACGGCTTTATTTTTTTTTACAAAAAATATTTACAAAGCTTGCAATAACATGTGCATGCCGTTATTAACAAATGTTTGCTCAGATGAAGCATATAATCCATTTAGAGATTGCGCTGAGCATCTCCCTTGGCTGCGTTGCCATGTCCCTTTGTACGGAGCCATTCATCGCCCGCAACACTGCCAGCAAGTTTCTGGGCACCTCCCTTGATGTTGTTGGCGGTACCATGAGCGCAGCTTTCGGCATCGGCTGCCTGCTGCTTGCTTTGAGCTTCTGCCTTTTCAGCGGCACCTGAGCTAGCAAGATTGTGCTTTCCAGTAGCATCGCCGACAGACTATAAACCGCATTTTTTTTTTTTTTTTTTTTTTTTTTAAAAAAAAAAAAAGATTATTTTCAGCCCACAAAATACTTCATAATTTTTTTTTTTTTTTTTTTTTTACCTGCTTGGCGGAACCAACGGCAGATTGATAAGTGTTGGAGAGTTTTTCAGACATGATTATAAATTTGAAATGGTGTGTAAAGTTTGTTATGGATCGATGTAAGAAATTAAGATAAAAAATGGAAAAGTAGGCGGACAACTAAGGACTATTTATACTCTTTTTTTTTTTTTTTTTTTTTTTTTTTTTTTTTAAAAAAAAAAAAAGAATAATATCATAAATCTTGGAACATTTTTGTTCTATGAAAGAAGAATGACTCCGCTTGAAAAAAAAAAAAAAAAAAAAAAAAAAAAAAAACGTAAAGTGGTCAAAGCACACTTTATACATGACATGATGATGATCCCGTTCTTGTTTTGGGAAAACCTAGACGCGTCTTTACTCAGAAGACAATATAATGCCAAGGCTTTTTTTTTTTTTTTTTTTAAACATGATTGGTATTAGGACTATGACTAAGAACCGCGCCCATCGAACAATTTTCAACAGCACAAGCATGTGTAAAGCGATCAAGATAATCATCATGTCCTCATACCCCCGTGCAGCAGACAGAGAAAGAACCGGAAGTCTTTGTTTTACTTGCAATGCGGCTAAATGTTAAACAGTAAAGCCAGGGACTGGTTCAAAGGCGGCGCAATCTACGCAAGGGTATTATTTTAACAACCTATCTTTCTTCGGGGGTACGCGTTTGCAAAATTTCTGCTCAAAGTATATTGTATTAAGGATATAACTGATGCAATGAAGCAGTATTGGCTTTTTTTTTTTTTTTTTTTTTGATGATGATGATGATGATGATAATGAGGTATTTTCAAAAAATGAAGCTATCGAGAATAAAATGCTTTATGAAATGAGAACATTTTCTATCTGTCTAATCTTGGGATATTATTCACGTAGTTCGCGTAAAAAATGATCATCGTGTCCACTGTAGTCTTGTGAGGTGTACGGATGCGCAATTGGATGACCGCCTTGAGCACCCGATCCATGTACGTGACCTCCAATAATTGCATCATGTACACCTGAATCATACGCGCCGCTTCCATTTACTTGGTGGTTACTCAACACAGGGGTCGGTGAAGCTTGAGCATATCGGTACTGACCGTAATCGGGTACAGTCGCTCCAGAACTAGACATGCTCATATGCTGCGCTTGATCGAATATTGCCCGGTCGTATATTGTTTGATCGTACATTGTCTGATCATACATTGCCTGATCATATGGGTGGTACTGCTGATGTGGAAGAGGAGGTGATGATCCTGCTATCGATGCTCCAGCTCCTGTTGCAGTTCCTGGACTCATCATGGATGACGCAGCGAGTGCAGAATCATGAACTATTGGCCGGAAAATGTCAGTGTAGTTGTCTTCCACAACATCACCACTAGGAGAAGATCCTACCGTTGCGCTACCAATGCCGCCCGGTCCTGAAGTTCTAATCTTAGTCTTGAACTGTCTAGATGGCTATTTACACAAGTATTGATAAAAGCGGAGAATGTCAATGAATGCCCTCAAATAGTGAAAACATCTTTCAAAAAAAAAAAAAAAAAAAAAAAAAACATACCGTGAGTTTCCATTTGCGGAAGATCCAGACGCCGATACCACCAGCAACAACGATGCCGCCAATAACTGCTCCAATCGTTATAGCAGTTTTATTACTTGAAGAACTACTTCCAGAGGATGCTCCATCTGAAGGTGTGGCTGAAACATCTGAGGACGTTGCTGAAGGCTCGCTAGGCAACTTTCCACCACTATTTCCTCCATCACTAGATTTGGTATTTGTGGGTCGAGGTGGCCGAGTGGCAGGAAGAGATGGATTTGAGGATGGGCTGGAGGGCGGATTAGTAGGGGGACTGATGGGTGGAATGGTAGGTGGAATGGTGGGTGGTGTTGTTGGTGGCTCAGTCACTGGAGGGACAGTTGTGGTCGTCTCATCCGTTGTCGAAATAGGGGGGTCGGTGGTGACGGTGGTCACCGTTGGTTCTACCGGAGTAGTGGCTGTTGACGGGGCCTCAGTTGTTGATTCAGGCGGAGGAACTAAATTAGATGTCGGTTCGACTGTTGTTTGTGGTACAGAAGAGGAGGAATAAGAAAGAGAAGGAGTAATATCTAGTATGTAAGTAGAAGAATTCCAGGCACATTAAATATAAAATAAAATAAAATATAGTAAAAATAATAATGTATGGTTAGATGATAGAATCGGATAATGACAAGGGGGCAGCATGCGACGATCCAATAGTATTTAGTAATTACTGTTAGTGCTACTGAAGATTGAGGTTGTAGGATTGTCAGCAGTCGTTGATGTAGGGGCTGTCACCTCAGTTGCTGTGGAAGTAGGACCTGGACCAGAAGAAAGAACTGTTTATGGCAGTTATTTATGGACAGAATGGCGATTATGAGGATGAGGTTGGATTGATAAAAATAACAAAGGCAAACAAAGGTGAGTTTGTGTGCAGATGTAAATAAATGAACACGTAAACAACAAACTGTAGGAAGACGCGTTCCCTGGATTTGTTTATTTGTTGTGTGGCAGGGCTCTTTTCTAGGGATTTGCAGATGATGAGGCGGAAAAGATTCGCTCATTCTTTCGTGTTTGGGAGTACAAACTTACAACACACATCTGATCTCCGATCTGGTCACTGATCAAGAAAACCCATGCCAGGGACGTGGAAAATCTAATTTGTGTGAAGCCACCACGATCAAAGGCCATGGTGTTTCAAATGAGATGGGGGGATATTTATGCAAAGAGTGAACACTATGCATACGGCGAATACGTGTGCTCCCATTTTAGGGAGTCAATGTCCTTTCATTCATTAAATAAAAAAAAAGGGGGGAGGGGAAGACGAGGGGAGTGTGTAGAATTGTACATAATAAGGTTACAGCTAACGGCATGTCATCTCAAACGGACCCGAAGTACAGCGCTGCAGATATATTGCTTTTTTTATTGTGTGTGTATGTGTGCAAATGTGTGAATGTGGGGAATGTTTAAATGGAAATAGAGATGATGTTACCACCTCAACAATCCTCAACCAACAAATATGTAATTTTTTACTTTCAACAATTTTAATGCTGCAGATGCACTAAAGCTGTTTGTGTGTGTTTACATGTTATACGACCGATGAATGTTGACCAAAAAAAAAAAAATTACAAAGGTCATACGTCAAAGGAAATGAAGGCGAAATAGCACTTCATCGACTTTTTAATCATGCTTTTGTCTACTACCCTACCAACTTACTAACGTTTCTTCTCCATTCTCTCTCTCTTATTTTTTGGGAGGGGGGGGGGGGGGGGAGAGGGGCTAGGGATAGATATGGCCGATAATGACAAGCTATAGTTTCACAGTTTTCAGTACTCCGACTGAAAAGAAGAGAGAAAAAAAGAAAAAAAAAAAGGGAAAAAAAAAAAGAAATGTCGAACAAATGGCTTACCTTCAGTAGCTGTAGGAGTGGTGGTTTCATCGCGGCCATGGTCCAGGCCTCGCTTCTCGTTTACGATCACAGGAAACCGTTGGATGTTATAGCGATCGTCATGGGTATGGGGATTAGACCACCTCCGGCGATGAAGGAAGAGTCGAGGCCGTATCTGTGGTGCCTGTGGCGTCTGTGCCTGCGCTTTAATATGATGTTGAGCGTGACAAAGTAGGGGAATAAAAGCGATTGTTGCTGCCACAACGACAGACAGCGTCACAATGGATGAAGTTTTCATTATTATGTTATTGATCAATCAATGGTGAGGAGTGTAGAAAAAAAAAAAAAAAAAAAAAAAAGAAAATACAAATATAAGGGAAAGAGCTTGTTCCTGAAAAAAAAAAAATAAAATAAAATAAAATAAAAAAAAAATAAATTCAAACTTGAATTTGAATTGTTTGCATGCAAGCAATTAGTGTGTATGAATGAGCATGGGTATGAGTAAAGGAATGAGACAGAGAATGTAGGGATGCTGTATGAGGAAGTAAAGACAAGATAGAAAGACAGAAAGACAAGACTTTTAAACTTTTTTTGAATAAATGTTTGAGAAGTGAAGCAACACAGGGGTCAGGTACAATGATGTGTAAACACATGTACATGTATGTACATGGATAATATAAAATGGTAGGTGTATTGCATTACATGTCATCCTTAGTCTCTCTTGGTCTTTTTTTTTTTAAAAAAAAAAATTATGAATCATGATGCTCTTTCTCTCTAATCCTAATCTGTCAACTGTAGCTCCCAAAACACATTAGATCACTCGATATTCTGTGGTGCGGATCTGACAAGATGACTGGACAGTCTTCTAAACATCACGGCCCCGCCACAACAAGGATTGCACATTTCCTGCACACACTATGCCTGCAAAGGAATCATAGACATCCACTCACTGCATACATCGAAGCCTTTTAATTTACACATCAACGAACTACCCCATATTCTTTATTGACATTTTGATTCAACAAAAATAAGTTTGAATGATGAACCAGCTTATTCTTTCTCTAACCAACAAATCTCCATAAATAATACCCTTCAACCTACCTGATATCCTCGTTTTCATTTCCCCTTCCCTTTTCTTTCCTCTCTCACTCTTTTATAGGTAAAGTAGCAAAGCCGGTCTAATGTCTATTCTGATTTATCATCTGGGCTTATAGGCTGTGATGCTCGTATCCTTAAAGATCATTACCCTACCCAATAACAATATACCTCAGATAAAGCTCATACACAAGCCTTTTCTTCTCTTCTGTGTCATAGATACTTAAAAAGCAGAGGAGGGTCGAAATTGTCATTTAGAGATGTATTTTCTCAGCTGCTGCGATGGCATTCACAGTTGGTACAAAACAAAGTGTAGACGAATTTGAACATTAAGGTCGATCGTTGATGAGACGAAGCGAAAGTTGCATGATTATCCTAGTATCCAAGATTTGACGTTTTCGAAATACTATGGTCGGTTCTTTATCCGTTGTTTATTCTGTCAATTGAAAAGAAATGAGTCATTTGATTGGATGCTTGGATTGCTCTGTTGGAGTTGCTGTAAAGTGGCCCTCCAGTTCATGAAACTGTATACAACTAAAATTTCTTTTTCTTTTTCTTTTTTAGACTTTTTTTTTTTTTTTTTTTTTTTTTTTTTTTGGCCGGCATTTGGTTTTGCATGGTCGAAGAGGGCTCACTTGGTCACTCAGTCAAAGTAGGAAGTAGGAAGTAGGAAGAAAAAAAAACACGGAAATCGTGATGAGGCACCAACAAGACCCATCGTTGTTTTAATGTCACAGATTTAGTAGCGATCATATCTTTCATCGTAGCGTGGACGACGTTCATAACCACGATCGTACATGGCCCTATCATCATAGCCACGTCCACCCATGTCATAGGGAGTGGGTCTATAGTCGCGAGGAGGGCGATCCTCATATCTTGGGCGACCTCCCATCCATCTATAAATAATATAAAAAAAAATAAAAAAAAAAAACAAACAAACACTCCGTGAGTCCACAGGCGCAAAGGAAAATGGCGTATTTAAACATGCAACACACAAACCAAAAGACATTAGGGAAGCACTGCGATATGATAGTTCAAATGATGAAAGAGCCCTGGCAAGGTACCAAGAGCATGTGGGCAAAACAACAGCTAAGAAGATCATGGCTTTGATTTCTATTTCTGTCAATCTGCCCCCAAGCCTTTGACAAATTGTTCGGATACCCTACCTATCATAACGATCGCCTCGATCATATCGGTCATACCTGTCATAAGGAGCAGGGCGAGCATACTCGCGTGCAGGACCACCTCTATATTCCCTTGGATCAGGCCCGCGAGGGACATAACGAGGATCGAACCTATCACCACGGCGCTCTATAGAATGCAAGCAAAAAGAAGCCTCATAGTTAAACAAATTAGCGTTCGCAATAAAGGCGAGAGCGTTTCGCCATCATCTCTCAAGAAGTGATACCATAGGGATGGGGCATACCCATGCCCCTCTCACGTTTAGGAGGTCCGCGATATTGGCCTGGAGTAGGGGTTCTAGCACGACCACGGCGAGCCTAATGGATATGGGTAATAATATTTGTTTGATTAGATGTATCTAAGTAATAACCTGGTTCAGTTTCTCATCTTAAGAATAAATTCATATGAATACATGCTCTTACCATACTAACAGACATGGCACGACCATGAAGCTCGAATCCACTCAATACCTGCATTGCTGCCTCAGCATCTTCAGAGCGGACCATAGTAACAAAGGCGAAACCACGAGATTCCCGAGTGTGTGGATCATACATGATTTGAACTTTTTCGACCTAACCCAGTAAGTGCCCAATAAAATGTAATACGACAACCTGTTCAAAAACTGTTTCTCAGAATGACCACGATTGCCTTTGTGTAGCTAAGGGTATAGCAACTATTGATATTGATGTTGTTGATCCCCTCTCAAAGCAGTTAATCACATTCCATAATCAACAGAAATTTAGGAGACGACTATTTTTTTTTTCTTTCTAAATTTTCTTGCCAACTAATGACGAAATGGACGGGTCGACCAAAACAAGCCAGTCGATCTGCTGTTTTCAAAACCTGTCCACTGAAAGCGTCGTTGTCAAGTAGGTGCGGTTGTAAAAGAGGATAGATGCTCACCTTGCCGTATTTTCCAAACAAATCTTCTAGATCCGCTTGATCAGTCTTGTTGGAGAGACCATTGACAAAGAGGTTGTTTCCTGGATTGACTGAATCGTCATTGTCGGCAGCATTTCTGATATTCGAAGTAAAGAAAGGGGGGTTGAGATAAGTAAGGAGCCGCTCAGCTGCCGAAAAATTGGTGACAACGATACATGTTGATTAAATAGATGGTACATCCATGGCAATGTCGATGAAGTTCCAGGAGGTTTGTCATGGATTTATAAAAATGAATGAATGCTGCTGTGATCGTACGGATCGCTCACGCAAGACAGTGACCTCCTTAGTCTATGTGCGAATCATAATCAGGGTAGCTGGGAGAAGACTGGATAAAGAAACATACGTGGCGCGGGCAGGCGAGCGACTCCTTGGACGAGGTGATCTCGATCTTGAGCTAGCGGGGCTATCGGCACGACCGCGATGTTCAGAATCAGTGTAGGCTTGTTCGCTCATATTGTGGTGATGAGAATAAAAGGATTTAGGATGAAGAAGGTTGAAATCTGAGAAATCTGAGCGATGTGGAACTAAAAAAAAAAAAAGGCGTTCACGTGCAAGACCCTTAACACAAAATAAGTAAACAAAGTTCTGTTTTCTGTTGCCATACTTTCCTTCCACAACTCCAGTTCGCACTTTCCCTACTCACACCAGCAACTCATACAGTCCTTTTCAAGCCATGTCATCGCCATTCGCCCGTGCAGCTGTCGCTGCTAACAGCAGTATTATGCGCGCTGCTGGCCGTCCTGGTGGGAAGAAGGGAAATTCCACTTCACTCAACGGCGATGCCAGGAATGATCTCATCAAGAAGGTCCTTTTTGATGTTCCTCCTAGACCACCTGTCCGCATGTCGCCCGAGGACCTTGAACGCCACGAGACGATCGAACGTGCATGGAAGTTAGTCCGTCAGCAGCGAAAGCAGGAACAGGAGAAGGGGCTCGCTAGAAAGTTTGAAATGATGCGTAAGGCCAATGCTGAACTCGAAGCCATTAGCCCTGCACTCTTCAAGCACTCACAGACTAAGGAAAGAAATGCTGTCTTCCCAAGGCAACTCAGAACTCTCACGGATACCCCTCCAAAACAGATCTGGAACTACCGTCAGACAGTAAATACTGCTCCGAAGGCATGATGGATTGTTATCAAGAGGAACAAGGGAAAGCAGGAAGGGTGGAAATGCAAGCTTTAGGTGGCTGATGGCAAATCATTGCCGTCAGCCGTACTCAAAAAAAAAAAAAAAAAAAAAAAAAAAATGCATAGAAGGAGTATATAATTTGCTAGAGGAAGAGGTTTACGGTCGTTAGTCAATTTTAGATCATCATTCACCACATTGTACAGCAGGATAAAATTACAAATTTTTTAACATCATTAGCATGAATATTTGATGAATGTTTAGAACCGAGCTCTGGTAAATCAAGCTACGGCCCGAACGGGATGTAGAAAGAATGATGTTCGAAGTTGTTAGGCGATTTAATTTTTTGGGGTTTCAGAAACTGAATCCGTATGGTGATGTCTACGACTTTTTTTCTCTTGCTTTTCGTGCTCCAACCTCTCAGCTTTCTTGCGAAGCCATGTTTCTTTCATGATTTTCTTAATATCCTCCAGGCCTTTGTAGAAATTTGTCTCTCCAAGGCCAGCCAAAAGAGTAACCTCATCTTGCTTGACTTCAAAATTGAATGTTGAGCAAAAAGGAATTAGAGCAGGATTAAAATCACCTTGGTACTCTTCATTAGGAATTAATGGAAAGTAAACCAGAGTAATAGGATGCACGTTGATATTCTGGTTGGAAGAAGTATCCTTGGATGAGGAACGCGACGGACCTTGCGTTGGTGATCCATCCTCGTTTGGTACGACATGATCAGCATCACGATTCTCTGCTACAATGCCGTGGAAGATCTCCACATGTTTCATTTTTCTGGGGGAGCCTTCTTCCTGCTTTGCCAGTTGTTCCGCCCTTGTCTTGGAAATGGGTGGCCAACGTTCAATGCCTCGCCTCTTCACATACTCATCTATATCGCATCAAACAACAAAATAAAATATGTTTGAGATTCTTCTGACAATTTCTTTTTCCACTCTTTCAATCGAGCCACAGAATCCTTACCGGCCTTCTCAAACCATGGAACACTTTCAATATCAGCACTGCTATCAAATGCCAAAACAATATCAACGTTCCGGCCTGGGCGTAATAATGGATAAAGTGGCAGGTTGTTATCCATCCCAGCATCGTTCAAGTAGATGTTTTCTCTTTGTGAAAAAGCCTCTGCCTCGATCTCAGGGTCTGGGAGTTTGTAAATCGGGTTTGGAAAGCAGGACGGTGATAGTGGATGGATTTGTGACATGTTGTCCAAATACTAATATCATCAGTAGCAAGAGTGCTGGTTGAATTCTTTAGTAGGCTTATTCTGAGATGATACTTTATCCTTTAAAATATGCGCATCTTGCTGACCTCATTGATATAGGAGTCCATAGAGTCGGAGATGGTCTTGTTCAAGAGTGGCCGCACCTCCTTGTAATAATCAGCCATTGTGGCAGTAAAAGCAGATCCGAAAGTTCCCAAAAGAATAGCAAGGCTAGTCTCTGGAAGCCTTTCGATACTCTTCCCAGCAACGAAGCGACGGCCGAAGGACCAAGTAGGGATCCAGGCTAGGGAGCATGGGATGAGAAAAATGAGCGTCATCACAAACATATCACAATCACCATAGAGTCTGTAGAAAATGGTGAATAGAATTCAAAAAAGGGACGCTTACCACAGGTTTCTTCGCTGCCAAACTCATAGGGAGTCACTTCAAACCATTGGTAGTAGTGTGTCTCTGTATCTTTATCAATATCATCGTCGACAATAATGTCTCCTTCTCCGAGACGTTCAGGCATAGAGCTTGGGAGAACATGGGATACAACAGTATATATAGGTAAGGGTTGATCACCATAATTGGTCCAGCGACTCTGTTGTGAAAGCTTAAAATCCAGTGGGTCAACCCACTCGCCATTATCTCCATCTCTTTCGCGATGGATCAGGAGTCGCGATGCAAGTACCGTGCCAAAGGCATCCACCAATGTGAGGTTGCGGCCATTGCTATATTTTTGAACGATACCTTCTAGAATCAACTGAGCCGCTCCTGGATTGCTGAGCAAGGTGTGAATAAAGGATGGATAGTGATCGATTGGGATGTTGAGTGACTGTTTGAAATGCTCGAGTGTCTTTGTGAATGACCGTTGTCCCAATGTCATGTATTGTGCAATCATCCAACAACTTCCCGAGACGCCAGCCATGTACATGGCACAATCAAAGAGTCCGGTTTTCTTTGCTGCAGTCATATAGCCTAATGACGATATCATAGCTCGATACCCACCGCCGCTAAACCCAGGGAAAAGGTTGGTAAGACTAAGGAAGCATACAAATGAACGTGTTTGATCATATACCAAACCTGCAGATCATGGAAGCAGGATGGCTTTCAATATAAGCTATACCTTCCAGCGAGTGCCACTACAGGAATGTCGTTCTCATGAACCTCAGATTCTTTGACGCCGATGAACTTTGCAAATGCCTTCCTCATTTTTCTCCTTCGAGCAGCCATGAACGCGACTTCCTGTGGACAAAGATCATTTCCTTGCCTGATTTTATTTTTAAAGTATTACTTAAGTAAACCGTTCACTTTCTAAGGAATTACATGTCTTTTGGACTCATGATGTAGTTTTGATTATTATTATTATTATTATTTTTTTTCATGCTCCGCGTTTTACTGACCTTACGGTCGCATCAAGCTGGATTTCCGGGTTCTTGCTGCTATCCTGCATGTTAGTAACGATTGTCTGATAGAGCGAACCATCTCCGAGCTGAAGCTCTGTTCTGATAGCATCGATGGCTGCAAAGTAATCTGCCAGGGTAGGGACGCGTCCAATGATCTCTTCACCAATCTTCTCACCCAGATCTTGCATCCTATCCATGAGGTTATGCAGTGAGAGATGAGGTAACTCTGGCATCTTGGGAATAGAGATGGAAGGAAGTGATCCGGGCAAGTTGATTTTGATATCCCCTTCCTCCTTATCTTTATCTTCACCTTTACCCTCACTATCTGCATCTTTTTTACTCTTTAACGGATTATCTTTAAGCTCCAAAATGGGAGCCTTGGTATTTTTTGCTTCTTCACAAGACACGGCCTTTTTGGGCATCAAATAAGCAGAACAGACACCAACAAGCACCATGACAGAGGATTTTATATCATTCCAGCGCGTTTCTAGTTGGTTTGGCATATGATTTTGATTTTTTAATTAGATCATTGAATTAACGCTAAAAAAAAAAAAAAAAAAAAAGTTTTATCCACCCACGGCTATGAATCACGTATTGAAACGAGTTTTCTCGGAAATGTACACTTAAACCCATGCATAGTATCTACAAGAAGGAACTGACCATTCAGGGGGACTTTGGACGCACCATTATCCCTGTCACTATTTTTGCCACTGTTATTGAACGCGGAAGAAGAAAAACAATGGCGCTGGGAAGTGTCCACAAGGGGAAGGAGAAGTCGTGGTTTCAGGGTGGGAATAGGTTTGAGGAAGGTAGTGCGGTATCGTGTATATCCATAACTCCATGTGTGGGAGCTTGGGCGGATGACCTTTGCGCGAAGCAGTTGTGACATTGTTGGTTCAAAAGTTAATGCAGAATGAAAAAAAAAAAAAAAAAAAAAAAAAAAAAAGTCAGTTAAATATATTGGTTGGGCTCTGTCACGTGGATCTACTAAAAAGGCTAGTTTATTGAAATGAAACCTTTTTTTTTACTGCCTTTTACCACCTTCCTTCAAGTCTTTCTCTCTTTCTTTTCCCAGCGTTTTGCACCTGTTCTATTTCAATTACCCTAACGCTTTATTATTCTTTGTTGTGTGCTCTACCCTTCTGTTTCCACTATTGTTCTATCCTCCACCCACCGTTCGTGAATGAGAAATACTAGCCCAACCTCTAATCATGAACTCGACACTAATAACAACAATAATAAGATCAACAGCTCAAGTGCCAGCGTGAGCAGCAAAGGAGGCGCACACCATGGAGGATCCGCACACCATGGAGGATCCGCAGTCCGCAGCGGTCTCAGCAGCAATCCCATCGAGGATAGTACCTCTGCAAGTGGCACCAAGGGTCGCTCCTCCTCCTTCAGTGCAGACTACACTTCGGCCGCAGCCATGCTCTCTCATAGAGTTGCTCATGAATCCGACGGCGAGAATGATCACATTGACGATGATCAGGACGACAGTGATCGCACAGAGGGTGAAATAACCCCAGCAGCAATCAAGACTCTGTCTAAAGCCAAATCAATGCGCATTCCAACTCATGGTTCGTTCTCATTCGCCCAGTCACACTCTTTCGCCTCTACTGTAGTTACTATCCTGCCTTCCTCTCTTTTTTCCTACCTATTTTTTTTTTAAAAAAAAAAAAATGGTTTGGAGCTGATCTCATTGAACTACCAGTGCGGTGGTTTCAAGTGCTGATCTGGAATGGTTTGGAATGAAGTCATCCTGTTTTTTCTGAGTTCATATAAAGCTTGGTCGGGACCTGTTTTTTTTTTTTTTTTTGAGCCCTCGGGGTTTTGATCCTCCTTCAGAGCTCCAAAGAAAGTGTGTTTAGGCCACAGCAAGGAGTATGGCATTAAGTAGTCTTTTCGGAAAAGAGGAGATTGTGGAGATTTCGACTGGGTGCATGGGCTTTTTTTATGTGTGTGGATCTGCAAAATACAACTCTGAAGTGCTCACTATGTCAACTGTACTATTACTGCTTTTCACAATTGATTCTAAGCGTTTTTAAAATCTTCTACTTTCTTAGATATTAGGAATGATCGCTGCCAGCAGCACGTCCATCTCGAAGAAGAAGATGTGGAATTGATCTTTATTGGGTATAAATTCCAGAGAGTACGCATATATTTATATTACCTGTTGTGTTTCCTCTCGGCAGGGATAATTTTCTTGCTTGGACGGTGGATGCCCCGACGATACATTAATTTTGTGGCCAAAAAGTGTGACATGAGCAAAGCAGAATGTATCGTGGTTCAGGTAATTGGCACCTCATTGCATTTTATACATGAAGGGGCCAACAAGAGTTATTGTTAGAGGGTCTATAATATCCCGATCTCACTCTTTGATACATTCCCTCTCACTTTATGCACAACAGAATGAATGGGGCCAGGTTTCAATGGAACACATCTTTACGAAGTACTATGGTGGTTCAGTTGACTCAGTATTTAGTCCTGAGCAGATGGAAAAGCCCGAAAATGACAATAATGCCAATGATGACAATAGTATTGACGAGATAGTGGTAGGTCTTTGGCATGCGCTCTTTTTGCTCGTTAGTGCTTATAGTTAATGTTTGGATTGATGTATAATAATGGTGTGGAATGACATGATCTTTTAGACATCCGGCATGTTGCACGATATGCGCTATTTTGACTATCAATACATCCGGTTTATCTACAACCCGACCGTACAGCTTTTTATGCAAAATTCATACTGGAAAGACCCTGGGTGGACAAGTGTGGCCAATTGTGAGCGAGGCATTGGTAGAGAGACGCATCAGGAACGTACCATGGTATTTGGACAGAACATCATTGATGTTCAAGAAAAGACAGTTGGACAACTACTTGTGCAAGAGGTCCTTCATCCGTTCTACGTATTTCAAGTATTTTCAATGATTCTTTGGTTCTTGGATGATTATTACTACTATGCTGCTTGCATTTTTGTCATCTCAACCGTCTCAGTTGTGACAGAGTTGGTAGAAACCAAGAAGACTATGCATAGGATGCGTAATATGTCTCGCTTTACCTGTAACACTAAAGTCTTTCGATCTGGACGATGTAAGGAGCCATCCGTTTATTCCCTGGAATGTCTTGACCCAATCTATTACTCTGTTGTATTAATTAGGCTATATACGTTACATTCTCTGTTGCAGGGCGTTATATTGGGTCTGAGGATCTTGCTCCTGGCGATGTTTTTGATGTGACTGACTCCGAGCTTGCAGTGTTTCCTTGTGATGCTATTTTATTGACTGGAGATTGTATTGTAAATGAGAGTATGCTGACAGGAGAGTCTGTACCAGTTTCCAAGATACCTGTCACAGTAGCGGCTCTTCAGCATCTAGATTTGTCACTCTCAAACATTCCTGCAGAAATTGCTCGCCACTTCTTGTTTTCAGGTACAAAGATTATTCGTGCCAGGCCAGGAGCGCCACGGGACTCCGAGAATACACATGGACAAGATGACGTTGACATGGACCCTCAAGCTCGAGGTTTAGCCATGGTAGTCAGGATTGGATTCAACACAACTAAAGGAACTTTGATCCGGTCAATGCTCTTCCCTAAACCCAATGACTTCCAGTTTTATCGTGACTCTTTCCGATTTATCGGCATTTTAGCCATCATTGCCTGCTTGGGATTCCTCATTTCGACTATAAACTTTGTAAAAATGGGTGTTCCATTCAAGATGATGATTGTCAAGGCTTTGGACCTAATCACCATCGTTGTCCCGCCTGCACTACCAGCGACCATGTCCATTGGCACCAGCTTTGCAATCGCACGCTTGAAACGCTTGAATATTTTCTGCATCAGTCCGACAAGGGTTAACATTGGCGGCAAAATCGATTGCATGTGTTTTGATAAGACTGGTACGCTTACTGAAGATGGTCTTGACATTTTGGGCATTCAATGTGGTGACAGCGCAACTGGGGAATTCGCAGAAATGCTCTCTAGCGTAGAGGAGATGCAAAAAGCGCCAAAATCGATCCTGGAAAAGACCATGCCTATGTTGTTTGCTATGACTACCTGCCATTCTGTCAAGTCTGTTAATGGTGAACTCATTGGTGACCCTCTGGATCTCAAGATGTTTGAGTTCACACAGTGGATTTTGGAGGAAGGTGGATTGGGCGCCAGGACTGCAAATATCCCTGAATCATCGCAAGGCGCCGCGAAAGGAGACGTGGGTGGTGTCGTTTCAACTGTTGTTCGGCCTCCTGGAGGAAAGCAATTTAATTTGGAGGAAGTCATCGCCAAACATAATAACGCCGATAAGGATATAAGCAATTCAGTAATTTTTTTTTACAGTTCAAGATGTATGAATTGTGCCAAAGAAAGTCTATTGTTCCTCATATTTTATTCTAATATATCTGTTTTTATTACTAGCCTACCTTCTTAGAATTAGGCATCATCCGCTGCTTTGAATTTGTTTCTTCCTTACGTCGCATGAGCGTGATTGTGAAACGCCTGCATAACCCTGGCATGGACGTTTTCGTAAAGGGAGCGCCGGAAGTTATGACTGATATTTGTCAAAAGGATTCATTACCTTCGGATTATGCCAAGCGTCTTGCCTATTACACGCATCACGGATATCGGGTCATTGCTTGCGCGTACAAGGCAATGCCAACGTTGAATTTCGTCCGTGCCCAAAGAATTAAACGTGATCAAATCGAGTCCGATTTAACATTTCTGGGATTCATTATCTTTGAGAACAAACTCAAGCCAACCACCGCGCCTATCGTGGCCACCCTGGGAAATGCTCGCATTCGCCAGGTGATGTGCACAGGAGACAATGTTCTCACGGCTATTAGTGTCTCGAGGGAATGTGGGTTGATCAACAGAGCACGCGAGGTATATACACCTAGATTTGTTTCTGGTGACTCTACTACAGAAAACTCGGAGATTATTTGGGAAAATACGGAAAACGAGCATATGAGGTTGGACTCGGTCACACTGAAGCCCAATAATAATTGGTCGGACGACTTTAGCAACGGACCTGAATTCCCTCGATACAGCCAAATGATGAACGATTACGCTCTTGCTGTGACTGGAGACTGCTTTCGATGGATGGTTGATTATGCTCCAACATCGACCCTAAACAGGATGCTTGTCAAGGGACAGATTTTTGCTCGTATGTCTCCGGATGAGAAGCATGAGCTTGTTGAACATCTTCAGGGCATTGGCTACTGTGTGGGCTTCTGCGGAGATGGTGCAAATGACTGTGGAGCTCTCAAAGCCGCAGATGTTGGCATCAGTTTAAGCGAAGCTGAAGCATCCGTTGCAGCGCCATTCACGAGTCGATCGAATGATATTACATGCGTCGTTAAGGTTATTCAGGAGGGTCGTGCTGCTTTGGTGACGAGCTTCAGTTGCTTCAAGTATATGGCCTTGTATAGTATCATTCAGTTTACGACTGTCAGCTTCCTATATGCATTTGCATCAAATTTGGGTGACTTTCAGTTCTTGTACATCGATCTAGTGCTTATTTTGCCAATTGCAGTTGTCATGGGCCGTACAGAGGCATACCCTATCTTAAGCCCCAAGCGCCCGACTGCTAATTTGGTTTCAAAGAAGGTGCTCACGTCTTTGATTGGACAGATCATGATCCAATCCCTATTTCAAGGATTGATGTTTATACTTGTACGACATCAGCCTTGGTACACTCCTCCCGAGTATGATAGTGAAGAGAAGAACATCGAGTGTTATGAGAACACAGTCCTGTTCTTGCTTTCATGCTTCCAATATCTACTCGTAGCCATTGTCTTTAGTGTTGGACCTCCATACCGTAAACCGATGTCCTCTAATCGTAAGTATCTTTTGTTTCTTCGTCATCTTTTCTAGAATGTTTTCATTAATTTTGGATATTTTTTTTATTTAAATTTCTCCAGGGCCGTTCGTTATTATAACGATTACTTTAATCCTTACTTCGACGGTCATGGTTATGTTCACTATCGGCTGGCTCGCGGACTTTATGCAGTTAGTGTATATACCAATCAGTTTCAGAATTGGAATTATGATCATGGCGGGCTTGAATTTGGGCGTGTCTTTACTATGCGAGCATTTTGTGTTCCCAATCATTTCCCGCTGGATCGGACAGTGGTTGAACGCATGGAAGGCCCGCCGTGAGGTGCGTCATGCACAGCAACAGCAAGTCGCTGCACCACCATCTCATGAACGGCAGAACATTGGGGCAGGATATGGAAGTCAATCTGTTACTGGTCCATCAATTGTGGTTGTGCAGCAGCAAGGAACTATGGATGATGGCCATGGTGAATATACTGAGGAATATCTAAATGGCAGCAGTCAAGCTGGGACGAAGAAAGCGCGAAGCAAGAAAACTTCGCTGAAGGTTTATAAGATGGTAGAGAAGGAGATGATGGAACCATGATAGAGAAATTTTTTTTAAAAAAAAAAAAAAAAAAAAAAAAATACATACATACACATTTATAAATAAATTAAATAAAATAAACAGGTCTTCTTTAAGTTTTTAGTTTTTAATTTTTAAGGTAGGGCGTCGAGAGTCAATATATATAATACTACATTACAAAAAAACATGAAAGAATACTCAGAAGATGGATGCCGCGATGGAAAGGAAGGTGCTCAAGAGGAGAGCGAACAAGATTCCACCTGCTGCCTTATGATTTCCATTGGCTCCACTCTTTCCATTAGAAGAGGTTGAAGGGTCGTTGGGAGTAGGAGCAGCGCCATTAGTAAAGTCAGCTCCACACTTTCGTTGAACCTCTGTCTGAATCACGTTGGCCCAAGTGAGGGCCGCGGGTTTCAATGTGTTTTTGTTCTGAGCAACATAGTTGACAAGAGGATTGATCATGGCCTTATTGCAAGGGGTGCAAAGAATTTCAGAAGGCATGCTGTCGACATATTGCTTCAAAACGGCTGGATCGGTAAAGCCCTTGGGGGATGGATTCTTCTTTAAGTATGTTGTCAGGGTTTCTGTCAGGACTGTGGCACAGAAAGTGCCATTCTGGGGTGAGACTCTTTGACAGACTCCTTCCTTGGCGGGTGGATAGAGACTAGCAACACTATAGACCAAGTCTGCTGTGGTGGGATCCGAAGCATTGACGCAATTCTGAGTGACCGTGTTCTGGACCAATGTAAGGGAGGCAGCAGGACAGACAGGATAGGAGCAGAAGGTTGTGGCGGTGCTGTTGACAAGAGCTGGGGTGATGACGGGCTCTGTCACGAGCTGAGAGAGCTCCTGCAAGGGCAGACAAGAGTTGAGGCCTGGGTCTGAAAGGAGTGTAGCAAGAGAGAGCTTGCACTGGTCAATCACTGCAGCCTCTGTAGACGAGGGAAGCAAGGACGAACCGAGAGCAATGACTGCTACTGCGGATGAGAAGAATGTAGACTTCATGTTAAAAGTATTTTTTTCAATGAGTCGAATGAGTGAATGGCAGAGTATAGAAAAAAGAGAAAGCGAATAATGAATAGGTCAGAGACGAGAGGCGATGTAAGAGTGAAGATAAAAAAAAAAAAAAGAAAGAGGAAAAGATGAAAGAATCAAGAGTATATATATTCTACTTTTCATCACTTCACACTTCAGTGAATGGAGGGCTCACATCGTACGATGTGAAAGCCTGTGTAAAGTAAAATAAAAAGTGTAAATGAAGCCCCGATACTGGGTTGTTAAGCAACACAAAGCCTCGGAGCAAAAGCCCTTCATTTCATGTCTCCACATGCCCTTGATCCTCTTGTGTCGTGCAATGGCCATTATGTTTAACATGCTTATATCTCCACATGGATGCCCAGCCTCCGACAAAAAAACAAATTGCCTTTTTGTTTTTCAGCTTTTTACATTCGCCTATTCCTTGTACCTGAGGACCCTGTCCTGATTGGCTTATTTTCTCCATATCACAGTGCTAATTAAATGAGGTGTCACAAATGTATTCCACAAAGCTTAATCAGGACAAAAAAGAGATTATGGACATCAGGGCCGATGCTGCTTCTTATTTGCTTCTTTATGACCATGATAAATGCGATGACCAATGCAAGCTAAAGAATATTAAGCATTTGTTGATCTCACCATATGCACCCTTTTTTTTTTTTTTTTTTTTTTTTAAAAAAAAAAAAAAAAAAAAAAAAAGTAAACAAACAAAAAGCATATTAGCCCTTTACACAAGTTGCACTTTAGACTTTAATTGCAATCAGATGCGCTTTAAAATTAAGCATGGTAAACTTACACAATAATCTCCTAGAAGCAAACATTGGATATCATTAACAACATACCATTTCCGTCACTCTTGTCAAAAACGGTATGTATATCATATTGTCATTGCGAATAATTAGCATCGTTGCACATTATTGATAATCTTTCAAAGCTTTTCATTAACTTGCTTTTCCCCTGAGTAATCAGAAAAGAAAAAAGAAAAACTAGTACTCATATGAATATGATGTGAGCTGAAAGACAATACGCGCGAAATTACATGTAATTAATCTTTGTACTATACATACATCTAGAATGGACATCACCTTTAGCATTGGGTGGTTCTGTTTTGATGAAAATCTCGCTCGAGTCCTCTCCTGGTCATATCCAGAAAAATTTGTTCCATTGATATTGATTAGCAGTAAGGTAGCAAGGCTTTGCCTGAACTAACGCGGCTTCGAATAATATTGTATAGACAATATCTAACAAGAATATCTTGATGACAGTACGTTTTGCAAGTCCATGTAAATTCTTTACAAGCCGAACATTTTGTCAACATAAAGGATTCAACAACATTGATGGCAATATAAGCCTATATATCACGTTTTTTGCCGTTGAACAACCGAACAATGATACTAATAAAAGCTTAAGCTACCCAAAAAAAAAAAAAAAAAAAAAAAAAGGACAGATAAAGACTCTATGACGCATAGACTTACCCGCTAACAATCATACCATTTCCTCCTTTCCCCTTTGGGTCAAACACCCCACCGATCATTCTTAAAAGTCGGTTGGCGGTTTGTCTGGATTCCTGATCTTTTTCACATCTGACATCCTACACATTTCCCTTGGTGACTATCTTAGCATTGTAAGACTGGACTGCCCCTGCACTTGATCTAGGCCATGGTACACTTTTTGAAGTTCGATCAATTGCTGAAACGTTGGCTTCAGCATCATTTAAACTCAAGCTGCCGTGCAGAGTGCCCAGAGCATTGGCATCACATAGGATCACTGGACTGTGATCATGGGGTTTATTGCTCTGCACTTGTAGCTACCGTCGGTGCTTGAGAGCTGGCTAGTAGGCGTATTTCTACTTCACAGCCGAATTATAAAACATGAAGGGACGACTGCCCGAGGTGGCCTTGGCCATGACAATCTTCGGGCAATTGTGGAGCAACACGCCTATCTCAATTACGCACGCTTAGCCAAAGCCCAACCCTAATATCCTAATCTGTTCGGACTCGCATTCTCAAAAGCCTTCGGTGCCCTCCTTGCTTCTCAAGATGTCCCTACTCTTTAGCAGATTAAAATCTATTTTGCTGGCCAATAACTAAGGAAATGCTCGAAGAGAGCTGCTTTAAAGTAACTGACTTATAATCGACTAAATACAACTCCTTGAAAGCAATGTTGAGCAGATGAAATAAAAAGCACAGACCACTATTTCCTTTTACTTTAAACTCTAATTGACTGTGGCTTCAAAACATTGACCATGAGAGAGCCATACGCACGGACTACTTGTTGCGAGGACAAAATAAAGAATCCCAGGTTGTCTACTTGAACAACAAGCCTGGCAGCCTATCTGCTCAACTATCAACATATGTCTGGGAAACAAAGTTGAAAACCACTCCACTTGATATTACTTCTACTGAAACAGGCCAAAGCAATGTGTAGTTCTATCCTCCTTACTTTTGATGATGGCTATTATGGTTCACATAGGCGGTTGTCCGAATCCTGTATGGATTTAAGTGCCTAAGCATATTTTATATCTGTCAATCATTCTTTTTAAAAACAAATAGAGTTTCGATAAAGCATGCTGCGGCAACCATAGATATAATATCTAAAATAAGAGATCCTGAATCATAGTTATGGCAATTGAACTTTAGTATCTTGGCTTGGATGTGGAAGTGGAGTGAGCCATGTACCGCCATTCTCGAGCTACCTGTCCAACTATATTGGATCAACGTGTTTAAAACTACAAGATCAACCCCCTCACTATCTCAAACTGCATACTTTTTTAAATATATTTCAAAGATGTTTCCATCGATATCAATGCGCCTTTCGCCAACTTCTGGATATTGCTCAATTCTTTGGATCTTGGGTGACTACTTGGATTCGGATGACCGCCATATGCTTCAAAAGAGCACTTTCAGGTAAAATCATCCATCTATGGGGAAGTCTTGGTACTTAACTGGCACTGATATGAACCGTGGCTGCCTTCTCACTTGTACATGCTCGGATTGTGGCTTCGACTAAAGTCTGCAAGCACATGTACTTCGTTATTAGGATTTATAGTAGTGCCCAGGCCCACTATGGTTCAGCAATAACGCCTGCCCTTTAGCCAGGGCAAATTGAAGTAGTCCACAATGACCTACTTAACCTTTCATTTAAGGGTGTTACCCTTCTGCAGTCATCCCTTTCACTACAAGCCGCAAGAGTTAAAGAGGAAAAAAAACATGAGAACATAAAATGACGCGTTGGCAGAAAAAGCAGTCTTGTCTTTGGCCGCAGTAACCCAATATGAGGCTCAATGTCATTTTGGTTTTGATTCATGAATCACATTTTTTAGTTACTTCGCCAAACATCACGACAGTCTCCATGCCCTACGAAGAAAATTACACGTTACAAAGGATCGAAAGCCTCGGCTACCATAATATCCACATCTCACAGATTTTCTACGCAATTACGCATGAAGTCAGAGATCTGCAATACCCAGTCTTTCGTGGACCGCCCAGAAAAGAACATTGGGATAATGCTCTCTATCTCTTCAAAGAATATCTTGCACCAGTCATCCTTTCTTCTCAAAGGGCTGCTGCCGCTGCTGCTGCTGCTGCTCCTGGCCCTTCAACTATTACATCTGTATGCACTAATCAAGACCCTAACAGTAACTTTTCAGAAAGATCGGAAAGGCCAGAAAGGTCGGAAAGGGTCATGGATTTTGAAAAGAATCAGCAAGATCAATATGTCAAGCAGCTCTCTCCTACTGATGTCGGCTATGCACAGCGCACTATTTCTTGCATGGTCCGATATGCACCTACTCCAGACGAAGCGAGGCGTATCTATGGATTTTATCTCATGGACTGCCTACCTCCTGTGAGGAACGATGAGACCACTGACAATTGCCTTATCTCGTTAATCTACCAATATGGGCTCGTGAGAAACGATAATATACAGAGCGAAGGACTGGAGTTGATCAGGATTGCACTATCTCGTGGTATTGGTCTGCCAGATTTCAAAGTTAGGAAAAGTCAATTTAGTAGAAATGAGAATACTGGGAAATCAGATAAAATATTGGCCAATGTCAGCAAAAAAATTTTGTCTCGAGCAGGTCTCCAGATCTCAAACGACGGCCTTGAGTTGGTGTTGGTGAAACCCTCGTCTGCTTATCGTAGGCCACAGCGAATTACAACTCAGTTTCCTCAAGCGAAAACAACGCAACCACAGTTACAGACAAATCACTGGACTTCAGAACAACCTCAGTCGCCACCATACCAGCAACAACATGAGCAAAAACATCAACATCAGCACCAAGAACAACGTCAGGAACAACGTCGGGAACAACGTCACGAACAACGTCGGGAACAACATCAGGAACAACATCAGGAACAACATCAGGAACAACACCAGCAACACTATCAACAACATCAGCAGCAGCAGCAGCAGCAGCAGCAACAACAACGTCAGCAACCACATCAGCAACCACATCAGCAAGAACGCCGGCAGCACCACCAGCGCCAGCATCACCATCAGCAACAGCAAAGCCAGAAACGGCAGCAACATCAGCAACAACGGGGATCATCAGTTGATCAACTTAATATTAATCAACAGCGAACCCAGCCATCAAATGAGCAGTTCGAGGCGCAAACAATGAGCTCACGAGGTCAGTCAAACCGAGGTGGTCGACAGAGGTATCGTCACTCCCATGTGCCTTTGAGCCCGTCTTTGTCAAATGTGTAGACAGGTTCCACATGAAACCACAAGGCTCTTATCATAGCAATAATGCGTTGACCAAGGTCAGGAGTGCATGGTGATCTACGCGTGTTTATAGTTTGTAGCAATAGCTTATATGTATTTCCAAGCAAAGTGTTTATTATTTTTCATCCTTTATTGGGCATCGACCTTTTTACTTCTGTGTAAAAACCTACACAGTCCTCCTGTCAGTAATAACACGAACAATGCATCCTTGCCCAGCAACCTCTGTGAGCTATTTGGCAGAAAAATCAGAAAAGCAAGAGCAAGAATGAATTTTTTTTTTTTTTGTTGGTTCATTGCAACGCGTTCCATATCTGTATCTCCTTCTCTCCATCCTAAAGCCTTTTTTTTTTTTTTTTTTTTTTTTTTTTTTTGCTTTTTGCTTTTTGCTTTTTGCTTTTTGCTTCTGTTAAAAAGCTCTTGGTCTATCCAGGTTTAAGTAATTGTTATGAGATCCACTATAAAAAAAAAATTACCTTCTCGTGCCAGGTCAAAAGCACACCCGAGTTGTTCTGTTCTGGAGCAGCCATTCCCGCATAAAGATATTTCATCAATACATCCTGCTCTTCAGAAGAAAGGTTCTTGACCAGCTGATCTGCACTCTTAAGCGCATAGGTGAGGACCTCCATTACGGTCTGTGTGTTCCTGGCCTGAAATTAAATGAAATAACGCGTCAAGTTTAAAATAATAAAGAATAGCACCGGATTACGAACGACGAAATATTTTTCTTTCCGTAGTCTAAGACTGTAGATCATTGTATCCAAAAAAAAAAAAAAAAAAAAAAAAAGCCTCTTAATGTTACCTTGGCGGTCTCGAGGCCACTACCATATGGAGGATTTTGAAGTGATGTGGAAAGAGCACCAGCAGCATCACCGCTATCGGAAACAATACACAACCAAAAAGTAAAAAGAATGTCAGTTGTCGTTTTTTTTTCTTCTTCTTCTTCTTTTTAGCTTCGTAGTATACACAACTACATATTATTCTTATACAATTCCGCCACGCTTGATAACGCTTACCGCTGAAGCAAGATCCTGACTTCCTGAGCACGGTTATTGACCTGTGCCTCGACCTCTTGTTGAGGAGGTACCTCACCAATTTCCTGAAAGTCAAGCTCTTCCTGTCTGAATGCGTCCTCCTCTAAAGCATCAATGTCAATTTTACGGAACGCCATGATTATATGTAGCGTTTAAGGGAGAGAAAGAGGGGGAGAGGAGGATAAAGAGGATTGATGTTTAACTGAATTGTAGAAAGCGATGAAGCTGTGGATGATGAATGGACAACACCGTTGGTTGGGCGTTTGTACGCATCACAAACATAAATAGGAAATAAAGCTAACCTTGTCTGGAAATAGAGGCCTCTTACGACCTTCATATCCAGTATACCATTGGACAGAAACAGAACAAATTCATACAAATGCTAAATTATGTTTCCAAGGCTGGCAGTCGTGGTGCTAAAAAGGATGTAATCGAAGTATCTCTGAAATGGGGACAAGTTTCGAGGGGACGTTGGAGGTTTTAGCCAAATCTGAGCAGATTGCAATAAAGGCATGTATGAAGGATATATTATTATTTTGATGATTGGTTGTTACTAATGTAAAAATATATGACTATGAAGCATGATGAATGAAGAGAATAATTAAATAGAGATAGAGGGGAAATGCATGGAAAAGGAGATCTAGTTGGTAGATGAGAGGCTAAACTACCTTTCTATTGATCTATCGTCTTTGAGGATCTTCACGGATCCTGGAGAGTGTCATAGGGATCTCATCTTCATCCTTATTATGTCTCCAGCGGTTGCTTGCATCAATCGTGTCCTGAGATTCTGCGTCAACTTCCCAGTGGCGGTAGGGGTTGATCTTTTGGTCAGATAGGCCAAAGTCATAAAAGTTGGAGTTGGGTCGTTCATTTGAGTTGTAATGCACAGGAACAGGATCGGGCAGGGCGGAAGGCATGCGCATAGTCAAGGACCAAGGCTGGTGGTTACTAGGTTCATGTATACGATTAGCCTTGGCTGCAGCAATACCATCTGCATAGCTGACTGTAGAGTGCTCATAATCAGTTGCGGTACCGCGTTGGCTCGAGTTCTGTCCATGGCTTCGACTGTTACTCTGCTTGGAGGCACTGTTACTCGTGACAGCGCGCTTTTTGAACACATTCTTGGTATCCTCAACAATGAAGACGACTAAAGTGGCCTGGATAAAGTTGACTAAACTATAAGTCAAGAACACTAAAATAAAGAAAAGAGCAAATGAAGAAAGAAGCGGTTAGATCGGATTACTCTGGAAGAAACCAAAAAAAAAAAAAAAAAAAAAAGCAGGACAGCTTACAGTAGCCAGTCAAGTAGACAGTGACCTGTCCAACGAGGATCTCAAAGAGAATGACCAAAAAGGTGATACCAGCGTTGATGAGAGCAAGGCGACGCCATTGGTTATGGTTGCTGTCGGCCTCCATGCCGCGGGAACTGCGATGCAAGGCGATGACGCGCTCGAGGAAGAAGACTAGAATGATGACTTCAGTCGCGATCTTGATATACTGCATGATTGCTGAGAGATTGTAGTCCATTGAGGTGTCACAAATATAACCGGCTTGGTTGTCTTCTGCCTTGATGGTCGTAACAAGCCAGAGACAGAGACCGAAACGAACAATCCAGGTAGGGATGGTAAGGTAAGTGACGGCTCTAGGGTATCGAGTAAAGGACCTGCAGCGGATCAACATGGCGCACTCAGCTGAGATAGCAAATAGCTGGTAGATCACTCCACCAATGACGGCAACCCATTGGCATGGGATTGGGAAACCCTATTATCAAAAAGACAATATAAGAAATTGACGTGCATAAGTTGAATAAGTGAGCACAGTATTCTGGATCCAGTCAATGCATGTCATATCAAGGTCTAAAGCACATGTATGAAGAAATGACCAGCAAGTTCCAAATTTCTCATGACTAAGTTCTTAATGCTTCTGAATGTGCGGGTTAGAAGAGAGAGCGTCTCATTAAATGACAATCACGAAACAACCATAATTCCCGCGGGAATGAAAGAGCCTTGATTTATTTTTTGTTAATTGTGTGAATTGTTGACTTGTTTTGTCACCCTCTGTCTAGTCTGTGTAATGTTTCAATGCCATGCGAGAACCATGAAGCAGCTTTGTCTGCCTAGAGATCTTTGATTATGCTCAATATTTCGTTTTCCGCCCAATAGCTTGTTATATATCATCCCCTCTCTCTTCTTGATTCTACCCACTTTCCATGGCTCTCAAATATCGTCACTTTCTTTCACTCGCTCTCATCTTCAACTCAGTCGGCGCACATTTTGAGCACTCTCACACGCACACACATTGAAAAAATCGGGATCACCGCCGGAGGGGAAAAAAAGTACAATTGATGACACGCTTTTTTTTAAAAAAGAGAACACCAGGCTGGCGTAGAACCTACTATCCATTATTTAGGCATCGAAGCACCATCAATACTTAATTTTTTTTAAGGCACAAGCTGAAGTATTGACACGTTGGTTAAAAAAGATATGATGAAAAAAATAAAGTTCGTGCCACATGTATTGAATATCCTGGATCAACTGGTCGCCAGGGATAAATAATTTTTTTACAACGTTTAGTAAATTGTTGCTTAATGGGTAAAGTCGCAAAATGAATGGATGTGCATCGGAGCACAAAGGAACCCATTGTTTGCAAGTATATCCATCATGATATCCCCACTCTTTCATTTTTGTTTATCGCCTTAACCCAATCCCATTGTCTCTTCACGAGAATTCCCACCCCGCATTTCCTTCTAGACCCGCCTTTTTCTTCATAACAGATCCATAAATAAAAATAAAAAAATAAAATAAAATAAAAAGATACCCAGGTGGATTATATCTTAAAGATTGTTGGGTTAGAATGTAACAAAAAAAAGACGTACCGAAGACAACATCATGGTAGATAAATTTCGGAGTGTTACAAAGAACAATTGCAGCGTCATGGCGATACTGAATGGCTTTCTGTATTTGTACACTTTGGCATCAATGGAGCGGACAAACAGTAGCGATAACCAAGCTACAGTCATTGTGACGACCACGACGTTGGTAAGATATTTGGTGAACTCATCCGCGCTCTCCACTCCAACTTGAAAAGGCATATTGTTGAGAATAATAATAAAGTCGTCAGGTTGCAACAGTTAATGCTGAGAAGGTTGTTGTTTCTTAACGTCTTTTTTTAAGAAAAAAAAAAAAAAAAAAATCGAGACGTCAACAACAAACGTGGAATACAATAGGATTGAAGTAGAGCCAAAGTTGGGAAGGTTGGGCTCTAAGGATTAAGGTGTCGATTATTTTCAGGGGAAATGAGTAAAAAAATAAAAGTCTTGGGCTTTGCTGTTTTGAGTGAATTGAATGGTGAAATATTGAGTTGGAATGAGGAAAAAAGTCATAGAGATTTGATCAGCTTCTTGTCTGGTGCTTTTAGTTGACTGATGACTATGATGATTGAATGTGTTAATCAGGATGAAGCCGTGAAAGGAAGCGAGGAGTAATAGAGATGATGGGGAGAGAGAGAGGGAGAGAGAAACCGTATGGTTGTGAGGAGGGATATCAGCAACTGAAAGATTTGGGAAAGGATCCGAAGAAGAAAAGAAAAAAAATGAAAGCAAAGAGTGGGAGTTAAAAAAGAAAAAGAGAAGCAAGCAGCATGCAGGGTTGTATAAAATGTAATGCTCTGTAAGCTTCCCTTTACAAAGTATGAACTTTTGTATCCCAATTGTGCGCGATTTTCTGGTATCCAATCCCCGGTTCATTATTTTCTAATTCATTTTCAACTCAACTCCAGTCATGGCTTTCTGATACAAATATATCACAGATGTCATGAAGCTTTATCGCGAGCTCTCATGATAATTCCCATTCTATGCAGCACGTCTTCTATTTCCTCATGTCATTCGATGTTTTCCTTGATTCTAATCATTCCCCCCTCCCCTCCTCATGATTTCTCGAGAGAGACTGATTGATGATCATGGTCCCCAATTGGACAACGTTTCGTGTACGCAGTATTGCAAACATCGCTGTCTGTAATATTAAAGTTATATCAAATTAATGTGCTCGTCCTACCTTGAATGCATTGTCTATTGGCAAAGATCCGACCCGTATACCCTTCAAATCCTCTTGCTCCCTGTATCTTATAAGGGTTGCACCCCCTCCCCCATGTAAACAACGATAAACAAGTTTCTGTTCTGCACTTCCATTCCGCTCTGAACCTTGGTTCCACTAAACAAACCACCAAAGACAGATGACCAAGCAACACTTGATCCAAAGGATATAAGAATACCACGAGGGGATGATAGAAAATAAAAGAGCTTTCCAAAATAAAAGGGCATTTGACAGGCTTGGATCAGCTGTATTGGGCTGTGTGAGTATATCGATTAAATGTCAACAGAACATTCATCATGCGCTCTGCTGGTGCTCGTACTTTTTTTTTTTTTTTTTTTTTTTTTTTATTTTATTTTTATAAATATGTGTATAAAATGTTATGAAGGATACAAATATATACTACGCTGGCATGCCCTCTCTCTCTCTCTCTTCTATTCCAAAGGCTTTTATTAACAGTCAGCATTATACCGAGCGATTAATTTTTACGTCCTTATATAATTGAATCTTGTTGAGATGATAAAAAAACAGTTCATTAATGTTTAATCTAAGACTGCCAAGTGGAGTTAAATGGACATCATTGTCTGCGGCGCGTATGCTTCTTTGCTCTCTATCAAAACTTTACCCCTTTCATTTTACATCCTCTTTCAGTTAAGCGACAATCTCCGCCTTTTTTCTTTTTCTTTTTCTTTTTTTTTTTTTTTATAACTCCAAAAAAAAAAAAAAAAAAAAAAAAATTGATCTACTTCATCGCCAATAATGTCTGAATGGATTGAATCGCTCTCCCCCCTGTCTCCATCGGAACACAAACACAAGAATCGTCCTTATTGGAGGGGCTCTTTTATTTATCAAATATTAAGTGCACATCTTCACATCGATAATCAAATAGGCACGCAAAAAAAGTTATCATAAACATGCTATCACGCGTCTTATATAATAGGGCAATATCCTTGTAGACATTCGTCAAATAATAAATATTTGTATTATATATTTATAATGTTTATGTTTATGTTTATTGTGGACTCATACATGTATTGTGCATGCTGCAAAAAAAAAAAAAAAAAAAAAAAAAAACTGTATTCACAACAACAACAATAAAAACGAGTTTGCTTTTTTTTTTTTTCTCGTATTCACTTTTCTCAGGTAATGGAACATCGGCAGCTTATTACCTGTTCTCAGTACATCTTGGTTACTGAAAAGGACTATTTCTCATTAAGGATGATAGAGAAATAAGTTTGAAGCAACTCTCACATGTTATTAGTATTGAAATTGGAAGTATAGGGAAGGCATTAAGGATGAATAAACATCATATTTTGTCCCAAATGTATATGTATACATTTTTTTGTTATTAGTTTCGCAGTGATATCTATATCTTTTAACATTATCGTGTCATCACGCCTCTTCACTTTTCATTAAAAAAAAAAGGTTCATGAGTATGTAGCGAAATAAAAATAAAACGCTGACTTTGCTATTAATTCCTTTCGTTTCCCGAACAATGGATGCCCATTTTTTATTTTTTATTTTTTTATTTTTTTTTTTCTAAATCCGTAGCGTTCAGCGTATAAAAGAATTGACCTTTTTGCTTTCTGAGTTGCTTCTTGTCAACTTTAATTTTAATTTTACACGAAAAGCGAAATACGAAATACGAAATACAACACAGAACATGCACACGTGAATGACTCTGGTAGCTGGCTGTTTACAGACATGTATTAATACATGTGTGTACAAATATGTATACAATAACGCAGACGCCAGTTATTAGACCGTTTGATAAACAATCTGAGTTATATACTTCATGAACCCTCTTTTAACTTTTACACGCTTCCGCACCAGAAAAAAAAAATAAAAAAAAATAAATCATCAATTCTATCTCAGTCTGTTTCACGCCATGAAGTTTGTATAAATATACTAGTCTCATGAACAACTTTTCGAGAAGAGAAAAAAAAAAAAAAAGTGCAGTATATTCATATATACAAATATATTATAAGGATGAGAGAGTGAAGACAGGAAGAGAAAGCATGAAAGTGCTGTGCGAAAAATGAACTCCCATTTTATATGCAGACAAGCTTGCAGAGGCTCAAGGTGGCACAAGCTGGATAAATTGATTTCTAGACAGTGCTTTCTCATCACAACCAGAAAAAAAGTGTACAGCAGTTCCTACACCTTCTCATGAGGAAAAATGAATAATGTTCAGACATCTAAATCAATTTTATTCCCTCACTTAGTCTTATCCCTATCACTACCCCCTTGTCCTTGTCCTTGCCCTTGCCTTTGTCCTACATACTTTTAGGATGATCGTTAACAGGGACCAGTTGGATTGTTCTGCTCTACTGATCAATTGAGTTCACGAGTGCTCGAGCTGCGTACTCTCATCATTTTTTAATTCTCTGTTAGTGCTCATTGCGTAGACATTTAAACGTAAACCTTTTGAAGTTCTAATTGCAATTGGTATCCAAAGATAGTAGAAACGATCAGATAAGCATATATATATATACATGAACCTCAGAAACCCATCCCATGGTCAAATTTTTTTTAAAAAAATAGGTTCAACATCTTGAATTTGTGATCAACGAAATTGTGCCAGAAATGAACAAGACCTCTCTATTTTTTTTCTTCTTTTTGTAAAGATGCAATATTTCGGGTTATAGCGTAACGATATCCAGTTTTCGGGAGCGAATCAGGAAGGAGAGCTGAAGGAGCGAAGAGGAATGATGGTCGATGATGAACTCAGTGGTCCCCACCGGTTATATGATGGGAGCTCTCCATACACATACATGTACATGTACTTTGTATGCCTGATTCGATCCAATCGCGAAAGTGGATTGTGTAGAAACCGTTTGTATCACATTGGTACACTTAGAGTAGTGAGAGAGCCATTTTTCTCTCGATAACAACTTGCTTGTGAGCATTCCCCAATTGTCTACATATTCAGCGTTGTACAGTCCACAGCATTTGACTGTTCAAATCTTTCATCCAACGAATTCTTCCCGTTTCATAATTAATAAAAATCTTGTCTTCAGAAGAGAGCAGAAGGAAGAAATTGTGGATGAACCTGTATGCGCCAAATATTCCAAGAGGAAACACAATCCGACTCGCGCCTGACGACAGCAGTCGAGGGCTCAGCTATGGAAGAAGATGGTTCTGAGCAACTATTTGCCTCACTGCGCTTCAAGGAAAAAAAGAAAGAAAAAAGGTTTCTTTTCTGCTGTATCGTTGTTCTTTCACCATTGCTAATGAGAAATGGAAATAAGGAAATAAAGAAATAAAAAGGAAAAAGAAAAAAAAAAAAAAAAAAAAAAAAAATTAGCAGCATGGAGAGGTACAGGATAAAGTACAGAAATATGAAGCGGGAGAATGACTATTGCTATTTTCTTTCTTTAAACATTCATTGAGCCCTGCAACAAACTGCAGCAAGTAGCAAAGCAGGAGTGGGGACATGCCTGGCTGTACTTGAAGTTGCGATGCGGGCAGCCCTGTTTTTGAAAGATGTACTTTGACAATCGTATTGTCTTTCAATGTTTTCAAACTCTTTTATCATCATTGGTCGTTCACGGGCTTTTTTTTTTTTGTCCCCCAGATATTTCAGTTCTTCATTGTTTTCTTTTCTTTTCTTTTCTTTTTTCTTTTTTTTTTTTTTTTTTTTTCTTCAGTTCAGAACTCCTCTCACTTCCACCCCATTTCAAGAGTCCTCCTCCCACATACACGTCCACATTTCTTAATCCTTTCCATTTTTCCCATTTCCCTTCCCAAGTTCACTATTTTTCTCTCGCCAATCATTATCAATATGAAAGTCTCCTTCTGCATCCTCTCCATTGTTGCTGCTGCTGCTTCCTTTGCTGCTGCTGCCGATCCTGACCAGATCCAAAAGAGCTATAGCTCGATTGTCTTCCCTAAGGATTCTGTTCAGATCCAACTTCGTCAACAAAAGGATCAGAGCTCTTATTTTAATGCCCTCAAGACCTTCAACAAATTGATCAGCCCTCTTGAGTTCCCTGAGCATGCACTCCCCGCTGCCATTATCACCCCTCTTAGAGCCAACAACAATGGCCTGGGAAAGATTGTCAAGGTTTCAAGGGAGCTTGGTCTCCGTGTTTCGGCCCGTTCTGGTGGATACCAATCTGGCTACTCCTCCAATATGGCTGCTGTTGATAGCAACAGAGAGGGCTTTGTTTTATTGGATCTATCCAAGCTCAACAAGATCACCATCAATGCCAAGGCCCGTACTGCCACTGCTGAGCCTGGTGTCACTGGTTTGGAACTCTACAACGAGACTATCAAGTACGGTCTTCATTTTGCTGGCCCCCATACTGCCCGTGTAACCATCGGAGGCTTCTTGCTCCACGGTGGCATGGGTATCGGATCGCGCCTTCACGGTTCTGGCGTTGACAACGTCATTGGCTTTGATATCATCACCGCTGATGGCCGCACTGTTTATGCTGACGCCAAGCATAATAAGGATCTCTTCTATGCTGTCCGGGGAGGTGGACAGTTCTTTGGTGTTGTCACAAAGTTCTACCTGCGCTTGGTTCCTATGGTCAAGGAGCCCACTTTGGTCCCCACATATAATGCTGAAGACGTCAAGATCGATCAAGTGTTCGCCATTTTTGATCGTCCTCAGGGCAAGGATCTTTTGGATTTCTATGGCAAGTACGACCCTGAGGCTCCCAAGGCCCTTGAGAACAAGATTATCTTTGTCGCTGATCCAAAGACCAACGATAAACAGTATCTCTTCGCTTCCGTCTCAGCTGCCCCTTTCAACAGCTCCATGGCCGTCACCGAGTCCCAGGGTGAGATCACTCGATGGTACAAGTCTCTTCCTACCAACTTTGCTACTTCAGATCCTACTACCTACAGCGGTGTTATCCACGGCTCTGATGCCAGCTGGGCTGATGACGACTTGTCGTACTATGCAGAGGACCTCTGGTTCCCCGTTCCCTTGCCTCGTGGTCTTCAGGAGACTTTGATCAAGCAATGGGACAAGGTCCCCTCAGCTCTGTCCTCTATGGCTCTTAACACCGGTACCTGGGACGCCCTTACTAAGAATGCTTTAGGCTATGACCGATCTTACTCTCTTTGCATCTACTCAACCTGGAAGCGTAACGGTACAGCTTCTTGGGACCAGGCTAACAAGGTTTGGTTGGACGAGACTGTCAAAGCTCTCAAGCCCTGGACTCTGGGTTATTATGCAAATGAGTTGCGTCCAAAGGAGCTCGAGGACCGAAACTACTGGCGCAAGTGCTACGAGAAGAAGACTTACAAAACCTTGCAGACCACTAAGAACCGCTGGGATCCTGAGAACATCTTCAAGAGCTTGTAAAAAGATATGAGAACATATATAAAAAAAAAAAATCTCTTCCCTTTACCGCATACTCATACAGACCTAATGACACATAATCATATCCTGGAATAATAATAAATAAAATAAAATAAAATAAAATAAAATATAGATATGTACCAACATACTCTGTCATTCCTAAACAACTAAGAAGTCTTTATAGTTACACGGCGAATAACATAAATGAATGGTAATACACTACACTACTCTAAACCCTTTATTCCCCCTTAGTCTTAAACAATCTGAGCGACGGCTGGATCAATATATTTGGTAGTCAAGTTTTTCTGAACATCCTGCTCTTGATCTTTTTGGATTACACCTGCTTCAAGCAATATCCTTGCACAGGTGATAAGGGATTCTCGTTGAATGATCGAGCAGCCTTCTTTGGGATATCTTACGCCACTGAACCAGTCCTGTACATCCTTTCGATTGTATGACATCTTGTCTTGAACAAATTGGATAGATTCTTCATAATTCTCTGGGTCCACAAAGTGCGTTGTTGCATTAGAGAGGGCTCGGAGGAAGCAGGCCAAAGCGGATGTTTGTCTCGTAGAATCTGCAGACGATGACGATAAATGGCGGGTCGATGCCGCAATCATAAATGCTGGCCAAGGTGGGGTGATTGTGTCTACCATGCGAACTTCATTTGAATCATGGTATGGCTACATAAAAAAAAAAATAAATAAATAAATAAAAAAAAAAAGAGATGTATAAGATCGGATGGGCGAAGCTCTGATTGGTGTGCACAGACAAAAATTCCAGATTTAAATATATCTATGAAAACTTTTTTTTTATTATTATTATTACCTTGGTTGTGAATCTTTCCCAAAGAAATGCATCCGAAGAGCCGTCATTTACAGAATCTCTCATCTGTTGAAATGTGTTCAAGACTTTGAAATCAAATGGCGGCTGTGTCTTGGATTCATTGGCTTGTGATGATTGCAAAAGCCAACCTTCCTGTTCTGCAAGGACGTACGGAATAATGTGACTTCCACTGCCGAGCCGTGAAATGCCGATAACGCCATCTCTCAACGATTGACGATCCACATGTCGTGACTCCTGTCCCACTGAAATTGCCCAGCCTAACAGATGTACAATTCAATGCAGTATGATAATCTTGAGTGGACGGTTTTTTTTTTTTTTTTTTTTTTTTTTTTTTTCTTTTCTTTCCTTTGTTTGTTTAATACATGACAGGTTGATGATTTGATTTATGATTATAAATATTATAAAAAAATAAAAATAAAAAAAAAAGTGACTTACAAAGTGGAGACTTGACATAGGTACCAATGATTTTGTAAGCATCATGACCTTTTGCGATTCCAGCCACAAGTCCTTCCGTAAGAGCGATAGCTACATCTAGTGATCCTTCGATGAGTTTTGATGTCATCTATAGTGTTTAAAGAAGTTTATCCTTTTGACGTTAGTGCATTGGAGTGGTCTCGATCCAACAGTGCTAAGACGAAATAACGAAACGAAACGAAACGAAAGAAATCGAGAGAAAGAATTCGTTGTCTTGTTTTCTTTATTACCTCGCCTGTTCCGCTTGGACAGCAAACTCTTTCGACAGTTATACCCTCCTTCTCAAAGAAACCGAGTTCAACAGCCAGGTGAAGTGGAGATGAGAAATGCTCTGGCACTAGAGGTTTCAAACACAATATTTTTTTAATATATGCGATATTATTTCATATCACAGGTCCAGATCAAACACAACACTTGATTTATTTTATTTTATTTTACCAAAGCCAACTCGGAGGACAATGTTCGTTGAGGAGACCATTATTTAATAAGATTGTAATGCGATTGAATCAATGAATTAATGACTGAGTGGAGTGAGTGAAAATGAAAAGAAAAGAAAAGAAAATATATATGAATGAATGAATGAATGAATGAATGAATGTGCGTGAATGGATGGATGAATGAATGTGAGTGAATGGATGTGAATGAAGAATGAAGAATGAAGAATGAAGAGAAGCAAGAGTGAAAGAGGTTTTTGGTATTCTCTTTTTAAATTGTTGGATCAGAACTCCTAGTCAACTTGTGGACCAACCAAATTTGCAACAAGACATAGTCCCCTTGTGCCTTTCTCTCTCCGAGGGCACGTTACCACGTTCGATTCATTTGCTAAAACGTGCCCAATGTCGTTAAAGCACAACAAGATGCATATATTAAAAAGGAAGAAATAGGGAAGATTCATAAAACAGACAAATCGGAGTTGCTGTATTTTATATTAAGAGTCATCTTTGATCTCTACAAGTCTGGGGGTATTGATTTCAGCAAATGTGAAAAGCCATACTGAGCACACTTTTGCGACGCAAGCTCACATGCAAATTGTAGACCACGTCCAATATCGTATCCGCGCACTCCAAGTGCCAAAATAATCCCTGCAATGAACGTATCGCCTGCTCCTACTGGATCAACCACTCGGTCCACTGTGCCAGCACTTGAACTGAACCTCGTGCCTGTCTCCAGATGAAGACCCACTGCGCCCATTGCTCCCCAACAACAAAATAACGTAGCCCTATACGCCACAGCATTTTTTTTTTTTTTTTTTTTTTTAATATATACAATATACAAATCATTAGTATCCATTCATATCCATGTCTTTTTTTTTTTTTTTTTTTCTTTCTTTCTTTTTTTTAAAAAAAAAAAAAAAAAAAGGCTTACGTTGGTTTGCAAAACTCCTTGATACTTGCTAAGAAATCCTCTGGCCGATCGAATCCAAGTGTCTGTGCATAGAGTTTAGAAAAGAAGCAAACATCGGCCTGCTTCAAGAGATATGGAATCCCCGGTCGATCTCCCTTCTCGAACTCTACAGAGATAGTCAGTTTCTGTCGCCAACGTTGCTTGATATAAATAGATTCTACATAGTTGATCATCTTGTACACATCTGGGCCTCGACCCTCAAAATGAATCCAATTGAACGGACAACTCATGTCAACAATATCAGGAACAGCTCTCATGCGAGCAGCATCGAATCTTTTGATAAACTCTTCTAAAGTGAGGTCTGGCAGTGTAGAATGACTGATGACTGTACGCGATCCTGTGTCTTTAGCAGATATGATGTAGGCCTGTGGGGCCGTAAGTTGTGCTGAATGAAAGACACATGCCTCCGTCTTCACATTATTTCTTTCTAACGCTGTCAACAAGATCCTGTCATAAGAGAAAAAGAGCGAATTAGGTTTTTTTGTTTATGGAGATCATCTCGTTCAAGCACAGGCATCCAACTGACATGAGAGCAAAAGTCAAAAGGAGAGACAAAGAGCCAACATTAATTTATAGCAAAAAAAAAAAAAAAAAAAAAAAAAAAATTAGAGTACATGTACATTGTTAAGAGTTTACTAAACATGAGATGTGAGTGATTTTTAAAGATGGATGGAAGGGGAAAGACATGAATGGCATGAAAAAAGAATATGAAAACTAAGGACATCCAAAGTCCAGAAGCAAATAAAATAGCCGTTCATTTCGGCTAAAATAGGCAAAGCTTTTCAGATTCAGGCACGCACATGGCTCATGCAACTGTTGATTCATAATAATTCACAATAACCTTATCCATCTCACTTTAAACTTTTTTTTTTTTTTTTTTTTTTTAAATAATAACGAGTGCATGCGAGTAAATGGGATAAAAGACAGACATGAATTGACAATTGCAAGAAGGTGGGATGGATACAAGGACAAAAGAAAAAAAAAAAAAAAATAGCGATGATAGCAATAGTAGCGGTCATACCAATAGTTGTAGTAAGGTTAACAAAAACAGAGAGTAAATTAAAGCTTTTTTTTTTCTTTTCTTTTCTTACTTGGCTGCTGCAGGTGCTGGCATGCTACTCATGTACCAGACCTTTGCCCTTGGGTCCTGTCCCAAGATCTCGGCCGTGTTTGCAGCATTGCCACCACGTCGTTGCTCGAACCTCTCAGATCTTTGCTTCATGTCTTCATGAGGAAATGAATTGACGTGCATGATCGTGTCGAGGTAAGTGGCGCCAACTAGAAAGATCCCGATCTTAGGACTGGGATTGCTATTCCCATTATAAGTGGCAGTGCTAACATGGGAAGCATGGGTTGTACTTGTACTGCTACCTTCACCTGAGGATGACCCACTGAAAGAAGTCTGGGAGGATGTGGCAGACGAGCCTTTAGATTGTAAGCGAAATAACTTTTGCATTGTTTTGAAAAAGAATGAACTCGGGATGAAATGAGGCTCAATGCAAAAAAAAAAAAAAAAAAAAAAAAAGTTGCTGACGAGATGGGATTCAGTTTTATTGAGTCTTTGAAAAAGCACAATGAGAGAGCGTGGTAAGCGTTCAAAGATGAGTTGAGAACAAAGCTGCAAAAGAAAGTCGAAGGTCTATCCTCTCAACCTGCACAATGGTATTATTGTAAAAGAGTAAAAGAAAAGAAAGGTAAAAGTACAATAAAGAAGAGGAATGAACTGACGAGGAATGAGAAACAAGTCGAGAGATGAACCAGAAAGACAATAATGAAAAGAGAGACAACACAAGAGGACAAAACGTGCAAATTGATGATTAAACTGTCTTTTTCGCCCATATGTCAGGCCCATGCATGTCATGTCCCAACCTTGGTAATCATTTGCCTCTATTAAACAAAGTTTTTTTTTTTTTTTTTTTTTTTTGGTGCTTGAAGGAGAATGAGAGCCAGACGATTACGATGGTTTGAATAGTTTGGACAGATGGCCTGCGGTAAATTACGAGCGCCGAGAGAGATAGGAAGCAAAAATCATACACAGCATATTCACACATCTGGATTAAAACAGGGACCACAACAAAGACATCAAGAGACATCGATGGAGCGTGCACCAGGAACCCGGTTTGAACATAAATTCACACAAACACATTTACAAATAAACCATACTGACGGAAACAATTGTGTTTGGTTCGTGAACAATGCATTTTGACCATTCGAATTCACCCACGGGGAAGGAAACAGAGGGAGTTTTGCGCTGCTCACTTTTTGCTCTTTGATCTCACTTGTTTTTGTGCTATCCTTTACGAGTACAGCATCAAAGTATATATAATCCATTATTCATAATCCCAGCAGCATCCACATGCTTGCTCCGGCTATGGCTGACTAACACAGTACTATCCCTTTCTTGTGTTCCTTGTGCGATTTAGATGAATAATGAGATATATATATATATATATCAACTTTTTATATCAACCTTGTTCCTTCTCCGTGTCCAACCACATGGCCAACGCCGCATACATTTAACTAGTTTAGTCTGCTCGTAATTAACTACAAATATGGATTGAAGGAGTCCAATGCAGGAATATGTGTATGTTTTTTTTTTCTTTGTTTTCAGACAAGCGGAGTGCGTTGTAACCCAATTGCAAAAGAAATACGCGGATATATAGAACGCTGCATTTAGAGGTCTGTTGCACTTAAAGAACAATACTAAAGACAATTTCAACAAACAAGGTTCTATTGCTCCCCCCATATCCATCGAACACACCATGTTAATGGCCCGAGTGAAGTAAAGTCGTGCTGGTATAACGAATAAACCTTACTCAACAGTCTTAATTACCGATAATGACATCACATTCCCACATTCCCAAGGACTTCGCCCAAATTCTATACATTCTTTTATTGTCTCCTCTTCGCGCCTTAGCTTCCTAAAGCTCCCTCGCTAGGCACACGCGTTTGGAATTTGCAGCTTCTTATGTGTGCTAATGACAGAGGTGTTTATTTAATACTATTTTCCTCAGAAGAAGGATGCTTTAGAGCTATTGTCATCAAAAATTGTATTCCATTTGCCGCTCCATCATAATTAGTTTAGTCTTTTAAAGATAACTCTTTCGCATTCGATGTCTGTCACCGTCCCAGGATGATGAGGATAAGGAAACCAATTCTACTACGTCTGTGCTTCCCAACACAGTTGCGTTCTTTGCCACATTTGCTCATAGCAATGACTCTACGAGCCTTTCCTCATTCGACGGCGACTTAACACCACCTGTTCTAGATCTCTGTACGATCAATTTCCTCCATGGCTTTGATGAAACGTCATAACATATTCGTAGCTCACCCTAAAGCTTTTGTCCTCTTAAGGGCTCTTCATTTGGCTGTTTGTTGTTAGCGTTTTTGTTGTTCATAGTCGTTTAAAGGGCATTCACGTATTCATCTATCTACTTATTTTCAGAAAGTCTTGTTTTTGTCTTTATGATGGTCTCGCTGCAGCTATCATTAAAGTGCATCATTTCCAATTATTCATTCTGGCCTACACCATATAGACCCATATAGCGTATACGATGATTTAATATACCACTCACGTGGGGCAGACGATATCTTATAGTATATAAGATGTCGTCTGTCCAGAAATAAAGACCCCTCTCTTTGTCCTATTGAACTTTGGTTCCATATACATAGTAAGCTATATCAATTAGGTTAAAACATTGCATGGCCCACAAAAATTTATCTAAAAAAAGAGGTGCAAACCAGCTGGAATGCACTTCGCAAATTTGTCACTGTCTGTGCGTTCAGCACAGACTGAGGAGCACACAGTGCTCTTTACCCCACACCCCACACCCCTCCACAACCACCTTCACTGTCAAGTATGACAGAAAGATTCACCTCATCTCTGACCTGGTGGAGGCCATTAGCCTGATTATCCCCAACGATGAACAGGACCGCGTGAAATTTTTTTCAGTTCATTTTTAATCTTTATTTCTGTCACAGTGCAAATGTACTTGCTAAAGCGACACATTTTACGCGCTGACCGACAGAACTCTCGGAAATTCTCATTGGACTCAAAGTGCCGTAGAGCCCGCTGAATCTCCTCCATGGACCTTTCGTAATCGCGGAGAAGCTCATGGTAGTATTTTTTATCATCCAAGGATAGCGGCCGTTGACCATAGAGGGGTCTACGGGTCCTCGTCGTGCACCGCTGGAGATCGCGGCGATCCTCCTTTGACTCAGGAGACTCATCAGGCGACTCCGAGGGTCCCTTACAGGACAAGGGTGGATTATCCCTCTTCCTTGAAACAGCAGGAGAAAAGAACTCTGCACTGGAACCGGAAGTGTCAGGCTCGACTGGCACAGGGGAAGGATCTTTGGGCTTGGTAGAGACACCTCCGAAGCTTACACTGTGACGAAGAGCAGACATGATTGTTGTTGCGGCTGTAGTGTATAGACAGGAGCTTGGAAAAGAAAAGGCAAAGGTTGCAATGAGTTGAGGAATGAGGAATGAGGAATGCAGCAGGGATGGAGCTACAATTTATGTCTTTTCCATTCTCATGCTGGCATCGCCATTTACACGCTCGCCTCCGACTCATTCTTCCTGCTGATCAGATCATGTCTTCATGTATCATTCTGATTGGTTCAGGGACAGGCCTGGCAAACATTGCCTGTAAAAAGATTTCAGGAAAATAAATGACATACTGTATGAGAGATAGAAATGGAGATGGAGATGTGGAAATGAGGACATGGCGAAAATGATGGTGATTAGCGAGGGAGGATGTCATTTTCAACTTGATCTTTTTTCATCTTTCCTTGCCTCTTTTGGTTGCGTCTTTCTTTACAGAGAACAGTCGACCTGATTCAGTGCTCCTATTCGAACTGAAACTTTGTCAATTATGATGTTTCAGATTAAAAAAATAAATATCAAAATGACAGAGTTTCAGTTCGAATAGGAGCACTGGACGAACGATTTCGATAGCAAATCGTTCGGGAAAAAATTAGGTTATACTGAATTGAGCAGTATTCTAAACTTTACCAAATATTTGTTCAGGTGGTGACATTGCACAGTCGAATCTGAGTCGCATTCAAATTTTTTTTTTGTGAATTGTGAATTGTGAAATGAAATCTATTGGCTTTGAAATGACCAATAATCTGCCACAACTGGGTCCATTTCACAATTCAATTTTTCATCAAAAAGTTATAAAATTGATTTGTGAAATGACTCATTTGGTCCAATGACCTTTGAAAGTGATTTTCTCTTTTTTTATTCTCTCCCCTTTTCCTTTGATAAAATGCCTACTATTCGCACTCGAAACCAACGCTTGACAGATGCAATTGAGCAAAGATTCTTGAGGGCTGTGGAGGAAGTAAGGCGGCACGTCGAGAATGGAGACGACGCTGACTTATTCCAACTGGAAACTTATGCCAACGTCCTGTCTTTTATGTACAGGAACAGATATCTGCGTCCTCGCTGTCGAAAACCATATTCGATAGAATTACGAGACAGAGTCCTCGATGCATACAACGCAGAGGACTATTCTGGTATCATACGTTTGACGCCGGAACAATTCCAAGAGCTGGCCGAGATCCTTGGCAGGGATCCTCTGTTTCGGCTCCGAAAAACCGGCGATCCTTTAGCCAATATCAAGATCCAGCTAAAGGTTACCCTATTTCGCCTTGGAACAAAAGGGATATCGATCAAGAAGGTTGCTTGGATTTTTGGTTGCAGTGTCGGCACTGTTCACTCTTACACCTGGAGGTGTATCAAAGCCATTAATAATCTCGTAGAACAGTTCGTGGTGTGGCCTGACAGAGAGGAAAAACTTGAGATTTTGAAATGGTTTAAAGAAAACAAAGGCTTCCCACATATGCTTGTGCAAAAGTCAAGGTAGTGTTCTAGGGGGATCTAAGGGTGCAATAAAGGTATCTTTATTCAGGGGGAACTATGCTACAGAACTAGATAGAAAAGTAGACCTATTTATACTAGTTAATGTCCTGTTGCAAGGAATGCTCTAGAAATATGGGCGAAATACTATGTTGCACAAAATTATTATAGTGATTTCGCTTGCATCCTTCCCGTCATGAAGAAACCTATTATCTTGTTTTTCTTGAAGCCTCAAAGACGGCAAGCGCCTCTTTAGCGTTTGCGAGCGAAGATTTTGTTTCCCAAGTAGCTTCATCTAATGGATAGCCTTTCCAAAGAACGAGCCACTTAGGAGTTTTGCCAAACATTTTGAAGTCAATGATTTTGTCGACTTCATACTCCTCTTCTCCATATACCAGCTCGGGGGCAGGGCGTGGTAGTGAGCGGTCGCCGAATTCACGAGGTGACTCAATATAGGGGCGAAGCAGATCGGCATTAAAGACTGGATGCTGATGCATGTCAGGCGGTAGTTCCAGCTTGTAGGCATTTTTATTGACCTTCGAAATGATCTTGTAAGGGCCTATGTACTCAGGTTCCAGTTTCTGCGACGGCCTATTTTTATGTCCCGCGACAGAGATGTTTTCCGAGCTTAAGAGCACCATGTCACCCACAGCAAACGTAGCAGGCCTGCGAGTTTTGTCCGCTTGGGCCTTTTGCCTATTCTGCGCTTCGATGATGGCATCCTGAGCTAGCGCCAAATTCATCGACTGGGTTCGAACAAAATCACTGACAGCCGGAACATTGGTATCAGGTGGCTTTAAAAGAGATCCAGGGACTAGTGGATGGTGACCATAGTTCAGAAAGAATGGGGAGAAGCCTGTCGTAGGATTGACAGAGTTGTTGTATGCGAACTCCATCATAGGCAGTAAAAGATCCCAGTCGTTTTGCTTGTACGATATGTAAGAGCGGAGCATTTCTTCTAATGTTCTGTTGGCGCGCTCTGTTTGTCCGTCTGATTGTGGATGGAAGGCAGTAGACATGTTAAGTTTAGTGCCCATGAGCTTCATCAACGTTGTCCAGAACTTGCCGGTGAAACGTGAATCTCTGTCTGACACAATTGTCCGAGGCATGCCGTGCAGTCTAAAAACATTGTCGAAAAAGAGTCGTGCAACATCAGAGGCAGTGTCGGTAGTTCGGCTAGCGCAGAAATGAACTTGCTTGGACAGTTTGTCCACAAAGACCGTGATCGCGTCAAAACCTCTGGCTGTCTTCGGAAGCTTGACAATGAAGTCCATTGTTACAGTATCCCATCGTTGGCTTGGAATTGCCAAAGGTTGGAAAAGCCCTGCAGGAGGCTTTAGTGAAGGCTTGTTACGCTGGCATTGCTCACAGGAAGCAATGTATTTTTTTATATCCCTCGCCATGCGTGGCCAAAAATATGTTCGTCGCATGCTACTGTACGTTTTATCGAATCCCAAGTGGCCTGATATAGGAGCGTCGTGAGCGTCATGCAAGAGTTGTGAACGGAGTCCGTCGTCCTTGGGTATGCAGAGGCGAGGGCCTTGTCCAGCGTTGATCCAGAGTAGACCATCAACCACGAAGTAACGATCCGAGGTGGAGGCATCGTTATACTGATGCACGAGGGGACCTAGAATTGGATCGTGTAGGTAGCAACTGGCTAGTTGTTTTCGAATACCAGGGTCTAGATTGATATCCAAGGAGTTCAAAGTAGTAGGTGTAGCCTCCAAGTCCTTGAGGTCCGGTCTTCGCGAAAGAGCATCAGGGACGACGTTATCTTTACCAGGTTTATACTTGAATACGAAATCATACTCTTGAAGCAACTCCATCCATCTTGCTTGTCTGCGCGTCAAGTTCGGCTGGCTAGGAAAATGTTGTAGAGTGGCATGGTCGGTATAAACGACAAAGTGAGAACCGTCAAGGTACATAGTATCGCCATGTCTTCAGAGCATGCACCACAGCCAGCAGTTCTTGTTCGTGTGTAGGATAGTTGCGTTCCGCTGGGTTGAGCTTGCGTGAAGTACATGTAAAAGCTACTGGTCGTGATTCACCATTTTGGTCCGTCTGGAACAGGACAGCACCAATTGCAAAGCCTGAAGCGTCTGTTTCGACTGCTGTAGAGAGGGCAGGATCGAATATCCTAAGAACTGGTGCTGAGCTCACTGCTCTTTTCAAAGTCTCAAAGGCGTCTTGTTGAGATTTTCCCCAGTGGAATTCCTTATTGGAGCCTAACAATTGTGTGAGGGGAAGAGCAATATCAGCGTAATGAGAAATGTACTGATGGTAAAAATTAGTCAAACCAAGGAATTGCATCACATGTCGTTGGGTTGTTGGTACTGGCCATTCCCTTATTGCCTTGACAAGTCCGCCATTCGTCTTGAGTCCATCCTTGGATATGACATGGCCTAGGAACTCAGTCTCTTCCTGCATGAAGGAACACTTGGATAATTTACAATAAAGCCCAGCTTGACGCAAGAGGGAGAGTACTTGTCGGATGTGCTCTAAGTGATCTTTCTCGTTATCGGAGTAAATTAAAATATCATCGAGATACACAACAACACATTTATCAAGAAGTGGATCAAGTACGTTACGCATCATAGTCGAGAACGCTGCAGGTGCATTTGTAAGACCGAAAGGTACGACGTTAAACTCGTAGTGACCATAGCGAGTTCGGAACGCGGTCTTGTGTTTATCATCAGGATGGACACGCATTTGATGATAGCCCGAGAGTAGATCCAGCTTGGTAAAACATTTACAGTGGCTTCCAAAATTGTCCACATGTTTCACGCCCATGTTTTCCATCTTGATTAGAATAATAGCGATGGTTGCTTGCACTTTTATTTATATCAGAATAAACAAGTATGCCAATGTTAAGTGTACTGGTCCAGTTAAAATATCTCTAGTCTCATTCATCATGGTTTTTAATTGACAAAAGTATTTAATGTCATTTGGACAATTATACACTATCATGCAAAACTGATTCAATAATTCATTCCCATGTGCATTTCTTTTTTTCATTCCTAGAAACTGTATATGCATACACCACTCATACTTTGGTTTAATAAAGCTCCCGTCTTCTTCTACGTCATAGTGATGCGTTGTGACATTAGCTTGTCTCATTTGAATAGCTAATGACTTTTTTGTTCATGCAGGTCATTGAATCAGTTTCACATGTGGTCTAAAATGTTGCCCATGACAACTGCTGGACGTCATTTAATGCCAGTAAAAAAAGGACTTTTCTCTCTTTCCTTTATGAACACTTGCTTCACTCTCTCTTAACTATATCTTCACAGAATATGAGACCCACTCCACAAAGGAAAGTCAACGAAGCCAGGAGGTTAATGATGGGAGGCATGTCTACTAGAGAAACTGCTGCTAGTGTTGGTATATCAATAGCGACGGCCACCAGGATCTATGCACATAATAAGGAGTACATGCCAGTCAATAAAGGCGGTCGACCAAGGAAAGTACCTAGAGGTATCATGCAGTATCTTAAGGTGAACATGAAACGAGGTACACTCAAGTCTGCAGTTGAGGCCACCGTCAGAGCCAACCAGCTCATACCAGCGGCTGTTTCTGAGACCACCGTTAGACGACGGCTCAAGGAGTTAGGATTGACAGCAAAGAGGCGTGTACATAAGCCAGCTTTACGTCGACGGCATATTAAAGCCCGTTTGCATTTTCTCAACAAGTATAAGGAATGGACTCTGGAAGATTGGAAAAAGGTTATTTGGTCAGATGAATCGTAAATAAACCGAATCTGCTCTGATGGCGTGCAGTGGATCTGGGACGACAATCCGGGACGCCTCACTCGCAGGTCGGTGCAAGGCACTGTCAAGTTTGGGGGTGGTAACGTTAAAGTGTGGTCATGCTTCTCATGGTACGGACCTGGATACATTGCAAAGATTGACAATAATATGGACGCACAACTTTACATCAAACTACTGCAGGAGGATCTACAGATGTCGCTTGATGACTGGGGCCTAACTAAAAGCGATATCGTCTTTCAGCACGACAATGACTCGAAGCACACGGCGAAGATTGTTAGGAAGTATTTGGAGTCAGTACATCTGACAGAAGAGGAAGGTACACTTCTAGAGTGGCCAGCACAATCCCCTGACCTCAACCCTATTGAACACATGTGGGCAGAATTGGATAGGCGGCTCTCTAGGTATCCGGAGCGAGCTAAGAGCTGTGATGAACTATGGGAGCGAATATCGGTTGAATGGTACAGGATCCCAGTGGACTTCTGCCGCAAACTCATCATAGGTATCCATAAGAGACTCCAAGCTGTCAGTGATGCCCATGGTTGGAATACTATCTATTGATGTAAGGTTATGCCTCACAAAAGAATAAAGATCTTCGGCCACCGAATGGGCACATGTGAAACTGATTCAATGACCTGCATGAACAAAAAAGTCATTAGCTATTCAAATGAGACAAGCTAATGTCACAACGCATCACTATGACGTAGAAGAAGACGGGAGCTTTATTAAACCAAAGTATGAGTGGTGTATGCATATACGGTTTCTAGGAATGAAAAAAAGAAATGCACATGGGAATGAATTATTGAATCAGTTTTGCATGATAGTGTATAACCATCACTTATTTTACGCACCTTTGCTGAATTTTTTTCAAATTATCTCCCACACACTTGAGTAGATACTCTTCACTTACACTTTTTTGAGAGCCTACGTTACTTATCCTAAGCACTCCAAAGATGAAGCCAATCAAAGCATCCGTTGTTGAGGATGCTCTCCGTTTACTTGAGCAGCACAAGTCCGTCCGTCAGATTGCCACAAAAGTAAGTATATCCAAATCCTCAGTCCATAATATCTCCAAGACATTACGGCCTGCCAGGAGTAGAAGTAGAGCTGGTCGGCCACGGAAGTTCGATTACCGGAATGCATATTATATTCGATTGTTGCTTCACCGTGGTATAATCTCATCAGCTGTCCATGCTACCAGACTCTATAACGATGAGAACGAAGATCCGGTGTCAGCTAATACGGTGCGTCGGGCGCTGAGAGATATAGGCCTGGAAGCTAAAAAAGCC